ACTAGACTTCGGCTCAATGTTATCCTCAAGACCAAGAAGAGCCTCTGTTGTCGTCATGGCAGACACAGGTTGTCAGAGCTGCCTTGCTGGCATTAAGATCGCACACAAACTTGGACTGAAAACACAGAATCTCATTCCGGTGACTCTCAAGATGCGTGCTGCCAATAACAAGGGTATCAATATCCTTGGTGCCCTCACCACACGACTGTCTGGCAGGAGCCCAACAGGGAAAACAGTTGAAACCAGACAGGTGGTCTATATCACAGACAACTCTGACATGTTCTTCCTCAGTCGTGAGCATGTGTCTCACTGGGGATGATCACAGGAAATTTTCCCACAATTGGGGAAGTGCCCAGAAATGATAGCTTCAATTACAATTCTACACTAAACGATGCTTCAGAGATAAATGATGTGAAATGTGCCTGCCCAAAGCGTGGACCACCTCCTAAAGTGCCAACCAAACTACCTTCCCCGCAACAGGAGAGAACCGCGGTAAACTGGAAGAATACCTACTTGACCTCTGTAAGTCCAGCACAACATCTGCGAGCACCAGCCTCTCCCCCTCATGGATGGACCTCCCATGAAACTGATGGTCGATCTGGACGCCCAGCCTGTTGCTCACCACACTCCGGTCGCTGTCCCACTTCACTGGCAGAAAGACGTCAAAGCTAAGGATGTCAGACTTGGTGTGCTGGAGCCAGTGCCAATTGGAGAACCGGTTACATGGTGCCACAGAATGGTCGTCTGTCCAAAGAAGAATGGCAAGCCTCGACGCACTGTTGACTTTCAGGCTCTCAATGCCCATGCCATTAGAGAGACACATCACACACAATCCCCCTTCCACCAAGCCAGATCAGTGCCACAGAATAAGAAGAAAACTGTCTTCGATGCATGGAATGGCTACCAAAGTGTCCCCATTCGAGATGAGGACAAACACCTTCCCACATTTATCACCCCATGGGGCCGATATAGATATCGCACTGGTCCATAAGGATATATCGCCTCTGGATATTGATACACAAGACGCTTGGTTTGGACTTGTCAATCAAGTGTCATACGCATTCAGCATGGCTGAGCGGATGCAGTCTTTTCGCCAACTCATAAAGCCTGGGACACCATTTCGTTGGGATGACAATCTGGACCGCTTGTTTAAAAAATCCAAGACCATCATTGTCAATGAGATTGAGAAAGGTGTGCGCATCTTTGACGCAAACAAACCAACCTGTCTTGCAACAGATTTGTCGAAACACGGAATTGGATTTTGGCTCTTCCAGAAGCACTGTCAATGCCCACAGACCCTGCCATTTTGCTGTAGAGATGGATGGAAAGTCACCCTGGTGGGAAGTCGTTTCACCCACGCTGTGGAATCCCGCTATGCACCGGTCGAGGGGGAAGCACTAGCAGTGGTTGATGCCCTGGAGAAAGCAAGGTATTTTGTCCTTGGATGTAGTGATTTGACCATTGCCGTTGACCACAAACCTCTACTGAAGATCTTTGGGGATCGATCACTTGAATGCATCTCGAATGCTCGACTACGTAACCTGGAGGAAAAGACCTGCGGTACAAATTCCACATGGTTCACATCCCTGGAGCCAAACACAGAGCTGCCGATGCTGTATCTCGTCACCCAACTGGTAACCCTGAGAGGATAGTTCTAGTGGATGATATTGCAGCCATGGACTGTACTGAACTTTCCCCTTCTCTGGATGTTTGTCATAACATCCTCGCCTCCATCAGATACAGTGAAGAGCCTGATTACAGTGTAGAGGATGCCACTCTCCAGTCTGCTGCGTCTGCAATCAGCTCCTTGGAACCCATCACGTGGAACAAGGTGAAAGTTGCCACCACTAGCGATGCATCCATCAAACTCGTTGACCTTTGTTGAAACTGGGATGCCAGAATCCCGCCTTGACTTCCTACTGCACTACGTGAATATCATCCGTTCAGAGAGATCTCCACACGGTAGACGGAGTTGCGCTATACAAGGACCGGATTGTGATCCCACCAGCACTACGTGAAGATGCCCTTACTGCCCTCCATTCTGCACACCAAGGCGTATCATCAATGATGTCCAGAGCTGAAGCATCTATCTTCTGGCCCGGGCTCACATTGGCCGTCACAACCCTCCGAACCAACTGTGCTCACTGCAATCGGATGGCTCCATCACAACCATCAGCCCCACCAACACCACTAGTATACCCATCTTACCCCTTCCAATGTCTATGCGCTGACTTCTTTCATTGCAAGGGTGTCAACTACCTGGTGCTGGTCGACAGATACTCCAACTGGTCAATAGTGGAGAGAACTGTTGGAGGTGCACCTGAACTCATCAACTGCTTACGACGCACATTTGTCACATTTGACATACCTGATGAACTTTCCTACTGATGGGGGACCCGAATTCACAGCCTCTGCAAACAGAGAATTCCTTCACACATGGTCAGTACATCATCGCCTATCTTCTGTCGCCTTCCCCCACAGCAACTGCAGGGTAGAAATTGGCGTGAAGACAGCCAAACGCATGATCACTGACAACACTGGACCCCGGGGTGAACTTGACACGGATGCTTTCCAGCGGGCAATGTTTCAGTACAGGAACACCCCAGACAGAGACACAAAGTTATCTCCTGCTATGTGTGTTTTTGGCAGAGCCATAAAGGACTTCATCCCCATCCTACCCGACCGGTACAAACCTCATGAGACACGGAGCGATACACTATTACTGAGGGAGGAGGCACTGAGAAACGGACATATGAAGATGGCAGAACGTCTCACTCAGCACACCAAACGGCTCCCACCTCTCTCAGTTGGTGACTTTGTCAGAATCCAGAACCAGACAGGGCCCCACCCACTCAAATGGGACAGAACAGGATGTGTGGTCGAAGTTCGTCAATTCGACCAGTATGTTGTACGGGTAGACGGATCAGGTAGAGTGACCCTACGCAACCGGAAGTTTCTGAGGAAGTACATCCCTGCTTTCCAACCTCCATCTAGACGCTCAGTCGCTGATGACTTGCCAAGGCCACAAACATCTACCCTTGACAATACCACCACCCCCATACTATGTCCACATAGTCTCTCAACCGGTGACACTTTACGCACATCCAACAGTCTCTATGGTGACGAACAACGCACTCCACATCAACAGTCAGTGTCATCCAGACCAATCCCCACCACCCTCACCTGGTAGATCCCGTCCACTCTGTCCTGTGATCACAGAACCCATTGTCCTGTCGGAGTCACCAAGCATCGATCCTTCACCGACCCTAACAGTAGACACAAGTGTGATCCACCCACGCCGTTCTACCCGCACCAAGAAAAAGCTGAACTGGCTGTCTGATTACGTGCATGTTATTGAGTCAGAATAATCCCTGGGCCAAAGGACAGTCTACCCAGAGAAAGCCCTGAATGTGTTATTGCCAGTTTCTCTCTTTATTTCAGTTTGTTCCAAACGTTTAGACTTTTCCCAATCACTTGAGGACAATTCAAGACATTATGCTTCATTTAACTCAAACCTGAGTTCTAGTCAGAACTGTTTCTTTCAGTCCATGCCACAACTTTGTCAAGATCCGACAATGACTTGGGGAAGGATAGAGGATTATATGGTATTTAATTATCCATGTTATACATGATGTGTTTACTCGCATTGCAGATCTCCGTCATTTATGATCGATCGTGAATAAACAGTCATCTGTAAAAAGTATTGCCTACTGATTTAGCGTAGATCGATGGTCATGCTGTTGATCACTATATTGTCTGGTTCAGACTCGATTATTTACAGACCGCCGCCTTGCAGCTGGAATAATACTGAGTGCGGCGTTAAACAACAACCAACCTACCAGTCATATGGCGGTGCATGATGACTTCCCTCTCATGACGTGTATAATCTCACCGTACGTGCAAACCGAATGTACAACATATGTACAAGTTCGCTAGCGTAAATATTTCAGTTTGGATCGGGAAGTATTCTGTAAGGCTTAAAGCATTATTTTCCGCAATGAAAACTTTTCGGAAAGTGTAAACGAAGTCATTGTTTAACAGTCCGCATTATTTCTAAAGTGGCACTCTTTCTGAACCTGGACGAGCGACCACTCTCACCAAACGGCGACCACGTCGCAGCGAGACACGTGGCGAGCTGACCACTGATAATGGGTGTTTACCGTTCGCTGAACAAACAGGTCAACCGCTGTTATATTGGGACAGTGACATAATGGCGGACAACGTGACATGTGTATCTTGATGCGACAATTTCATATTAGCGGCCATTAGTGCGTTTCTGCACAGACTGTCGGAGAATCGTTCGGTGCATATAAAGGCACATATGTTGCAGTGGTTTCTAACTGCATATATGCAGATATACTATATAAGGTTAAAGGTTAAAGAGCACTACAGAGGCGATGGTATTCACTTTTGGAAAAATAAAGAAAAAATTGAGCCACCAATTACATACGTTATCAGACTTACTTGGCTTACAACACGCAAACTATCACTGCAAAGACACAAATATGATAGCCGTATCAAAAAGTCCTACAACACCACCAATAGGCATTATTAATATGCCTACCTAGTTATAAACATGTAGGCCTATATTTTTAACGGCTATCAAACATACAGGTGTGCACAATACGTTTTCAAATGTACTGTATATACAGCTTCTACCTGGCGTGAAGAGAAAATGATGCCTCACTCGTGGAATAAATCTAAGTTTAATTTAACATAAAGTAATGCATTTATCTGAAAACATATAATTGCTACCTTACTCAAGTGATTTACATGAAATTGTATTTTTTTCTGTATTTCTTAACATAGATTGATGAAATGAAGAGTTAGCAGTCTGCGGAAAAAACTGTTTTGTAATACGATATGCTGAGTGAGATCATTCAAGTTGTGACAGACCCCAATCCCAATCAATTATATTGACAGTCACGCACCGCTAACCGAAAAGAATGTTGTCTGAAGTAATCAGGGGGAGGTAACTCGGAGAGCCAAGTAGTTGACCTCTAGACGGGTCACGTGTTCGTCTTCCTCTTTCATCAAAACATTGCACAGGTAGATAGCGGTAAATTTGTTAACAGTCAACCATCATAAACGCATTTTGCATCGATTGCATCTGACGGAAACTTAACTGAGTACTGACATAGTATTATATTGCGTGCTTACTTAGTTTGTGTGAAGTTTAAGCGAGATTTGTTTTCAGATTCTGGAGACACCCGGCTTGAAAGGAGCAGGTGCGGTGGATTCATAAATGGAGCAGACGTGAAATATGTCAAGGGATACCGCTAGCAGATAACGAAACTACATTGCTGTAGGAATCCACCATGGACAGGCGTAAACCATGCCCGTACGACAAGGCAAACTGGCTTTCCAGAATGACATTTTGGTGAGTTAACAAAGAAACTTCATGCGAGGAAACGAGTGACAGATCGAGGTGTTGTGTTACTGGCTCGTAAGCAGTGATAGATGTCACAGGAAATGTTTGAGTCACACATGGGTGTCGTCTGCTTATAGTTCATTCATCATTATAAGACAGATAACCAGATATTTCTGTTAAAATAATTGTGACATAATCAGCCGTGTCCATACAATATTGCCACAGATTACGTCTTGGTTGTATATCACCTCGTTGGAAATATACATGTCGTGGGTGGGCTGGCTTCATAAACAAGTGTTATGCTTGATTTGTTATGCACTTTCTTGTTTTAATAAATGTTACTTTGGGTCTCTGTATTATAGAATGTAACCAAATGGGACATTAACAAGATATGGAAATTATGAAAGTTAGATACTTACATAACATGTTAGAGAGAAAATATGGACTGACTACTGGCTAGCGACCAGTTATCGCCGCGTAACAGTTATCGCCAATACATCAGTATCACAAGTGCGCAATCTTTTTAACTTAGTCGGGGGGATGTCTCGCGACCTATATAATAGCAAGTTCAGGTTCACAAGTCATTAATTGTTTCATTCCCTATCAATCTACTGTAAATATAACACTCAAATAGTCACACAATCAATTATTTGAGGTTACTGTATGATATAAATATATATTATTTCACGAATGGCATGTGAAATTCTGAATTAATAAACTAACTCTGATAACTAACCCTAAGGATCAAGGACTGTCATGAGAGAACAGAGCGGCGTTATTATAGAATTACTCTTGAGATATATATCTATTTCATTTAATACTATTCATTAGTTGGTGATTCTAAAATCGCAGGGTTTTAACTTGACCAACAAAATTTGGGGTCCACAGAATGCCCACTTACTAATTTCAAGGGTCCTTACGTGATTAGTTTGTTGTTGTTTAATGTGCACTCAGCAGTAATTCAGATATATGTCAGCGATCTGTAAATAATCAAGTCAGTGTAAAAAAGAATATTTAATATCTATTGCAAAGTATGCTGCCATCTTGGTAAAATAAACCTACGACAGGTATGGAACATGATTTACATTGAAAATATGCTACAACAAGCTATGTTTTAATTGCAATAACTTTATGATAATTTTAGGGCTAAGATCGTTTTGAAAATCTAGGTTTGTTCTCCATTTGAGGCAAGATAAGTTTATAGCTTTAGTATTGGTTAGATTGCTATTTTCGTATTTTGGGGTAAATTAATTTTTATCTTTGGCTGCTCTGTTTATAAACAGTTCAGTCAGTTCAGTCCCAAAACCATCCATCTCTGAAAAATTGCATTTGAGATATATTTTTCTATTTATTTTTATTACATTATCAATCGAATTCTCGTCACTTGTTTGAAGACAATATTTGTCAACATTTCAAAAGATACAAACATTGGTGTAATTTTTTTAACATATACAATAAAATTTATGGACTGAATTAATGGAAGCATGTTCATTATGCATATATTATTTTGTTTTCGTTTAAAAGATTACTGAATTGCAACACTTTTCTTATATCTCTCATGATCTACACAAATTGTAAACCAAACACCGTCAGTTCCAAATGAATTCCGTTCTTCAAATACTCAAAAATAACACCCGAAATTGGCCAACACATGATGTTTATCTCCTAATTGTTCATTGGCGGTGCTTACTACAGGGCTATTATTTATATACTGATGTGTATGTATATTGTATCATGATTCACATATTTTTTATCGGTGAGGGAGTCTTTACCTATAGAATAAATTAAAAATATGAATTATTTCAAAATATACAGTAGTGAAAATAACTGCTGCTGTTTTAAAATATTATATGCACTGTCTAGTAATGCCAAAGAAATTTGGTTGAAAGAAACATTTGGCCTTTTATTGTACAAATGTACTTTGAGTATTGGCCAACATTGTTATGATATTGGGGGCTGTGGGGTAGCCTAGTGGTTAAAGCATTTGGTTCGATTCCCCACATGGGCACATTGTGGTAAGCCCATTTCTGGTGTCCCCCGCCGTGATATTGCTGGAATATTGCTAAAAGCGGCGTAAAACTAAACTCAGTCAGTCAGTCAGTTATGATATTGTGTCATCCATTGTCATGAGGTCACAAATTGATTCATTTCTTCATCTGAAGTATAGGGTGCCCTCAGTGAATAAGGGTTTTCTGTAGGGTTGACATTTTGTCATGTTCATGCATATTTTCTTGATTTTCTAACTTAAAATATTACACCTCTGAATTAGTCTTCAGAGGAGCCCATGCTTGTTGTAAGAGGTGACTAACTGTATCGGGTGGTAAAGCTCGCTGACTTGGTTGACACATGTCATCGTATCCGATTTGTGTAGATTGATGTTCATGATGTTGGTCACTAGATTGTCTGGTCCAAACTCTATTTACAGACTACAGCCATATAGCTGGGAAATATTACTGATTGTGGCGTTAAACAATAAACAAAGCTTAAAATATCAATGAGTCATCTAAAGACAATCTGTGCCTGGGACTCGGCACTACTGGCTATCTCTTCCTTGTGAATGAATGCAGTAGATCCCTTGCCAAAAGCTCAGGATTAATAGCATTCTTTTACCATGATTTACTCTGGACAGATAATGTGTTATGCCTGACAAGTTATGTTTTCTCTAATTCCTTGTCATAACGATAACAGGGTTGCAGATACAAATAATTACTTGCGCATGTTGTACAGATTCTTAGTACATGTTTGAATTACCATGATTACAGTTTTCCTGTATACAGAATGAATTTGAAGGAAGCAACAATATATATCAGTTGCTGTGTGTATCACCATGATCACAGGATTTTCTTTTTCATTTGTGTATATTGTAATTGTTTTTTTCTTTTGACTGTGCCCATTTAAGAACTGCCAGTTGAAAAACTAAATCTTTATGACAGCTGTCACTGCTATGTACAGCTATGAAAGTGACTCCATTTCTGGAATTTTCTTCAAGTTATTTATTAAGCCATGTCTGAAATAACGGAGGAACTTGGTCACAATTTTAATGTTTGTAATTTTTTTCTTAATGGTAAACTTCAGGCAAGTGGAAGTGAAGTCAAACAGTATGTATCACTATGTATCAACATCTCACATGCACGCAAGCATGTGCGCACACACATAGCACACATGTTCACTCGCATACCCCAAGCTCACCCGGGATACCACTTAATTTGTCTTAGCTTCCAATTTTAACTTAGAAAAGGAATGCTTAATTCTTTTTTGAAAAGGAAGCTTTTTGCCTGAACGTTTCTGTTATGTATCAAAGCAAGGGATGCAAAATGGAATATATACAAGTCATGCAGTAGTGTTGCCGGTGTCTGTTTGCCAAGGCCCTTACAGTAATGTCAACCAAAACAATAGGCCATACGCAGCATTGTCGCCATGTATTTATTTTGTTTATATGAAAAATACTTAAACTACTGGCTTGTCATTGTTTGAGAGAAGAATATAAGTATGTTTTACCCAATATCCTTGATATGTATTGCTTGCTAGTGTATTCGGTGCAGCTGTAGTTTGCATCCTCCATTTTACTGTGAGTAAAGGTGTGGCAAGTTTGTAATGATTTGTAAACATATTAATTAATACAGTTTCTGGTTTTCAATATATTGCTAGCAGTGGCTTCGGAAATACTACAATATCATATAACATAATGTTACATTCATAGTGCTTTCAGTGGAATGTCTGATTTCCATTCTTCAATATCTAACTGTAAAGAGAAGGTTCATCACTTCATGCAATTATTAACCAAGGTTCAGTTGAAGCTAACCCTGCTTGCTTTAACATTCACTCTGAATTTTATGAATACCAGAATTCTTGCTCGAATAGTCTGCTGCATAGTGTCTGGTTTGGGAAACTTCCATCTATTATCATGATTATTCGTCACGCTGAAGAGCAGGGTTCGATTCCCCACTTGGGTACAATGTGTGAAGCCTATTTCTGGTGTCCCCTGCCGTGATGTTGCTGGAATATTTCTAAAAGTGGTGTAAAACCAAACTCACTCACTCGCTCACTATCATGATTATTACGCTCAGATAATCTGTTTGATTGGCTTACTCCTTGATCATGTAGATAGTTCTCAATTGATTATTGTGCTTTAATACGTATTGGCTGACATATAATTACTGTCCCTCACTGTATTAAACAATGTATTAAACTTGGAACATTGTTGCATAATAAATAACACTGCCACATAATGATATACTTTCCGGTCCTTTGAAGCTATAAGCATTGTCTTGCAGTACTGATAGTGATAAAGTTCAATTTACCACTACTGCTATATCAAAGTTTTATTTTGTGAAATAGATTTGTTTTGAATTGATAATGGATCTTAAGTGACTATGTTTATTTATTATCTTCCATGACAGTATCCTAATATATGTTAATTCCAATCAAAATCAATTATCTTGCTTCACACATAAATGTCGTTTTCTGATTGGGTGAGCGCTTTGCTATTATTTAAGAATTGAATTTCACTTTGAACAACGCTTTGACATCGTTCATTTTTCAGTGCAAACACACAAAGTGACATTCATGATTCAATTCTTATAATTTCGCACTTTGATGTTTACACATACATATTTTACCCACTTCTACATGATCATTGTTTACAGTGATGTGTTTTAATACCTGTAAAATGTTGTAATGTCATTCTGTTCAAGACCGTATTGTAGCGATGTTTGTATACTTGGCGATTTTTTTACACATGTATCCCAACCCTTGAAGAAATAGTTCTCAAAGTATTCCTTAAAATATTACAACCAATTCATCAATAGGTTTGAAACTGCTTTAATAAGCATAACATCAATGAAATTATCAAACAGAAACTAATATCAATAACAATATCATTTTAACAAACTGTCATTGTACCTATAAAACTATGACGGATTCGCGTTGATCACAGAATAATACAACCGACCGACTTCAAGTTTTATGGCGTGGTGAATAGGAAGCAGATTTCGTTGGTGTATTCTATTTATTTGTGATTGTTTATTGTGAAACTTAATGAGCAGTTTTTAAACAGATCACGGGGCAGAATCCGCAAACCAAGAGAGATTAAACTCTTGTGATAAGGAACAATGCTCAGCAATTGGAAATCCGTTTGGTCGTGAAGAAGTGACATTGCCAAAATTGGGGTGATCTGAAACAGGATCGCCGCTAAATTGGCATCACCAAATGCAGCAAGATCATTGGGGGTCCTTGAAACCGTAGCGGAAATTTGAAAATTAGGTCGCGACTGGCTGGGACTTGTTGTCAGGACGCGTTGTCGGTCAGATTTTTGCAAAACTGTGCTCAGTTGGCGCTTTTTGTTACGTACTAAAACAAGTAAGTGATATGTATAAATTAAAAGGAGTGTGAATGCAAATGATTTATTTTGTTTACATCAAGCTGGACAGCGAGTATCCTGGGGACCCAGATCGGCTCGAAAACGTTCACACACGTATGAACGATGTTTACACACGTATGAACGATTTGAAGGGTTCAAGGTAAATGAACCTTGAAATTTAGATCACATGACCACTGTCTCAACCAACCAACGTTCGGGAATCTGTAAACTTCAAAGCACGAAATTATCTTCAATATACCCCGCTAACAAGCGAGTAACATTTTCTATGTACCCCACTGGGAATGCCAAACTCATTTGGTACTTCATTGTAGTAATTCTTTATCTCGAATAACATTGAATCGCGTATGATGTATGGAAATTACCGATTTATTGCTAATGCAAATTGATGGAAGGGAGATAACTTTAAATTTCTTTTTCTTGTCGTCGGGTACTTTATACTATGATTCGATACCCGTGCTTCAAACAGTTCAAATTACCATTGAGGTGTTCGGTAAGATAAATACATTATTTACTGGTCCCTTGGGGCCCATGGTTTGATGTACCCTCGATGTTTCTTTATGTTCCAACATGAACAAACATCAAGGGTACATCAGCCCATGTCCCCATCGAGACCAGTGAACAACCCTTATTGCTATAAGGCAAGGCATATGAGGCATATTGTATAATGAAAATGTATAAATGGAAACACATGTTATATTTGGGATTACACTTTCTCAGTAAAGTACACTTTCTAGTACTATTGTTGGGTTGAGCCCCATTGTGTATGGCCCTGACGAGTAATGGAAAGTAACCTCTCTCTCTCTCTCTCTCTCTCTCTCTCTCTCTCTCTCTCTCTCTCTCTCTCTCTCTCTCTCTCTCTCTCTCTCTCTCTCTCTCTCTCTCTCTCTCTCTCTCTCTCTCTCTCTCTCTCTCTCTCTCTCTCTCTCTCTATATATATATATATATATATATGGATTTCATCGTGGGTATTTTAAGTGACCCATCATTGGATCAATGTCACAGACAGAATGAAGCCTCTTATCACCTGAGAATCAGTTTAACAGCTGTTACCGGTCAGTTCAAAGAGAGTGCATCTAATTATGCTAATAATAATGTCTGAGTCAGGTCACAGTGTTCTAATTGTTGCACATGCCAGCCTCAGGTCATCTGTTCAGAGCATGAATAGGGCATGAGCTTACATACAAGAAGCCGTCACACCCAAGTCGGTTCTGTTGATCTAGTAAGATCAACCAATAATATCCGAAATATTAGTAGACAATCTACTGAGGATAATACCATGATTCAGTTTCAGGCTGGTCATACATGTAGACTCAAAGCTTTTGTCACAGACTGTTTTGGATTGTCTCATCATTTATGGTCATTTCATCAAGATAATTATTATTCAATCCTAAGGGCTGCAATGAATCCACTATGAGGCGAATATGAAACGTATCACAGACTGTTAATGTATCATGACATTACCTGTGACCTCATTACTGTCAAATTAAATGTTGACTACTATCATGCCTGGCTTGGAGTTGGATATATTCCGTTTTGCATTTCACTTTGACAAATAACACCAAATTCAAGTAAAAGCATTCCTTAAGAAATGCATGAGTATGCAGTTCTAACTTCTAGTGACCATGAATAACAAATTGAATTCATAAAGGGATACAGTTAAATTCACCAATACACATTGTAACAGTCGTCAACATGTCACAGTTGCATGTTTTTGTTTGTTTCCAAGATGTAAGAAAAATTAAGCATGGTATCTGACCATCATGTTTAGTTTTAAATACATTCCCACTGAACACAGATGTTTATAAGAGATAATGCCATTATTTCTTGTTCTGGTACATGTTATCATTGGTTATGAGCATCATCATAGTGGTGAATTGTGTGTGCTATTTGTGCACATTTCAATGTATGGGCATGCTCCTGCTAGCCATAGACTTGCCTCCTGATCCTAATGTAACCCAGAACCCATGAAGATCCGGGTTAGAATTGGTCTTCAGTAGGGCTGTGCAATATTACCGGTATATACCGGTACAGTATCTAGCGATACGATATGGTTCAGATTCTGCAATATATTGGGTCATCCAGGGTTAGCCCCCTTTGAATTATATGCCCTTGACTTCCATGGCAACAATATGTGCCCTAAAAGTGCCAAATATACTATAGTGCCTCAAATGGGCCAATGTTTTATTTGGACTTATTAGTAGAGCCTCTGGCTCTGAGTGACCATTTCACAATTCAAATTATTTTATTATTTTTGTATGTTTCAAAATGGGACATATGTTATCAATTTGTCATAAAGACCTAAGTCTTATAAATTTTGTAGGACTGTATAATAACATTCTAGTCAAGGATCTTAGTCATTGGACGAGGTTTTTAAGCTCAAGTAGTTCACCTGAATCATGTTTTTGTTTCATTTTGCCGTAGTTCATGCTAACACGTTTATATTGGAGTTGAATCTGAGTGAATCACTGACATACAGTAACCATGGTAACAATAATTATATCCTGCATTGAAGAGCATTCTGTTGAAGCAATCATCACTGACCATGGAAAGTTATACCGTTACCTTTATCATTATGTTCGCAAAACTTTGTTGCAATACTTCAATTAAATATTTCACATTAAAGCTCTATATCATGTTATTTATCTGTAAACCATTGGCATACAGCCATACACAATGGGGACGGGGAGCCTGAAAGTATGAGGTAACAGCAACTACTAATACAAGACAAATCTTATGGATAACAATTTCTTGATTTATTTTACACAACGTTTCTGGGCTAGTTCTTGCCCCTTCGTCAGGTGGATAATGATCATAGTGAACAATACAGTATATATATTGATGTACAGGAAGCCAGATATGTACATAAGTATATACAAGCGCAAGGGGAAAAGAGATATAATGAAGTATGTACAAACAATGCAGTGAGATGAAAGAGAAGAATACAGTGATAGGGTATTTTACACAGCAGAGTGGTTTGAGAGTCTATGATTTCTTGGTGATGCACCAGGCGCTCGGGAGCTGTGCCTTGGGTGATGGTGGCCAGAGAGCACTCATAACATACCTACTGGATATGTCTACTGTACGACATTGCTGTATCACTGACCTCAACAACAGCTGTTGTGTTATAATGCAGCAGAACAGCTTACATGCTAGATGTCATCAGGAAACATATTCAATATTATTATTATTTCAGGTGGATATCAGGTCTGTTCCGAAACGGTTACAAGAAAGATCTAGACATATCTGATATGTATGATGTCTGCCAAGAAGACGAATCCAGTCAGGTTGTGCGGACACTGGAGAGGTTTGTGCACTGTATAATAATAAAACCTAACTAAAGGGTTAAACATATGTTTCTTACCATGCTTTACTCCAGATACTTTAACTTCTTTCAGAGGTAGAAGTTGGAGAAGTAAGGAAGGATAACAATATATTTTTATGAACAACTTCTTTATTGCTGTGAAGGTTTTCTGGGTTGATGGGTATCCATCTTTAATTTGTTGAACTTAGCAATGTGGGTCTTTTTCCTGGCAGAGTCTAGGTTGCCGCTGTGAGTTACTTGTGGTCTGCATGTTCCTGAGTGAAGCGTAGGTGTCCTCTGAGAGAATTGATTGAAGGTAGTTTTCTTTTTCGGCGATGGTGTGTAGGGTGAGGGCCCGGTCTTACAACAAATTAAAGATGGATACCCATCAACCCAGAAAACCTTCCTCCATTGCGGACTACCAGGGAAAAACTGCCGTCAACCTAAGCAGAACCTCAACCAGAAACATATTGCAGTCCTAGCCAAAGGCCTCAAGTTCTCACCCACCAACATCTGGGCCAACAACGATGAGTTCATCACTAAATCTTTAAACTTATCCAATCTCACGGTATGCACCTCTCTTCTTCTTCTACGACCATGTGTGGAAACGTGCTGTAGGCTAAGTTGAATCAAAAGTTATCTGGCCTCTGACCCCCCGACCTCTGCCCCCACTCCGATAGCAGTACCTGTCAATCATCTCAATAAGCGTGCAGATAACTCAGATGATCATGTGACAGTCTGTGCCTGTCATTCTCTTTCTTGTCGCTACACCGAGTGGACGTGTGTGTTGTTCTCTCAGTTAGACATTACTTGATTGTCAATATGGAAAATAGATGGAATCAAAGTTCTTCTAAGAAACGCAAACACTGTGATCAGTGCAACAGCAACTTATCCGCTGCTGATCCACACGCTTTGTGTGTGGATTGTATAGGCTGTTGTAGTTGGTCACATCGGTGTTCTGTTTGTTCACACTTGAATTAAGTTGAATGATGATGATATTTCTGAATATCGATGGGTTGCATCTAGATGTAGAACGGACAGAGATTTGCGTACAACTGTTGAAGGTCCTTCAACTTTTAAGCGTGCTATATCGGAACGCTGTTCGAAGAGAGCAGTTGGTTGATCTAAATCACTGTCCCCGGACGTAGATTTTTTAGAGGTGGCCTCAGACTCCTACTTGAGCGAGTATCTCCATCGTCTCTTTTGTCATCAAACGTCTAGTCCCATCTCCAGACAAGTTTTATCTCCTCCGAGAGTGGTAGTGCTAACAACTTCTGCAGCACAGTCTCGGCCTTCTAACTTGGTGACGATTTCACAGACTCCTAGTTTACCTCAGGTGGTTGTTTCCAATGCGCTGCTTTGGCTGAGTGCTCCACACCCCTCTGTTATGGTGGGTGCGCTTGGTGAAGCGTTCACTCTCATGCGGCGAGTGCAGTCATTTCGGCGCTTTCAACCACAGGGATCAGTTCGTCAGGCATGATGATAGTATCCAGTGCAGAGCTTTCACAGTGTATGAAATAAGCCAAAAGTCCAGCCAGACATCAGGGCTGGTAACTTTAAAATGTTGCCAGTGCAAAATTGATTTAACCAGGCCAAATATGGTGAATTTACCAGACCGTCGGGCTGGCTGGCTGTAAATATAGACCGTCCGTCGGAAATCTAGACCGTCTCGGGCGGTCGAACAGGCCTTCTTTCATACACTGGCTTTCAACACCTTTCCCGTACCTTGCACCACCTGTCTATCATCTACCGTCTAGTTCCAGTGCACCGTTTACTACTAGAGCGGCACTTGTTGTCCATTCATCACTTTGTTTGTACCAATGCGTTGCTCTCGCAAGACGAACCCAGTGCATCGTTTCACTTCAGTTCACTGCTCTCGTTCGGTCCAACTCGTTAGACCGATGCGCTGCGTTCGATTGGATCAACACTTCAGACCAGTGCCGTTTCCGATTGGAACAACGATTCAACCTAGTGAATTGTTGTTTGATCGGAACAACTTTTCAGTCCGGTACACCATTATTGTATGGTACGACGTTTTAGACGAGTGCATCGGTCTCGTTTGACTCAGCGCTTTAGATCACACTGACCGAACCGGATCATCCATCCGATCCAGATCGCAGAACCGATCCTGATTGCCGAACCATACCAGTTCGCCGCTCCTACAGTATTCACCGATCCGAGTGTGTTCGCTGAACTGTCAGCTTTCGACGAATCATCTGGTTACCTCTTTGGCCTACTGCCATCATGACTTTGTTTGCTAGTTCGCACACTACGTTACCTACAGTGGGTTTTTTCTGCTGCGAGTTTACCTTCAACACTTCTTCCAACTTCGGCGTTGCATGATACCTCATTTCTACAGTTTTTACCGGTGCTCGGCTTGACTTTGGGGTTAGCTTCCTGATTGAATGATTCTGCGGTGTCCATGTACGGACAGTGCGTTCACTCCAATGCGGTGCTTTCATTCTGTTTGGCGCTTCAGTGAGTACCTTGGCTTTTTGATTGGCTCGTCTCTACACACAAGGTCAATGCACTGTTTTCAGTCCAGTGCGACGTTTTGCTCTCATGGGCCTCTTTCATTCACTTCCTTGTTATCTACTAGTGCGTTGATCATATCCAGAGTGCCGTTTTACTCCAGTGCGCTGCTCTCTAAGTATCAATGCTTCCATCCAGTGCATCGTTTCTGCTGGTTGTATAGACAAAATGATAGAGGTAGTAGATATGTCAGTAGCGCAGGCCTCTACTTTACGACGGCGATTGACGATCCCGGATCTTTAAGATTCCTCCATCATCCTTCCGATCTTCACCTTCGATGAATGGTTCGATTCAACGACTCTACCCTTCGTCGTAGATGTCAGCACTCCAACCACCCGGTTTGACATATCTGTCCAGAAACTGGTTGATGTAAAGGAATGATGATGAGGATGATGAAACAGGTCACGATTACACCCAGCGATACATCAGAACGCTGCTTCGAGTAGTCTGTAGTAACCAGACTCAGTGAAGTGTCGTATGATATTCCTGAATATCAAGTTGTGCCTAGTATCCACAGTTTCTGCGTGTGGTATCAACAGTGATGTTTGGTAAAGTAGCTAGTGTCCCTTAACGCGGATGTTATGGGTTGGGACTCGCCTGGTTAACCGAAGACCGTGGTGTCTCGTTTTTGTCAGTATTGCATGTGGGAAGCGTTTGCAATGGCTGACTACTGTTTGTTTATCGCAGATGTTTTGATAATTAGAGTGACTATGGAGTGCCCTGACAGATTGTCTTGGTCCTACGAAGCGGATAACTATCCCAGCCTTTAATTGCCAGTGATGATGGACAGTGCCATTCCCGATAAGAGTGATTATGTCGAGTTTTGTCAGTCAGCCGGGAGAAACAGTTTACCGAGGGTGCCAGACAGAATCGCCATTACGCTTTCACTTTGGCTGGGTTTACTTGGTTCTTAGCTTAAGGCCTCAGTTCAGAGGTCACTGCAGCTATGTCTGGATTGTTCGTAGGCATCGGTGTTGCTACCTTCGTCTCCTTTATGAACGTTCCTGGGGTCACTGGTCTTTTTTACCTCTGCCATTCCATCAGCTTTGCGAATGTTCTGGTAGTATGACGATCCCATGCATCGCATCTACTAACTTTCTCACTCCATCTGGCGGACCAACACTTCATTTGGCGAACTATACGTTCCTACGATCACTGTTTATACGGCCTTCATCACTCTGTGTACAATGTGTACGTTCCTGTAGGTTGACTGACATCTCCATGCCACGAATCTCCTACATTCAACACTTCTTCAGTGCTGTCATGGTAGCTTGGTCACGTATCCTATCTCAGGAAAGATTTTTTCTTCAGTGGCAATAGTTGCTAGGCCTTCTGACGTCAGCTTAAGCCCCAACGTACAGAGGCCATCTCCAACTTCAACAAATACTACGCTCGTATCTCGAGGTTGATAACTGAACCCAAAGGAATTGTTTCGCCTTCCTGAACTGCTTCGTCCAGTCCTTCAGGGTGGCCCGACAAACGGAAGGTCTGTGCTGGAGTTTTTTCTTGGTACCCCTAGAACTCTGGACTCTTTGTCAGTGGCAAGAACTTCTGGGTCTGTTGACATCAGCTCAAGCTGTGACTCTCAGGGGATAGCTTCAACTAAGGCCTTTCCACTTTCTTCTGGGTCAGCACATCAGGATTGGCATCCCTCACGCATTCATCTCTCTTCCTCCAGCACTCCATCTCCATCTCCAGTGGTGGTTGGATGGGTTGAATATGTACAGTGGAGTTTTTTTAAGGCCGTTTGCTCCAGTACATCGCCTGTACGTAGTCACTTTTCTACGCGGGTGGGGAGCTCACTTTCTCGATCAGCAAGTGGCAGGGTTGTGGTCTCCCGAAGAAAGCGCATGTCACAGCAACGTTTGGAGCTCAGGGCAGTGATTCTTGCGATCACTCATTGGCATCACCTGTTACAATCAACCAAGCTTTTGTTTCGATCGGACTATGCTGTGATCGTGTGGCACATCAATCGAATGGGATCCACGGGGTCTCCTCAGCTTCTTTAGTGGACACAACAGTTTTTTCCACTTTGTGGACTCTTTCAACATCACGGTCCAGGCCAATCACATCCCAGGGTTGAAGTACGTCATTGCAGATTCGACCATACCCGATGGGGTGGAAACTGCATCCGCAGGTGTTCCAGACGTTATGCCTTCCAATGTCTAACCTGACAGTGGATCTGTTTGCTACCCGCTTCCATCACCTGCTTCCAATCACCTGGGTCCATTGGTTCTGGTGTAGCAGTTGTCGTCGGCTCGCAAACGCAGATAAGATGCAGTTCCTACCTTCGTGTAGGTTTTGCATTCTCTATATCATGAAAGATATCAGTCCTATCTTTCGTATTGGTATGCATTATATTGGGCATAGACCACCTCATCTAGGGTACTAAGGCGTGTCTGCACTGTCAAAAGTTGTCAGCTTTTAGGTTGTGAAGGGATTCCTTTTCCTCATTGGTGAGGATGGGTTTCTGGGGTCTGTCTTTGAAGAGGATGCAGACTCGATAGACTGAGAGGCCAGTTTTGTGCTACATGCAGAGGTGGTCGACGCTCCGCTTACTGACCTCTACTCTCTGAGCAATTACGTTAAGTGTTGATTTCCAATTACCTGCGTGGTTTTCGAACCGTTCCACTCTTAAGTCCTTTCTCACCTTTGGTAAGTTAGGTTGATTGGTACTGAACATTAAACTAGTTGAGCAACCGGGCTATTCCCTCTTTCACCGCCTTCCAGCGTGCGTCTGTTGGGGGTAGTTTCGAAGCAGGGACTGGCCAGATTAAGGTCCTCAACTTTAAATCACTGGGGTCACCTGATAAATCGTGGGGAGGCGGGGCCTACTTGCCAATCTGCGTCCTTTTCCTTGTCAAAAGTTGCGGCTGAAAACCACATTAATTGGGGATCGCCCACTCCCTAGAGTTTTTGTTCTGTGTAAGCCAAGGGGTTATCTGAAGCAACCCATCACAAGTTTGAAGTTTGCATATCGGGAGTTGGTGCTTACTGCTGGCCTCCTTGGGTTATGCGTCTTCACAGTTGGAAGTATTGACAGGGTAATCTGCAGTCCTCCTGCCAACCTTGGTATTATGCATACCGTGAGATAGGATAAGTTTAAACATTTGGAAATTTTACTATAAATTGTATATATATATACTTGTCCTATCTCACGCGATGGATACCCACCCGACCTGCCCCACATCACAGATTACTGGAAGCTCCAAGACGAGAATGACAGGCACAGGTAGTCACGTGATCATCTGAGTGATCTGCACGCTTATTGAGATGATTGACAGGTACTGCTATCGGAATGGGGGCAGAGGTCGGGGGGTCAGAGGCCAGATAACTTTTGATTCAACTTAGCCTACAGCACGTTTCCACACATGGTCGTAGAAGAAGAAGAGATGTGCATACCGTGAGATAGGATAAGTATATAAATATACAATTTAGAGTAAAATTTTCAATATTGAGAAGGGCCTGCAGCAACTGGCCCCGGTGGCAACGTTGACTTCCTCCGACACCAGATAACCAACATCCTCTTCAAAGACAGACCCCAGAAACCCATCCTCACCAATGAGGAAAAGGAATCCCTTCACAACCTAAAAGCTGACAAAACTTTCACCATAGCCCCAGCAGACAAAGGCAAGGCAACGGTCATCATGGAAACAGCCCATTTCAACAGCCTGACCGACACCATCCACCAAGACCAGACGACCTACAAGAGACTAAAGAAGGACCCTACCGACACACTACAAAAAGAGCACAAGGCATTACTCAAGAAACTCCTCAACAACAACGAAATCGGCCCGACCCTCCACAAAAAGCTCATCACCCCTCATCCCAAGCCACCAGCTGCCCGTGCCACCATAAAAATTCACAAGGACCCTGTGAAAGCCCGTCTTTTAGTCTTTAGCAGGGACACAATCCACTACAACACAGCTCAATATCTATCCCGCCTCCTCTCACCACTCAAAAAACTGCTAAATCGTTCATCCCAGATTTTTCATCTGCTTTCTGTATGAAGATCCAAGACATCAACCAACCCGGGAAATTAATCAGCTATGACGTCATTGACCTGTTCACTAATGTTCTGTGTGACAAAGCTATTGAAATCCTGAGAAACCACATAGATGAAATCCACCCATCTCTAGAAACCCGTCTAACAACTGACAGTATCATCCAACTGATACACTCCTGCATCAGCTCCACATACTTCACCTGGCGGGACAACATATACCAGCAAACCCACGGCCTCCCCATGGGTTCCCCACTATCACCATTAATCACTGAAATGGCCCACCTAGAAGAAAAAACCCTGGAAACATCTCCCCATAAGGCCCTTCTGTTGGTTCCGGAAAGTGGACGATACCTTTGTCATCCTTAAGCCTGACAGTGACCCTAAAGCTCCACTAGACCACATCAACTCCCAAAACCCACGTATCCAGTTCACCATGGAAGAAGAGTCCAACTGTCAGTTGCCCTTCCTTGATGTACTGGTTCTCAAGGACACCATAAACTTAGTACTACAGTATACTGAGAACCAACCCACACCGACCAGTACCTTCACTATGGCTTGATAACGATGTTAGAACCTACACTGAAACGTCGCTCTCACAGCAATAAAGAAGTTGTTCATCCATATATTGTTATCATTCCTACCAGATACTTTGTAATACCAGTGCTACATAAATGTTCCAGATTTATTATACTTGAAACGTTGGAATATAAGCTAGGTCTTCATACTGATATACTGAACAGTTTCTATTCTTTCCAGTGTCCTGAGGGGTTCCTGTGTCCATTTAGGTTCGCTGATTGAACCTTGTTACCTCCTAAATATGGTTCATTAGGGTTATAAGAACCTCTTGACTTTAATGTTCCACTTGGAACACTGCTTCATTCTGTAAATCAAATTGTGAAGATAACCATTATGTCATATTTTCGACTAGCCATTCACATCACTACATTTTATGACTACTTGACCTTTAATTCTTGCCCTCATTAATGTTAACCAACATTTGGTAGTGGATAGGTATATCAGTAAATCCTGCACAGTATCATGTGTCCACAGTCCAGACAACCTCTCCTTGGTTACCATGGTTTACAATGTTCATTAAATTACATCTATAACAGACTCAAAAGGACCACAAAATTCGGTTTGTTATGACTGTAGTTCGTTATATATGTGTTTTGACTATAATATACAGCAGGTGACTTGGACCCATAAGTGTTCATTACAAGAGTATAAGTGTATTTACTTCTTTGTAAGTCAACAGTGCTGATCATGGAAAATATTTATGTTTTATTTGTTTAATTGTTTTGGTATGGGCATAGACATTTTGTTGTTGTTTACAGTAGCAGTGATATTACTGTGTGTGTGTTACAGGTGCTGGAAGGATGAAATACAGAAGTTAGCTGATGGAAAAAATGTCAGCTTATTCAAGACTGTGTTCAGAGCCTTTAAACTTAGGTTGATACTTCCAGGCATAAGTGTCTTCTTTGTGGTAGGTTCACCTGGGAATCGACCCGTGAAGGTCCGGGTTAGATATATTGATCTTTAATAACCCATGCTTGTCGTAAGAGGCAACTAACGGGATCGGGTGGTCAGACTCGCTAACTTGGTTGACACATGTCATCGGTTCCCAAATGCGCAGATCGATGCTCATGCTGTTTATCACTGGATTGTCTGGTCCAGACTCGATTATTTACATACCGCCGCCATATAGCTGGAATATTGCTGAATGCGGCATAAAACTAAACTCACTCACTCTCTCACCTGGGAATCTCTGGACTATACTCATGAGACACCTCTACCATAGCAAAATTCTGAAATTTGCAGCAGATGAAAAGGATGTACATGCTGACAGGATTTGTAATACCAAAGGTTGTTGCCCTTTTTAGTGGGAAACCAATTTTAATGGGTTTAATTGAAGGAATCCATTTTATCTGTCAGTCTTAAAATCAATATTGCTACGGTAATCACATTTGTTAGCCCTATAGCCATACTGAGAATTTGTGTATCTAAGGGACCGTTCACAATCTATGGCTAATTAAGCATGAATGTGGTATGTAGTGTACAATGACTTTGTTGACCATGAAAATGAGAATGTAACACATGTTACAAATTTAGCATGCTTTATGTGAGACCCAGTCAAAAAACACAAACTTTCAAAAACATTTGGGAAGCTTCAGAACATTGTGGCTCATCTTTGAAGTAGCACAGGATATTTGTTTTGACTTATTTGAATAAAGTTTTGTTTCCTTTTGCTTGCAGGAAACATTGAAGATCATGCAGCCTTTGTTGATTGGCCAGGTCATCATGTTCCTAAGCCCAAACCCAACTTTACCCACCTACTATGCTTATATATTTGCGGCAGCGCTGGGGCTGGTTAACCTGCTGCAGACGTTTTTAAACTCCCACTTTTTCTATGTTATGCAACACACTGCCATGAAAATGAAAGTTGCTGTCTCTGGCCTGGTGTATAAGAAGGTAACTGTGTTCTCATTGTCCGTAGAATGAATGATAATGAGTGGGTTCAGTGCTATTTCAAGCAGTACTATGTTACATTACAAGTTGTCACCTTGATGTGGTAGGAAAGGGGACATTGTTATAAGGCTTTAACAAAAATAGTGAAGTCACAAGCACAGGTTCGGTGCTGATGAACCTAGAAACATGTTACGGGTGAACAGGGATTTGGAAGCCATGTTTTTGGCATGTCAAGGGGACACAACTCTGTAGATAGTGAATTCTGGTGACGGCCACATATGCTGTTTGTAAGTAGAAGTTCTTTGTGGAGTATTATTGTACCAGAGACGGTGCCATAGTAACGTGATTAAAAGGTTGATGTGTACCACCCATGATGGGTTGCATTCATCTCATGGACACAGAATGTGTTTTGAATATAAGTTCATCTTCACACAGTATATTTCTTCCTTTATTTGTGACATGTGTGTCTCTGACATGATGTTTTGGTTTTGATCTTTTTTTTCTTCTAAATTTAGTTAAGCCACATCACATGTACATATGTACATAAACACATGACCATAATGAGTTTATTTTTGCTTCTGGTAGTCTGATGTCATGGCTAATGCCAATCCAAAAGTAGCTTCGTACATTAACCTTACCACTGAGGACAGGTTTGACTTGTGGATTTCAACTTCATTTTGTTCTTATAGCATGTTGTGATATGGATGCTAGTACCTGAAGAGCATTGTCAAAACCACCTAGATTACATTACTTACAAAAAGCCAAATTAATGTTGTTGAGTCATTGCTAATAAAGGTTAGAGGAGTTGATGTACTTGTGTGCTATGATAACGCTGGTAAGATTCAGGTTACATGTACAACTGGGGCTATAGTATAAAACATCATCAGAACTTCTAAGTGTATGTAACTCTGCTTTCATAAAAGGTTGAAACCAGGATCTGGAAATCAGCCCTGCCGACTTTGTTAACTAATGCCATTGTCCATGTTGCACTAATTGATGCTCATTGTCAGTCTCAAGACTGTCTGGTCTAGACTTACTTTGGAAGTTGCCATCATAAAGCTGTAATAATGCTGAGTGCAGCATTTAAAAACAATACCAACAAACAGACCCCGTGTGTTACATTGCATGCAAATTTCCACTAAAATATGTCATGTCTTTGCAGGTCCTTACTTTAAGCTGCCAGTCCTTTTACCAGACCACCTCTGGACAGATAGTAAATTTTCTCTCCACTGATGTAGAAATGTTCAGCACTGTAAGCATTTGCATAATTTTATTTATATCAAATATTAATGAACAATTCCTAGAACATGTAAGATTCTAATGTCATAAGTATGATATTAATAAACAATATATCAAAACAAAATTCAGTAAATCCTAGAAATTGTGTACTGCTTTTCAATTATGAAAATGTCTTAGTAAAATTGTTCCATATCTTCTTGTGAGTATGATATGTTTATATATGTGTATGTTGTATTTCTCTAAAGAACATTTCTAATTTCTGTTTTTCTGCTTTCAGTGTATAGAAAACATACACTACTTGTGGTTGTCTCCCCTTGTCATATGTGTCGTAGTGTACCTCATATACAGGGAAGTGGGTGTGGCCAGTTTCTTCGGTCTCCTGCCTGTTCTTGTATTTTTACCATCCCAGATTGGTTCGGGGAAGCTCTTTGGTGTCTTGAGGTATGTTGAGTATTGGCCTGAATAACGAAAATCACTTGCTTGATAACGGTGTTAGTACCTACACCAAAATGTCACACTCATTGCAATACAGAAGTTGACTATCCATAGAACTTGGTTTTCCTTCATCTATACAACTTCTAAAATACCTCTCAAAGAAGCAAGGACACTGCTGTAATTATGGCTGTGATATAATGGATGGTGTTACTGATGCCAAAAATCAGTGATTTACTCCTTGTATTACTATCAGATTAATAGGGAACTGCTTTGTACAGTTGTTTCTGATGTTCCCAGAAAGCTTAGACACAGGTTTACCTGTGTATCTATGTTTCAGTGGATAAAAATGTCTGCAAAACATTTTGATCTGATTGATAAATGAGACAGATGTCTCAAGCATTATATTAATCCATCAGATATCATCCAAGATGGTTGAAAAATATTTGGCTTCATGATCATGATATCCAGAAGGTTATGTTCCTTTGTAAGTGGGATTTTGTGTTGACCTTAGAATGAAGACTGCAGCTTGGGGAGACGAGCGTATCAATGCCATGACGGAAATAGTGTCTGGGATGAGAGTGATCAAGATGTATTGCTGGGAGAAACCATTTGGTCAGATCATCAACACACTTCGACAGTAAGCTCACTTCCAGTAGTATTTGACCCACATCTGGTTTAGGTATCAGAATAATTGGCCCTGTGCTGGTCATATGATAATGTTGCCAGGCATCATACTCCCGTGATGTGAATAACTGGATTGTCTCATTCTATCTCAATTCATTACATTAATATGGCTGGAATATTTATGAGATATAAGTAAAAACCCCAAACAAAAGGCAGCATTTGAAGGGATGATAGCCAACAGTTACTGGCAAACAAGGATAAGTTGGACTGGCGAAGATAACGTGTTTACAAGAAGTAGGCGGTGCACAGCAATGAGCAAACCCATTTGGTTTGTGAAAGGTAGAGCAGATGTAGGCTAGTGCACGTTCAGTACATCACAATGAAATTGATTCTGTGCGCAGCTGCACACTCCTTGCTCATAAGACTCTTACGTGGTCGGTGTAGCGCTACACTTTATCACGGACAACCTGGGGCCCCTTTTGCTCACATTGGCAAGCGCCAGTGGGCTGCACTCAAACATGCTAATACAGGTCAATTGTCAGGTCGGTGCTCAACTTATCCTTGTTTGCCAGTAGTGTGGCCAGATTGTCAGGTCGGTGCTCAACTTATCCTTGTTTGCCAGTAGTGTGGCCAGATTGTCAGGTCGGTGCTCAACTTATCCTTGTTTGCCAGTAGTGTGGCCAGATTGTCAGGCCTGTTTCATTGTAGTTAGGGATGGCTTTGAATGTCTTCTTTATAAATGTTTATGTGAATCCATTTTATATCACCAAAACCAAAGTTTATATTTACTTAAATATATGTTTTTATTAAAACTTAATTATTTGAATTGTGTCTCATAATGAATGACATATATCTGTTGACACTATACTATTCATAGAACTTACCACTGTGTATTACTATGAGATACTTAACAACCATCACATGTGATGTTTATCATCTTTTCAGGATTAGAGCTAAATGAATAACTTTGAATTTGTATATTGTAGTGTCATATTCTGTGGTTTCTTCTCTTGCAGAAAGGAAATGTCATTCCTAAAGCTGTCTTTCCTGGTTAAAGCAATAAACCTATCTATTGTGTTCTACCTCACACGAGTAATGGCGTTGTTCATCTTTGTTGGAAACTGGTTGTTTATCTCCCACCCAATATCAACCAGTTCAGTCTTCGTCACTCTGGGCCTGCTGGATATCCTCAAGTTGTCAGCATTCTACTTTCTTGCCTACAGCTTTGAGACCCTCTATGAACTATCTGCCTCAATGCAGAGAATACAGGTATTTTTTTTTTGTGTGCACTGAGATGGTGTCATCTGATTATGGACATTTCTTTACATTTGTGTGTTTTGTGCCCTGTACCTAAACATGTTTTACTCAACATGTATGAACAATTAAACAAGCTTGATGTTTTAGTTGAGTATTTTATCATGTGATTAGTAAACCACGAGTGCAAAGCCTAAGATAATTTTAACGGAATGCAAAATGATAACACTAAAATGCACTGCATATATTATGCAAAGAGCCAAGTTTGAAACTGTGGACTCAAAAGGTTTGGGCGCAGGTTGTATTATTTGTTGTATGCTAAAAATTACATGACATTATTTCCTGGCCAAGGTCTTGTCATAAAAGTTTATCTAAATTAGTCCAATTGCTATCTAAATTTAAGAGTAAATATTCAGAAATTTCCAGCTTTAAAAAATATAAAATCATGTGTATCCTCCATTGAAGAGAATGGTGACAGTAACAGTTGACGTAAAACTCTTTTTTTCTATGTTTCCTGCAGAAATTTTTGTTGCTGGATGAAGAGAAAGATCTCACACATGGGGGCATCCTTCACAAACATGTGCATCATCGGACACACACAGAGTCAGATGCTGCTGTGGAGATAGATTATGTGACAGCCCGATGGGAGATGAGTGGGGCTGAGCTGAGGAAGAAGAGCAGGGAGAAGATCAAGAAGAGAGACAGCACCAGTGAGACTAGTAAACTCCTGCATGAGGTCAGTGCTGAAACACTTCTGTTTATGTAAAGATAGCAGCAACAAACTTGGTTATTATTATTATAGGATATTTATATAGCGCACATACCCAGGCAACTAGTGCATGCTCAAGGTGCTTATGACTGATGGTAGAGATTTCTATATAAATATTGTGGTGATTGATATATCTTCTCTATATGATTTAGACAGATTTAGATTTCTTAAGGAGACCATCATTACATGATTGTTTCATAGTTTCCTGAGAACAGACATAGCGACTCGTGCCAGTTTCATTTATTCACGGGTAATGGAAAAATATGAAATATTCAAATCCTTGAGGTATTGACAATAGATGCTTCTTGTCAAGCAAACAAACTTTACAGAATGAAACCATTTTTAATTACAAAGTTTTCTATTTCAGAGTGAGATGGAACATTATTTTTCCCTCAAGTCCATTGCGCTGAACATAAAAAAGGTCAGTGTGTTTAAGTTTGAAGATGAAGGTGAATGATTCTGTCTGCATCTGTGAAGTACATATGCAAGAACTAATTCAGGAATCAGTAGATTGTGATTGATATATGTTTTTGCATTTTTTGTGCTGTACTTTCCATATTTGATATTTATTCATTAGACAAGACAATTATTGCCTGAATTTTTATTGCATGAATCAGGGGGAGTTGATGGCTGTTGTGGGAACTGTGGGCTCTGGAAAGGTAAGTGTCTTTGACTGGAATACTACCTACTTTCTATGCTTGTAGACTCTGTTTCTGTGATGGATTCTCATTCCTATCATAGGTTGAAGCTACACATTTCTAAAATGGCATTGTGTATTTCATAGCTTTTGGCCGTGGGAGCCATGCCAATTAACACTTATCAGAGGGGTACACAAAGTCCGCAGCCTAGACTAACAGTTGTCCGACTTCCATTTCTGTGGAAGCCGCGGTGGCTGAGCGGTCTAGGCTTCTGACTTTGTTTGCTGGCGATTAGGTGCCTGACTCTGAGGGTGCGGGTTCGATTCCTGGATGGGACTCAACCCAAAACGTACTAGAATCTGTACTTTACTAAGAAAGTGTAATCCCAAATATAACATACGTTACACATTTAAGGTTGTATTTTATCAAGTCACTTACTTGTGGTTACTGACATCAGTTGAACTCGATTGAATAATGGTCGAAGTGAAACGTTAAATGTCAAGAAAAAATGACTAACATTGTCTGTAGCCAATATGATCAGTGATAACAAACATAACTGGCCTTATTAATTAACAGCAAAGATTTATCTCCCTCAGATATTCTACAAATGTGTGATTTGTTTCTCTTGGAGGTAAACAAAATGATTAATAGATAATCAATTTCCTGATGATTGGTTGTTTGTTGTTTGTTGTTTAATGCCGCACTCAGGCAGTATTCCAGCTATATGGCGGCAGTCTGTAAATAATCAAGTCTGGACCAGACACTCCAGTGATCAACATCACGAGCATCGATCTACGCATTTGGGAAACGATGACGTGTGTCAATCAAGTCAGCGAGCCTGACCACCTGATCCCGTTAGTCACCTCTTATGACAAGCGTGGGTTACTGAAGACCAATTCTAACCTGGATCTTCAGGGTCTTTTTTCTGCTGAACCAGGCACACAAAGGCTGTAAACTTTACAAGTATGCCCCTAGTGGACCATTGGGTATGTCCAACTGTGGCTCATTCTTCACTTACCTGTTGCAGACTTCTCTGCTACTGGCATTGCTGGGGGAATTCCCCTATCAACAAGGACAGATAACTCTACATGGATCTGTGGGATATGCAGCTCAGCAGTCCTGGGTTTTCTCTGGAAGTGTGAAACAAAATATCTTGTTCGGAGACAAGTATGATTTTAAAAGATATGAGGCAGTAGTTGATGCCTGTGCTCTTCAGAAGGTAAATATTTCAGAAACCACTTTCTTGTTAAATCTGCATAAAAACCCATATTAGACCATGACTACCATCAAAGTACTATTTCCCAGCTGGCTTCTATAAGCTGGAGTATTAAGCTGACTTTGTGCTGTTGTCTTGAGTTTGTTTGTTTTACTCATTAAATAAACAGTTGTTATTGTTGATGTATTTGTAATTAGACTTGGGTGTGTATTTATCAATTGCACGTTAGTTTGTTTTTGCATATATGAATTTACACGGTATTATATTGCTTAGGTTTATACCTCCACAAACACAGAAAATACTGAAGAAATTTCTAAGTAATAATGATGGATATTTAAAACCTTTGAATCAAGACCAACAAGACCAAAGAAGTTGTCTATCCATAAAAAGTGTTCCTCTTCATCATACCAGCTTCCAAATGCAACTTATGGAAGGAAGACCAACACAGTTTACCAGTTCCAGTTGTTTATGTGACCCAACTGCATTGTGAGGAAAACATGTGTTACCACGTTTCATGAGTCATTTAGTGATTTAGTCATGATGTACAGCTTTGGAAATTATGTTTTATTTTATGACGATTTATCTGGACAACAAACATAAACCTTATTTGACTGGTCCTCCGAGATTGTTGGTCGTCCGGCCTCACCAAGACAAAAAAATCAGTATATTACTTGAGGGTGTTGCCATTTTGTTATTGTGTTTGTCATTATCAGGATGTTGGCCTGATGAAATATGGGGATGAGACGCTGGTTGGGGAGAGAGGACTCTTACTGAGTGGAGGTCAAAAAGCCAGGCTCACTCTAGCAAGGTAATGCTGTAATGTAGTGTGAATCAGGCATTGCATCAAAGGCACTATGAAGTGAATATCTGCTCACAAATCCAATAGTGAGTCAGTTCAGTGAAATAATAACAAATCATTTGAAATGCTTTGGCCATGTTGACAGAAGAGCACTTTGTAAATGGCGTTATGTATTCACATGTTGACAGCATAGTAGTACACTCTGATAGTGTCACAGCTTAGCGTTTATTGCGAATTATTTTGGTTGACAGGAACATCAGTGCCTTGGCAAAGTGGCACAATTTACACTACTGCATAGCTTGCATTTTTGCCGTTTTGCATGTCTCACTTTGCTACATAATGGTCTATTTCAATTGTAAATATTTGATTCTTATGGGCATGAGTAAGAAATTAAAAAGGTACAATACGATTAACTGAATTGAAACAGCCCCAGTGCTCACCTTTCTCATTGTTTTCTAGGATCTAATTGAATTGTACAGTAACCAGTAATATCAGTTCTTGCAGCTGTCATGACATGGCTGGGAGCAGATGAACGTTATCTGGTCGTTCAGTACTGCTAGAATTTGTAGGGGATCCCAAAACTAAGTATATGGTCGATTCCAACGAAAAGTGTACACAGCTGGGTACAAGGTGACCAAAATAGAATTGCTTGCACCTTGTAATTCTTTTTACCAATGTAAAGTCAACATATTTGCCTCTTATGAAAATCAGTTGCCATCACTAATCTCTAAAAGTGACAAGTTGGTGGATCAGTGAAGTTGAAGGCTCATTTTCTAAATTGCCTACAAATACCAACATCATACCTTGTATATCCTGTGATTAGATGGCATATATGTTGCTTAACATCCAAATTCACTGTTGTTCTGCATGCACAATATGTTAATGACTATAGAAACTCTAAAGCCATATCATGGTTTCTTTCATGTTTTATAACCTCAAGCTTTACGAAACTAGAACCAATTTGGTACCTTTGTTTGATGTAAGTGAGATAGCACCACTTAGTGTTCTTTTCACAAACAAATCATTTTTACATATCTATCTTATTCATCTGAGAGACAACGGGTGGAACTTTCGGTAAGTACAACAAATTTGAAAATGCATCAATAACTAAATTTTGGGTGGAAGCTAAAAAAAATGTACTTGTAGGTAACAAATATCACGTAATTCCTTGTATTTAAAAATTGTTTATATATGTTAAACTAAATCGTAGCTGGTTTATTAAAACATCGAACAGTTTGGAAATTGTTTTCTAAATGCATAGGACATGTGAATGAAGACTGTTTACAACCAGTTTAAGGCTTTCTCTTTGTTTTGTCTCAGTGTATGTCGGAAAGTAGCAATGTCATTTTAACTGATGGAAATATACTTCTCATCAAAAGTTTAGACTCACAAGCAACACTCACTATATGTTATATGTGTGTATATATATATATGGTCACATCGAGATTGAATTCTCCACTAACTTGGGGGAACCAACTGCAAACCTTATGCAGATGAATTGCATGAGGAACATGCATCAAATTGCTGAAAAGCATGTGCAAATATTGTACATGTGAACAGTTGCGTTTTGGTGTAAAGTTTTGTTCAGAATTCGCCAATTTTCACTGATTTTTATCATTTATTGAACTCATGACAATACTCTTTTCAACGTTAAGAATTTGTTTTACAATACATCAGTTCATGTGTAAACAGTACCTTTAAACAGTATGGAATATCTTGCAAAATTTGATTTAAAACAGTCGCCTGAAGTAAGTGGCTATATTTACACTAGTGAGTCTAAACTGTTGATGAGAAGTATAGAAATTGAACTAAAATCATTACATCTGAAATTTTATTTACCAAATGTTTCAACTGACATTTGTATTCAAAGAAAGCACAACACAAATGTTCAAAACGCTTGAACTATTACCATATACCATATAAAATTATGTACAGATAGACATGTCACTAAAACAATGAATACATTATACGTCTTACTGAACTATAATTCTGCTTTAATTACACATATTTTGCAATGTCAATTGCTATTAGATAGACATTTACAGAAAATTTTAACTACAAAAACGAGTTACCTACGAATAAGACATACCTTTGACATATCTAATTACTAAACCCATGCAACTTCTTCTACTACAGTCTCAATTCTCCTATGTTCGCAAGTGCATCGGTGACAGCCCTGAACAAGACATACAACTTCAAACACACTGACTGATGTTACCTACAAATTCGGAATGTTACCAACGAATACACATGTTACCTACGAATCTACCGTTTATCCCGTGATACCATGCAAATTTTTACTTTTATCACCAAGATAAAAAAGAATTCATTATATATCACTATAATACAGTCTAAACCACAAACTGCAGTGCATCCCTGAATAGAACATTTTTATTGAACGCTCAGTTATGTAGCCATTTGGAATTCCAAGGAACCATTTCAATCTATTAATAGGTAGTACTGCGTACCTAATCAGCTTTATGATCTGCAATGATTGTCTTCAGTATAAATTATGTTATAGCAGCGTATTGTGTTCTCTATTTCATTTTGTTAACAATGAATACATGTTATCTACAAATGCCGTGAGCCACAACCGGGGAAATCACAGCGGGACACCATGTCTTAACAATTTAAGCCCCCATGTCAATTCAACTTGCAGTCTGAGGCCTTTTTTACAATAATAAGACTTAAAACCTCACTAAAATTAAAGTTGGTAAGTTGTAACAGGTGTCATATGCATCCTATGTTATTGTGACATGGGTTTATTTATATAACATTCTTGCAGAAAATGTAAAATACACTTACTAATCACCAATATGTTGTCTGGTCTCATCTATGATGACTTCCAAATGGAACATGTCACATGTTGTCATTCCACCAATCTATTTGAATGTGATCAGTTGTTGGTACTTGTAGGTAACATTTGGGAGTAAAAATTTACTTACGAATACAGGTTATTTTGTGTGATATCTTCGTAAAAACAGCACAGAAAATGTTTAGATGTAGCACACGTATATATTGTGGCCCTTTGCACTTACTTAGGATATCATTCACTAATGTGTCCATTTGTGGAAACAGCAACATATTTAATGGTAATTGTAGGTAACGTGATTTTTTTTACCAAATCAGACTTTGATTTTCTAACATTTTTTAGATCATTTCTTGTAAGAAATATTATGTAACGCCATTGCATTTGAGTACTTTACATATTAATGCTGTAAAAAGTAATACAAAACATAACCTTGTGTTGCATTTACATAAATTGACACTGTCATCGAAAACTGTAATTGTAGGTAACGCAAAAAAATATCACTTGAAAACAAATTACCAAAATTACGAATTAAACCCTAGACAAAATCATTTCAGGGGATTTATTCATGAAATATTTGCCAATCAGATTAATAAACTTCTGTTCATCCAGTTTGACTAGTATTTAACACACAACATGTTTTCAACAAAACATTTGTAAAATAATAGTCAAAATGAATAAAAATGGCCTGTTTTTGTCTCCCATAAGCCTAATTTTTAATTTAAAATAGTCATGTTATACATGGCCCGAATCGTCTCACTTGTGCCGATGTGATGGGCACCCTGAAATAAATGAAAGTAGTAATGCTAAAATGTTATGGGCCCAAACATGCTGTGTACACTTTTTGTTGGAATCGACCATATATGGGGGGCAAATTGTTATTTTGTTCAAATTTTCAATTTTTAAAGTTATTTTGTATTATTTTCTGATGTATTTTGACATGGCATTGTAACATTGCCTAATAACCATCATGTAAAGTTTGGTTCTGTTACCGTTGAAATACAAGTCATCTCCACCAAGCTTTATATTAGATAAAACTACATTTTTTTGTAACAGGAACTTTTTGATTCCCATTTTGGATTGACGGTTTAAACAGATTTGGCGTGGGACCAAATATCAGCCTCAGAGCAGGTCCAGACAAATCCCTCTAGCGGTAACGTTAAAGCCTATGGCCATGTATGTTTTCAGATCTGTGTATCGGGACTGTGACATTTACCTGCTGGATGACCCTCTCAGTGCTGTGGACACCAAAGTAGGAAGACACATCTTCAACAAGTAGGTCATCAACAACTATCATTGTTTATACTCTTCAAATCCAAAACACCTATATGTAATCATATATGAAAGACATTAGCACATGAAAGATGTATAAGCCCTGAAAATATACATATGTCTCTTTTTCTTAATTGAATATGTTTTTGCTAGAATCATCATGACAGCATGGTTGAAGTGCATAATCCAGATGTAGCCTTGGTAGAAATACAGGGACATAACATCTCTTTGTAACCATGCATGTCAGTGTTCAGAACTTCGGCATGTGAAAGATAATGAATAGGCTATTAAGTGGGAGTTAGTGTGATTTGTGTGATGAGTATGATTATGTGGCAATTGCCTGCATTATTATATGTATGTTGCAGGTGTGATAATGAGCATGTTGCAGGTGTGGTGATGAGCATGTTGCAGGTGTGGTGATGAGCATGTTGCAGGTGTGATGATGAGTATGTCGCAGGTGTGATGATGAGCATGTTGCTGGTGTGATGATGAGTATGTTGCTGGTGTGATAATGAGTATGTTGCAGGTGTGATAATGAGTATGTCGCAGGTGTGATGATGAGCATGTTGCTGGTGTGATAATGAGCATGTTGCAGGTGTGATAATGAGTATGTTGCTGGTTTGATGATGAGTATGCTGCAGGTGTGATGATGAGCATGTTGCAGGTGTGATGATGAATATGTTGCAGGTGTGATGATGAGCATGTTGCAGGTGTGATGATGAATATGTTGCAGGTGTGGTGATAAGTATGTTGCTGGTGTGGTGATAAGTATGTTGCTGGTGTGATGATGAATATGTTGCAGGTGTGATGATGAGCATGTTGCAGGTGTGGTGATGAATATGTTGCAGGTGTGATGATAAGTATGTTGCAGGTGTGATGATGAATATGTTGCAGGTGTGATGATGAATATGTTGCAGGTGTGATGATAAGCATGTTGCTGGTGTGATGATGAGTATGTTGCAGGTGTGATGATGAGTATGTTGCAGGTGTGGTGATAAGCATGTTGCAGGTGTGATGATAAGCATGTTGCAGGTGTGATGATGAGTATGCTGCAGGTGTGATAATGAGTATGTTGCAGGTGTGATAATGAGTATGCTGCAGGTGTGATGATGAATATGTTGCAGGTGTGGTGATAAGCATGTTGCAGGTGTGATGATAAGCATGTTGCAGGTGTGATGATAAGCATGTTGCAGGTGTGATGATGAGTATGTTGCAGGTGTGATGATGAGTATGTTGCTGGATGTGTTGCTGGTGTGATGATGAGCATGTTGCAGGTGTGATGATGAGTATGTTGCAGGTGTGATGATGAGTATGCTGCAGGTGTGATGATGAGTATGTTGCAGGTGTGATGATGAGTATGCTGCAGGTGTGATGATGAGCATGTTGCAGGTGTGATGATGAATATGTTGCAGGTGTGATGATGAGCATGTTGCTGGTGCGATGATGAGTATGTTGCAGGTGTAATTTTATGTGTTGTTACATTGCCTGTGTTTCAGATGTATTAAGCTACTACTGGAGGAGAAGACAGTTATCTTGGTGACAAATCAGCTGCAGTACTTGAGGAGGGCAGACAGAATCGTTGTATTGAGAGAGGTACGTCCTTCATGTTAAATTGTTGTTTGCAAGATTACATATTTTCTCCAGTAGACACAGGGTCAAAACCAACTGGAAGAGCCTTTGATATGTGAAAGGTCTTATAAACCAGAGACTGAAATGAACCATCCTCAATTTAATCTCTTTTAGAGGCTTGGTTTCTAATAAACGCAGGTATTATTATATCTGAAAATATACACATTATAGGTGTCATTTAGAGGTACTATACTATGTTGTCCTCCAATACAACTTTCTAGCAGCATAATGTCTCCTCCCATCATGAGATCAAGTTTATCTAGCCACTGCTGTATGTGTTGGTAAGCCACCAAACTGTGGTTCCAGGGAAGTGTATTTGACGTAGGAACCTATGATGAGCTAGAAGAGCGAGGGGTAGATCTTGCAACATACCTTACAACTGAGGATAAACATACCAAGGATGAAGTTGTCTCTGCAATGGATGTAGAGGAACAGAAAATGAAGGTAGGTTTACAATACAGAGATATACCTTGACCTGTCCAGGTGCTTGAATTCTGTCAGTTAATGTTTAAAAGAAATTCCCAAATAAAAACTAACATTTTCCTAATTGATTTTATTAAATGAATAATTTACGTAAGTCCTTTACAGGGAGTATCTTCCAGGGTAACTTGTAATAGGACCAATGAAGGAGAGGCTTTACGGCTTAGGATTTTACATTATTAACAATCTTAATAATATATTTCTATTTAATAAATCCCAATTTGAACAACTTTCAACATTCATTCCCAACATCCTTGCCAGGGGTGTTTAGTTTTGAATCCAAGATAAGTTCCTGCAATCTTTACAGTTTCAACATTTCGTTTTTCTCAAAATGAATTTCTTTGTAACTAAACTATCAAATGATTTGGAATAATAGGTCAACGTTAACGTTAACGTTTTGAAAATATTTAAAAAAAATTAAAATTGGAAAATCTGTCCTGGCCTAAGACCCTTCTTCATTTGTAACTTGTAATCAATAATTATCAATTCATATGATACAGGACGAAGAATTAGAAGTAAGTTTTCTTGCATTGTTTGGTAGTTGCATTACGTGTGTGTTACATTCATTGTTGACAAAACAGTAATTAATGATTACTATAGGTTTCAATATTATGGATGATGAAAGACGTGGCTCATCCTGCTACATGAGTACTGTAAATGATAAATACCAGTAGCATGCTGCTGCCATCACTGTATGACGTTAATGCTGTTTCACTCTGTAAGAAATGTGTTGAAATGAGTGATATTGAAATTTTTCATTTAAAGAAGATAACAATTCAATACTGTTTTGAGTGGCATTTTTAGAACTTGGGAAGTACAATATAGATATATTTTATGGATAACAACTTTTATATTTTATGAGTGTGACATTTCGATACAAGATTCTTGTACCATTGTCAAGCAGGAATGTTGTCACAATAGTACGAGAATCTTTATCGAAACGTCGCAATCACAAAATAAAAAAGTTGTTATCCATAAAGGTTTGTTTAGACTGCATTAAACCCATGTTAGACTATTTATATCAGTGGGTTGCTTGCTACAGCTTGTTCGAGTGCCTTGTTGGTGCCTTGTTGTCATTCAAATTGTATCCCTTAATACGTCTGCATGAAGATCTGACTTCCTTCACTGGAGTCTGCGTCAGGTGACCTTATGAATCACCCAATCACTGTAGAGGTTCTAAATTCTATATATGAGTGACCATTTGGATCTGATTGTCAGACTCAGCAGGTCAGTTCCTTGCTGTGTATATTGATGCTCAAGATGTCAATCACTGGATTGTCTGGTCCAGTATTACCAGACAGCTGGACTGACTGACTGACTGACTGACTGAGTTTGGTTTTACGCCGCTTTTAGCAATATTCCAGCAACATCACGGCGGGGGACACCAGAAATGGGCTTCATACATTGTACCCATGTGGGGATTCGAACCCAGGTGACGAGCCAACGCTTTAACCATTAGGCTACCCCACCGGCCCCCAGACAGCTGGAATATGTCTGAGTATATCGTTAAACAACAAAGTTCACTGAGGGTTCAGCTGGCATGACTTTCAGTAGAGGACTTGTCAGATGTTTGTGCAGAGAAGTATTATGTCACGCCTGTAATCACCATGCAGTGCTAGTCCAGCATAATCCCTCATTCACTTCCAATTTCCAATATGATAGTAAACCCAACACTCTACTTTATTATGTGGTTTCACTATTTTAGTCGGGATTCAGACATCATATTTATATACAATGTATATGTAAAGTCTCATTACTCCATGCCAATGGTTTGTTAATTCAGCAGTTGGTTAAAGCAGACAATTCCAGTGGGAATGGTATTGTCCAAAGTAGCAAGGTTTGACATTAAACATTATTGAGTTTCAACAAACTATTCATATTCAGAGTGCCAGTCAACAGAAACTATTTTCGTTCCAACCCTTAGAGGGAAAGTAAAGTGAGAAATAAGAATGTGGTTTCGTAGCAAATATCAATTTTTTCTAGGTGCAGATGTCAATTTCTGAGGGAAAAAACAACATCGATTATTTGTAAAAAGAAGTTTAGATATCCAAGTGATGTCAAACTGCTAAAATCACATGCATCTTAACTAGTGTTGGGAATTGGTTAAAATCTCATAATTGATGATTGGTTCATTACTACCGATCAATCATCGAACATAATTGTTTAGCGTCATTTATGAAATTTGTTAATGCACATAAAAATAAGGGAAAAAAACCATGTAGTTCTTTTGGGGTTTTTTGGGCCAAATTTCATATCTTTAAAGGATGACTAGTTTGTTAGGAACATAAATTTCTTGGAATCTTTAAGATAAATTCAATCATGACTTGAAATGAGCTTGTAGTGCTTCAAAAATATAACAGACAAAACCAACCATGTGAAAAATATTGTTAATGAAAACAAGTGTTCCAGAATTGTTTGTGTTCAATTATGAGAAATTATGATCGATTGCTTGGTCATTTAGTCACTACGACCAATCTTCGATTATTTCAATTAATCAGACCACCACTAATCTTAACCAGGCCCAAAAACAAACCTATTTCGGGGTGTGGCCAAAGGCTACAAGTGGTGCATTACAAATGTTACAATAGACTGATATGCAGTTTTAGTGCATGTCTATTGTATAATCTATCTTGTGATGTACAGAAACATCAGGAATGGTCAAGCATCAGTCAAGTTGTATGGCTATCTCTGGAAATCCTACAAAAATACATTGAAAACATGGTTGATTTTATTAAATTACCTTTATTTTGACACTGTGAATAATTAAGATAATATAAGTCTGAGAATGCAATTTAAAAATTAAATGCAGAAGCAGGCAGACTCAGATTTAATTTTCTTCAAGCTGTGGTGATAAAGTGTGCCCTGAAGTACTTTAAGCTATTAAGTTGCAATGGTCAGTTTTCTTGGCTTTTATGTCATCTGTAGACTGCTGACCTTTTCTCTTTACCCTCATGATATTTATCATTCATGATATTTATTATTCATCATGATCTGTGTATGTCATCATATCTGCTATTATATGTTCTTTACAGTATTATCAAACAATGGTTACAACATTCTAATTAGCTCAAACAAACTCACAGCTTTTTAAACTGAGTTTCATAGACCTGTATTTCTCTATGTCATAAAAGGAGTTGACATTTCTGTTATTCCTCTTGTCACGTTTTGCTGTATTTTCTTTATCTTATATACTGTTGTGGTTGCAAGCCACCTTGATTTCACTGGCAGTTGTATTGTCCGGGTTTTACTGTAACCTAAAGTAGTGATATAGTTATGTGGGGGATGAGACAAGGTTATTCTTGGGATGGTAAGACCAAGGCTGATGCCAGAGGCCTTCCTTCCAAGTTAGCCTCTTCAGAGGTAGATTTGGTAGCAAACTTTGAATCAGTAACAAATCGATTCGTGTTAGAAAGCAAGATGTGCCATGGAGCACTTGAATTATTATTTGTATCAAGGACAAATCTGTATCTTTAACTTGTAAAAAAGGAAATGACAAGGACCATATTGGTTTCTTGCTTAATTTGTAAGACTAGTTATGCGTTTGCTTTTCATTTGTTTGCCAGATAACAGCTTCGGGACAGCAGGAAGAAGAGGAAGTGACAGAAGGGGGTGCAGTAGGTGTTAAAGTTTATGCCCAGTATCTGGAGGCAGGCTATGGTGTGATCCTCGGACCAATTGCCCTTGTGCTGGGCATAGCAGCTGAGGTGAGTGATGGTGTCTTGTGCTGGTATTGTAGGTTGCCCACCAGCTGGGCATAGCTGCAGAGATGAGACATAGTGTCTTGAAGTGGTATTGTATGTTTACCCATTGCCCACCAGCAATCATCATCATCATTATCGTCATCCTGGGGCGGTGGGATAGTCTAGTGGTTAAAGCGTTCGCCGAAGACCTGGGTTTGATTCCCCACATGGGCACAGTGTGTGAAGCCCATTTGTTGTGTCCCCCACTGGAATATTGCAAAAAGCGGCGTAAAACCAAACTCAGTCAGTCAGTCAGTCATCATCATCCCATGAAAATGCGGGTTACAATTTATCTTAAGCAACCCATGCTTGTCGTAAGAGGTGACTAACAGGATCAGGTGGTCAGGCTTGCTGACATGGTTGACACATTTCATCGTATCATATTTGTGTAGATCGATGCTCATACTGTTGATCACTGGATTGTCTGGCCCAGACTCAATTATTTACATACCACCGCCATATAGCTGGAAATGGAATATTTAGTGTGGGGCAAAACTGAACTCAATCATCATCATCATCATCATCATCATCATCATCTTGAGGTGGTATCACCTTGGGTTACATTGTTGTAAGATTGTAATTGGTATATCTGCAATGGTGTTATTTAACATGGATGCTCCCCTTCCTTTTGGCCTTGTTTGGATGCCATTCTTGCCAGATCTTCAATTCAGACTTCACAATTTCTATGTTGCAGAGTGTAGTTTCTGCCTCAGGCTGGATGTTGGCTAAATGGTGAGGTTTATTCTAAATCTCTATGTAACACTTCCACTAATATCTGTTTGCATTATGACTGGATATACTTTGTTAATTGTACTAAACTGCTTTTGCAAGGTATTCATTTATGAGATTATATGATCATATGGTATTCACACTGGTAAGTAATTTCTACCTATCTCTAACATAGGGGAAAAGCACCCAAATCAGTAACCAGTAAATCTTGAAATCAATGTGAGTGCGAATTAAATGCGAAAAATGCAAGTGCTTGCATTAATTAACTTTGCAATAATTTTACGAAATGACTGTTAACATGATGACATGTATTTTAATGCAAAGTAAGATAAATTGTGAGTTGTTACATCATTTATAGTAACCTGTCATTGAGAGGACACCCATAATAAAGACATGATCATTGTTGCAGGTCTGATAGTCTAGATCCACAGTATCCTGTGAACACCACCGGGGCAATGGTCAATTTCACAGAGGTTTTACCCGAGTCCACTGTCAAGTCATGGAACACTATGGAACTATCACTGCAGTTCTTCATCATCTTCATATGCGCCTATGTCATCTTGATCAACGTCTTTTCCATCCTAGCTTTCCAGATATTTGCTCTGGCTTCACAGAGGCTCCATGACAGAATGTTTGCATTTGTGCTGGGAGCTAGGTCAAGATTCTTTGACATAAACCCTGTTGGTAAGCTGCTTTGTATGAAAAGGAGCTCTTTGTGAATTTTCATGTATTTTGTTTCAATGTGGAATACGTATGTGGGGACTAAGCTGATGTTTTTGATTGGTATTTGTTCAATAACAAAGGCTATTTGATCTATGCAGTAAACAAGCAGTTGTCCATATTTGTCATTGGCTTACCAACAAGTGTTGTATACATGTAGCCCAGTCACATAAACCACTGCAAATAACAGTTGCATTACTGAGCTGTGTCATGATCTGCAGTCACTGATTTGATTCCCAAATTAGTGTAGTGTATTATCTGTTCTGTTAGAACCATACAAGTACCTGCAACCTGTATCTGTCTGTTACTTACTCACTTTCACTCTCAACAGTTTTTTATTTAATTGATGCAGTGTACTGAATCCCATTTGTTCACTGAAATACCTGTGAGTTATATCACCTCAATTATAAAAATCCGTACCAGCAGGTATCATCCACTTTTGCTGCATACAGCTGCTTATTCCATTAGAGCCTCATTTTCGTCCATTTCAGGGAGGATTTTGAATCGATTCTCAAGGGATCTGGGAATTGTTGACACCATACTAAACAGATGTTTGTTTGCCACAAACCAGGTAACAAACAAATGTTGAATTATTTCAACAAAATTAAAGTTTTTTAAAGTCCTTGATAACAAATCATGTTCCATAGTTCGTCACTGCCATACAGAACAATATTCACTGACTGTACTGTCCATAGATGAGCATTGGCTTACCAACTTGGGGGGCTCAATCCTGATTACTTTGCAAGCAGCTGAGATAAATGGTGTAATTATGTCACTAGTGTACCAACTATTTGACTTGATCTAAGTCTTGTTGTCTTTGACATATTTTTCATCTTCTATGATGTGCTTCTCATGTTTCAGTACACCTTGAGTATAACTGCTGCTGTTCTGATAGTGTGCATAATAGCTCCCTGGCTATTCATTGCCTTGGTTCCCGCCTCAATTGTCGTCTTCTGTCTCCGATTCTATGCGATTCAGACAACTCGTGATATCAAACGTATTGAAGCAAATGGTGTGTATTATGTATAAAATAGTTAACACAGTGAAGTGATCTGTTGAAACAGTGTGCTTTGTTTGGTTGGCATTTGACCGTCACTGGTGCATGGGATTTTCTGTTTGAAGTGAAATGTGAATGTACAGGGCATGAATGTGAATGTACAGTAGGGGCCTAAATGTGAATGTATGGTGGGGCCTGAATGTGAATGTACAGTGGGGCCCAAATGTTAATGTATGGTGAGGTCTGAATGTGTATGTACAGAGGGGCCCGAATGTGAATATATATTGAGGTCTGAATGTGAATGTACAGTGGAATGTACAGGGGTGTGTGAATGTGAATGTACAGTGGGGCCTGAATGTGAATGTACAGTGGAATGTAAATGTACAGAAGAACCTGAATGTGAATGTACAGTGGAATGTGAATGTACAGAGGGGCCTGAATGTATAGAGGGGTGTGAATGTACAGTGGAATGTGAATGTACAGAGAGGCCTGAATGTGAATGTACAGAGGGGCCTGAATGTGAATGTACAGTGGAATGTGAATGTACAGTGGAATGTGAATGTACAGAGGGGCCTGAATGTGAATGTACAGTGGAATGTGAATGTACAGAGGGGCCTGAATGAACAGTAGGATGTGATTGTACAGAGGGGCCTGAATGTATAGAGGGGTGTGAATGTACAGAGGGGCGTGAATGTGAATGTACAGAGTGGCCTGAATGTGAATGTACAGAGTGGCCTGAATGTGAATGTATAGAGGGGCCTGAATATGAATGTACAGAGTGGGGTGAATGTGAATGTACAGAGGGGCCTGAATGTGAATGTACAGAGGGGGCCTGAATGTGAATGTACAGAGGGGCCTGAATGTGAATGTACAGAGGGGCCTGAATGTGAATGTACAGAGGGGCCTGAATGTGAATGTATGTACAGAGGGGCCTGAATGTGAATGTACAGGGGCCTGAATGTGAATGTACAGAGGGGCCTGAATGTGAATGTACAGAGGGGCCTGAATGTGAATGTACAGAGGGGCCTGAATGTGAATGTACAGAGGGGCCTGAATATGAATGTACAGAGGGCCTGAATGTGAATGTACAGAGGGGCCTGAATGTGAATGTACAGAGGGGCCTGAATGTGAATGTACAGAGGGGCCTGAATGTGAATGTACAGAGGGGCCTGAATGTGAATGTACAGAGGGGCCTGAATGTGAATGTACAGAGGGGGCCTGAATGTGAATGTACAGAGGGCCTGAAATGAATGAATGAATGTGAATGTACAGAGGGGGCCTGAATGTGAAGTGTACAGAGGGCCTGAATGTGAATGTACAGAGGGGCATGAATATGAATGTACAGAGGGGCCTGAATGTGAATGTACAGAGGGGCCTGAATGTGAATGTACAGAGTGGCCTGAATGTGAATGTAATGTACAGAGGGGCCTGAATGTGAATGTACAGAGGGGCCTGAAATGAATGTACAGAGGGGCCTGAATGTGAATGTACAGAGGGGCGTGAATGTGAATGTACAGGCGTGAATGTGAATGTACAGAGGGGCCTGAATGTGAATGTACAGAGGGGGCCTGAATGATGTACAGAGGGGCCTGAATGTGAATGTACAGAGGGGCCTGAATGTGAATGTACAGAGGGGCCTGAATGTGAATGTACAGAGTGGCCTGAATGTGAATGTACAGAGGGGCCTGAATGTGAATGTACAGAGGGGCCTGAATGTGAATGTACAGAGGGGCATGAAATGAATGTACAGAGGGGCCTGAATGAATGTACAGATGTACAGAGTGAATGTGTGAATGTGAATGTACAGGGCCTGAATGTGAATGTACAGAGGGGCCTGAATGTGAATGTACAAATATACAGAGGGCCTGAATGTGAATATACAGAGGGGGCCTGAATGTGAATGTACAGAGTGGCCTGAATGTGAATGTACAAGGGGCCTGAATATGGCCTGAATACAGAGGGGCCTGAATGTGAATGTACAGAGGGGCCTGAATGTGAATGTACAGAGTGGCCTGAATGTGAATGTACAGAGTGGCGTGAATGTGAATGTACAGAGGGGCCTGAATGTGAATGTACAGGGGGCCTGAATGTGAATGTACAGAGGGGCCTGAATGTGAATGTACAGAGGGGCCTGAATGTGAATGTACAGAGGGGCCTGAATGTGAATGAGTGGAATGTGAATGTACAGAGGGACCTGAATGTGAATGTACAGAGTACAGAGGCGTGAATGTGAATGTACAGAGTGGCGTGAATGTGAATGTACAGAGTGGCGTGAATGTGAATGTACAGAGGGGCCTGAATGTGAATGTACAGGGGCCTGAATGTGAATGTACAGAGGGGCCTGAATGTGAATGTACAGAGGGGCCTGAATGTGAATGTACAGTGGAATGTAAATGTACAGAAGAGTTGAATGTAAATGTACAGTGGGGTGTGAATGTACAGAGAGGCCCTAATATGTCCTACTGTGTAATAACAGAGCTTCTGTGTTTCATGTATTCATGGTAAACATTAATGGAAACGCAAATTGTTTTTCACGTATTCATTCCAAAACATTTTACATTCTTATTGTTTTAGATACTTGAATGTATTTTTGTTACAGCCTGTCCACTAGCTCATCATTTTCTCCTGGCATCTTTTTCAGCAGATTGTTACTTGATATCTAGAATGTTAATAGAAGCGAATAAAACAAAACTAGGTTTTACTAGTGACTAGTCAAAGGCCATGATTTTCTAATTTCCTATCGCTTCCACAATTCAGTCTGAGAGTATATCTTGTTTAATTTCAGTCAGGAGCCCAGTTTACTCCCATGTATCAGACACAATCCTGGGATTGCAGACAATCCGAGCCCTAAACAAACAGGATCAGTTTCAGCAGGGGTTTGACCAGCACATGAACATCCACTCAAGAGCGTGGTTCTCGTACCTCTCCTCTTTCCGCTGGTACAGCTTGAGATCAGTCTTCATCATGGTCGTGTTCTTCAACATTGTCATCTATGTGTGTCTTGTCTTGAGAAACAGTAAGTACATATGGCAAGTTATTATTCCAGTGCTGCTGTGCGGCTTGGATTCCTTCCAGCATTGCTAGACTCGATGATTTACAGTATTTATATGGTATTTGTGTACTCTATATTATGCAATGTTTCATGTGTATATATATGTATATTTTTCCTTATCCTGACTCATGCTTAATTGCTTGTCTTCTTCTTCTTGCGAACTGTAGTGGAACACTTGAATGCCCTTTTGAAGCTCCCTTCAAAAAAGTGGCGTAAAATCACTCACCCCAGTTGCCTCCTTTGAAACCATCTTTTGGTGCGAATCGATATTAGGACCACAGGATACGCAAGACCGATCCTTATGTCCAGTCAGAGCATTGAAAATATATCTACAGAGGTCTAAATTGAGGAGACGAAAATTCAAGCGCCTTTTCATCCCTCTATCTACGGAGACACCTACAGAAGTCTCACATACAACCATATCAATATGGATGAGAGTCATCATATTGAGAGCCTATAAAGCAGCAGCACTTGATCCTCCACGAGCCTCAAATCCTCATGAAGTCAGAGCACTGGCATCCACGCTAGCTCCGCACGGAAACTGCTCCATATCAACAATTATGGAGGGCTGCTTCCGGAGGTCGGAGACGGTGTTTGCCAACCATTACCTCAGAGACATGGCATACACCAGTTTGGGCCGCTTGTTGTAGCACAACAATTGACGGTACCTCAAAGGCGCTGAGATAAATCTCACCCTTGTCACGTGACTTGTAAAAGCCAACACTCAACAGAGTACGGTTTTAGAGTCCATGCGCACATCTAGGACAGGCTAGCATGAGTGCTAGACCCGGTACTTGTAAGGACTTATTTGTACACGAAGTAGGGTCATACTTCTCCACTTGATGCATGCATCAAAAGATGGAGTCATATAAAATCCACACAAAATGTCAGGAGAAGATTTCCAGGATAAATCTGCCAAGCTGTGGTCCCCCACATTCATCAGAGGAAGCTGGAAGAAAGGACAAATGCCATTAGAAGTTCCCAAGGGGGTATAAGGACGTAAATCAGCAGAGAATCCAGAGTGGCTTGACCCACCACCATTTCCGTCGGATTCTACAAGCAATTAAGCATGAGTCAGGATAAGGAAAAATATGTAATTTTCTGACTAAAATTGATATTTTATACTTATCCTGACTCATGAGGTTAGCCCTCCCAACCTCCCCTCATGGCACTCTGGATTTCCCTGCAAATCCAAGTGTCAGGGCTCGAAATAACGAAGAGAGTGAACAAGCATGGCCGATCATGTGACCTTTTCACGCCAGAAGATAGTTTCAAGGGAGGCAACTGGGGTGAGTGATTTTACGTCCACTGTTTTGAAGGGAGCTTCAAAAGGGGATTCAAGTGTTCCACTATAGTTCTCAAGAAGAAGAAGACAAGCAATTAAGCATGAGTCAGGATAAGTATAAAATATCAATTTTAGTCAGAAAATTACATTTGTCTCAGTTTCTTCCTGATGGATGGCTGATTTAATTTTATGAATACTTATATGATGGCCAAGATCATGAGAACATGAGTAGGTGCGATTCGCCACTCACATGATTTGGGCAACATTAATGTAAAGAGTACTGAATGAAATGTTGAATATAATTACTTTATTGGATTACAAATTTATGACTCGATACACAGTAAACACTATTATGGTCAGACAGCTTAAAACAGGACTAACTTATGTAAGGATTTGTTGACGTGCTATTTCTGGTTTGATGTGCTCATGGTAACTTCCTTGCTTTATTGTGTGCATCATGTACTGAAAGGTAGTCAAATATTGTAGTACCCTGTTTTGATAACATGAAGTTTCGATGAAGTTAAGTTCATTGATGTAGAAGAGCCTGGTCTTCTTGCCTGAACAGTTACCATGATGTCCATGACAAGCCGCATCATATTGGACGAAGGGACAAATTTAAAAGTAATGTACTTGTCAATAGTAAGTTGCATAGGGTGGCCTTCTCCCAGGATGAATATAAACAGAAACATAGGCACCCATCTGCACTATTTCCTGAAAAGCCATAGCCTTTTAAATATTCAGTCTAAGTAAACTTAGACTCAGTATTATTCGTTACACTGCTATACTGAGTCTAACAAAACCTTGTGGAAGGTCGCATCAGGTAACCTTTGAGCGACCTATGACCGTCCAATCAAACGCGAGACGGACGACCGGATTTAACCAATCAGACAACAGCTACTCTTTAGGGTTTGGCAGGACTTACAAAATGGATTTTCTCTTCCCCGTTTGCCAACACTGATCTCCCAACAAATGAAAATTGCATAAAACACAGATATTTGCCCTGCAGTATATGCGCTTTGGGGTTCCTGTTGACATGGTTATAATTAGCTAATATTTCAGCAAGCTGACATGCTTGAATACTGACAAAACGCTATTTTCAGCGACTGTTTACTCACTGCTGAGGCGTGCATCACTAGGAACCGATCGTACGGAAAATAGCATTCGGAATCATTCGGTACAAATGTTTGGGAGGTAAAAGTTCAAAAGGTACGTGCGAATGTCAACTTTCGCGATTTGGTAAGCTGTGTTCTGATTGGTCAATTGGAAAGGTTATCTGACGCGACCTTCCACAAGGTTTTGTTAGACTCAGTATGGCAGTGTAACGAATAATACTGAGTCTAAGTTTACTTAGACTGTTAAATATTCTGTTATGTCTAACAGTGCACCTGTGTTTCTGATACTTGCTCCGTCCACAACATAGGATGAAGACAAGGTTGACATATGGACACAGCTGCTTGATAATTTCTTTATAAAGTCTAGGCAGCCTCACTTACATACTGTTTTTCAGCTGTGTCCATTGGCTTGCTGTCACTGGCTTTGTTTTACTCATCATCTGTAATGGAACCATTTGAATTTCTGATGAGAATAACAGTTGAAGTGGAAAACTATGTAAGTTTTGGTGATATACCAGATATTCATGCCAATGATTATTTATTATTTCATGTCATTTGAAATTGCCTGCATAAATTTCTTTGTGAAATATATCTGTTTTTGGTTGAAAGTTGTATTATTTTGTATAAACACTTAAAAAACTGGAACAAACATGTCTTGCCGACTCATCCTTAATCTTTTATCACAAAGCATGATGTAATTGTTGTTTTTTCTGCATGTATCTATTCAAGGTTAAAATATGTCTGCAGCAACCTGTGCTTTGCATATAGTGGTTAATCTCTGTGTCTTTGTTGAGATCTACCTGTGAAGGTCCGGGTTAGAATATTGATTTTCAGTAACCCTTGCTTGTCGTAAGAAGCGACTAATGGGATCGGGTGGTCAGGCTCACTGATTTGGTTGACACATGTCATTGGTTCCCAATTGTGCAGATCAATGCTGATGCTGTTGATGACTGGATTGTCTGGTCCAGACTCAATTATTTACAGACCGCCGCCATATAGCTGGAATATTGCTGAGTGCGGCGTAAAACTAAACTCACTCACTCACTCACTTTGTTGAGATCATGTTTATGTGGACCTTTGGGTGGATCATTGCTCACAATATGAATCACTGGTTTGTCTGGTCTGTTTTTACAGGCTGTGATCATGTAGCTGGAACTTTACTTATTGTGGAGTTCAAATACAAACACATACAATATTATACCCATGCAGTGAGTTAAAAACATTGTGAATTTAGTTTTTGTTTGTTGCAACTCACTATGCAGAATATTCTCTTACCAGTGACAGGATGTACTGATCATTGTTTGAATCTGATTTTGATTTGCACTAATTATGAGTCCAGCTTACTTCCGGGACCAGATTTCCGGTGATAAGCATATATTTAAGAACCCGTTCTGGTTCCAAATTGAATGACCACCAAATATGACTTTATTAGACCAGACTAAGTGTACAACCATGCTTGGCTGTCACAGCTGTTGACAGACATAGTAGTTGACTAATTTGGGGATGGTTACATTGGAAATTTGTTATTCCTGCAAGGATTTATCGGTTCATTACTGTCAACTGACAACCATGAAACCATTCGTTTGTCACCCGAAGTACTAAGATCTCGCGGGGTGCTGTGACCTACTTATGGGCCCTATTGTGGATTTTATACCAAAGTGGACAACCCTTCTGTCTTCCATTACTTTCTTCTCACTTTAAGCCAATTTACTGACACAAACACTGCTTGCTCTTCTTTAAGATGACTTCGGTTGAGCGTATCCTGTCATACAGCAAGGTGGCTCAGGAAGGGCCCATGGAATCCGATCGCCCACCCCCAGACACATGGCCCATGCAGGGCACCATCTCATTCAGTAATACCAGTCTTCGATATGAGGATAGCCTGCCCTATTCTCTGAAACATATCAACTTTCATATCAAGAGCAAGGAGAAAGTAAGTTAGACGTCATTGATGACAGCATTCCTTGCAAGCAACCTGGATCTTGGAAGAACATTGCATGTTAAGTGTTTAAATATAGACACCAGATTCTTGATGCTTCCTACCACATGTATGCATATATTGTTGTGAGGGACCCACATGGCAATGCACAACACAGACAGTAGCACTTCTAAGTGTTACCATCTTGAAGAATGACAAGTTCCTGTAGTTTAAGCAGATATGCCAGCTGGTGAAAAGTCACTTAAGTATACTCTGTAAGTTTAGTAAGTCAAACTTGAGCCTTCTGGCTGTGATAAGCTCAAGTTTCCCATTCTATATTCACATACAAAATATACCAGTTAGCAGCCTGGACTGAATGTATTTCAGATTGGCATAGTGGGCCGTACAGGTGCAGGTAAAAGCTCCCTACTGGCAGCTCTCCTGCGATTGGCTGAGCCTGAAGGGAAGATGTGGATAGATGGCATGGATGTCACCATCATTGGCCTTACTGAACTCCGGGAGAAAATATCAGTCATTCCTCAGGTGTGTTTATTCAATGCCCATGATCAGTTCAAATGTTCAGTGTTCAATTTCCATATTGTCAGCGTAGTTTCATCTATTTAACTCTACCATTGTTGAAATACTGTTATAAGACACATGGTTCTCAGATGTGTAAAACAATTACAAATGTAATTTTAATTCATCATCAAGAGTATTCAAGGTGGGTTGATACACAAGATGGTGAACAGTGAAATAATGTTGTTGCAAACTGCCAAACAAAACAGAATCATTCCAAAATCAGCGTTATGAGTTTTCAAAACAGCTAAGATATGTGTTGAATAAATATTGGAAAATGTTTCCGGTCTGTTGCCAGGACCCTGTTCTGTTTACGGGCACCTTACGGCAGAACCTTGATCCCCTGGACATGTACACAGATGACAAGCTGTGGCAGGTGCTGGAACAGGTAACATTTGATGTCTGATAGGGGCCTCATTTCAGAGGCAAGCTGGGACATCTGATGGAATCACTGATCCAAGGTGATCTTAGGTTAAATAAGCTCCCCACTTACTAACTCGATTGCATATCATTGTACTCTGAGACGTTGCTTATAAAATCAGCCAGTGGTTGATCTGTTCCAGACTTGATTATGCACAGACTGGGATGATACAGCTGAAATAATGCTATTTAAAAACAACAACATATGAATTGCTAGTAATTAGGGCTGCACGGTAATTAGGGCTGCAATACGACATTGTAACAATTACGTATCGCGATATGTTTATGATGTACCGGTATACCGACAAAGATTTATTTGTTCATTGTTAATCCATTCAACACAGCAGGAAAGACTTCTGCCCGTACACCCCCTAAATGTTAATGGTGAGGAAAAAGATATATATGTATATTCAGGTAATATGGTTGGAGGTAGTGGGTTGGGATTGAACGGAAGTCTTTCCAAATGATTAGAAACGGGTCCACTTAAAAATTTTCAAAGAGCAAAGTATCGATGTTTTGAGGAAATCATTGAAATTGAAGAAACTAATGAATAAGATCTACAGTTTTCATAAAAGTTGTCAAACGTACGTCTAAGTTACTATTTCCATCTTTTCGTGCGATCATGTTATGCAAGTCAAGTGACATCTCGGCTTTCGTCGCCTCGATCTTCATGCTCCGACGCGATGTTTAATGTGAAACAAATTGCATAAAGAATATTTGTCACAGATCGCCACCTAGCACGATATGTCCAATACGTTCCATAATTTACGTAGTTATGGCGATTTCCTGCTTAACACCTTCAGAATAGCATCATTGTACCCAAAACATTTGTCTCAACGTTTAGGAGGACAGTATCCATTGCTGTAATATGATTGGCTGCCTTAGGTTACGTGCACGATTTTTGCCAATCACAAACTTTATAACAGACTGTGGCAGAAAAGCATCATTAGGAACCAATCTTTATCCAATAAAATAGCTTCTTACAACTGCGAAAATACTCCTGGTAAGGTTACTGTGATATTATTGATGATTAGAGCATTCGAACGATACCCGCCATCAAATGAATCTTTTCGAGTGTTATTCATATGGAGCTTCGAAAACGGAGGCATTTCCCAATATTGTGTTATGTTACCAGGCGAAAAGCCACAGCTATCGGGAAATAGGCGACCACACATGTTATTTAATTAATCTTAAGAAAATAATTTTCTGATTACGTAAAAATGAAAATATAAAAGAAACAGGTAAGAGGATATTATGACATCTTACAAATGGATTAAAATGGCGAGAGTTTTCGTCTCCTTCTTGGTTAAACTGGACATTATAAGTGTGTAAACTTGTATTTTTATTAGAAATAAAATTATTTAAGTTGAAGTTGTATTATTTGAATAATATACTCACGGACGAAAGAAACGTCACCTCGCTTTTTTAACATGCCATAAAACAACAAACGCAGATTTTGGAAATTTAACAATCATATTTGGAAAATTATGGATTTTTAACATTCTGAATGATGAAAGTGTGAACTACAGATATGAATAATCACTTAGTGTACGATAAGAGATAAAAAAATTTTTTGGGTGATGTTTCTTTCGCCCGTAAGTTTGTTAAAAATACCTTTGGTATATATATCAACAGTTCGATTAAACCCAAAAATGTAAATGGTGTATGACATGTAGTAGCAGTAATGTTTCACGAGCTGATATTTTCCTTGTCAAACGTAGGCTTCTAACTTATTATAAGGCTATGTTTCTCGTGTTTCAATTTTTTTTCATTATACTATTCCGTCTAAAGAAAGTTTACTTTACCTAATACAGAGAGACTTTTGCCCATCTTGAGTGTTTTGTTAAATCATTTCTTTATGAGAAAGTGTACCCTACTTCATTCATGAAATAGGTAATGTTTATAATACTTTTATTCACAGACATAGGTGCATAAATCATTGTTTTGATTAGAATGTGCACTTCAAGATCATGTCACATGATTTTGACTTCAATTAATATTTTCTTGAGTAATACAGATGTGCACAGTAGCTCAGACTCTTTGTATTATTTGAAATTCAACATCCTTTGCTGTTTAAAGAAGTTAAAGTATATAAAGAGTATGGGTGGATTTATGGAGGACTTGCTAGTTTCAGTTGAATTTGTCATATACATATATGAAATGAGAAATCATACATTTATCTGCGTTAACTTTCCTTTGGACAGCAGTTACAATTATAAGAAAGACTTGATGAAGTTGTTTATAGTAAAGTGTAGGGCTAGTAATTTTTTGTAAGGACTCGTGACATACAAAATCCACTAGCCCGAAGGACTAGTTAAAACACTTAACTGTTGTTTTAAAATAAAAATATAAACAGAAGAATTTCTGGTTTTTCCTTTTTCTTGCTTTGAAAGAAGCTATACAATGCAATGCACAGTGGTTACTCACATATACTGTGATTCAATTTGAAGGTTAAAGAATATTACAAAGTGGACAGATCTCAATAACTGTTCTTTCACAATATATTGCAATACGTATCGCAATACAGAAGAGTGTATCGCAATATATCGCAATACGTATCGCAATACAGAAGAATGTATTGCAATATATCGCAATACATATCGCAATACAGAAGAGTGTATCGCAATATATCGCAATATGAAATTTGGGGCAGTACACAGCCCTACTAGTAATAGATGATAATAATAAGTTCATTTATAATGTGTCAGTTTCCCTTCACCTTATGAGTGAATGCTCATGGCGTCAGTTTATTCCTTGAAAGAGCAGGAGCTATAAATTTAAATAGACTAGGGGCTAGTTGACTCATAACAGCTGCACAAACTACTTAAGGTTTACGACATAAATATTGACCATCGTCTTGTATGTGGATGCACAGGTTCAGCTGAAGACGAAGATTCAGGACAGTCCAGAAGGCCTGTGTATGGGTGTGGCAGAATCTGGACACAACTTCAGCGTGGGGCAGAGACAGCTGGTCTGTTTAGCCCGAGCTCTGCTTGCTGCCAACAAGATACTTGTACTGGATGAAGCAACTGCTCATGTCGACCATGAGTAAGTGATGCAGGGTTCTCACTAGCATAACTGAAGGTGCAGGGTTGTCACTACAATAACTGAAGGTGCAGGGTTCTCACTACAATAACTGAAGGTGCAGGGTTCTCACTAGAATTACTGAAGGTGCAGGGTTCTCACTACAATAACTGAAGGTGCAGGGTTCTCACTAGAATTACTGAAGGTGCAGGGTTCTCACTACAATAACTGAAGGTGCAGGGTTCTTACTAGAATTACTGAAGGTGCAGGGTTCTCACTAGAATTACAGAAGGTGCAGGGTTCTCACTAGAATTACTGAAGGTGCAGGGTTCTCACTAGAATTACAGAAGGTGCAGGGTTCTCACTAGAATTACTGAAGGTGCAGGGTTCAGGGTTCTCACTAGAATTACTGAAGGTGCAGGGTTCTTACTAGAATTACTGAAGGTGCAGGGTTCTCACTAGAATTACAGAAGGTGCAGGGTTCTCACTAGAATTACTGAAGGTGCAAGATTCTCACTAGAATTACTGAAGGTGCAAGATGCTTACTAGAGTTACTGAAGGTGCAGGGTTCTCACTAGAATTACTGAAGGTGCAGGGTTCTCACTACAATAACTGAAGGTGCAAGATTCTCACTAGAATTACTGAAGGTGCAGGATTCTCACTAGAATTACTGATGGAGAATTCTCACTAGAACAACAAAAGGTGCAGGGTTCTCAGTAGAATAAAACAGAAGGTGCAGGGTTATCACTAGAATTACTGATGGTGGAGAATTCTCACTAGATCAACAGAAGGTGCAGGGTTCTCAGTAGAATAGCCAAAGGTGCAGGATTCTCACTAGAATATAACAGCAGATGCAAGATTTTCACTAGAATAACTGATGTAGCATGATTCTCTGCAGCAATAAAGGAGTTACAGGAGTGTTACTAGAACAATAGTTGCTACAAGATTAGCACAAATACAATACATACATTATTCTCATGAAAATAGTAAATTTGGGGGTCCCTCTAGACAAATGTTGTACTAGCACAACAGATACAGAATTGTATAGAAGGTTCATGATTCTCCCTGTAACATGAGTAGTTGTGTGATTGAATGGTGAGGTGATAAAATGATCCAACAGATATTGATGAGGTCATTGTTTGATTAATAGGGAGTTTATGAAAATGAAACATTCATGTTTCATTTACTTTTTTACTTGCCTTGTAAAATGTTTCATCATAGTCATCCATGTTACTTGTGCAAAGAGATATTTAAATCTTTCAGTCATCTTAAACAATCATCATAATCGCTTTTCAGGACTGACCAACTCATCCAGAGAGTTTTACGAGCCAAGTTTCGTGAATGCACAGTTCTGACCATAGCTCACAGACTGAACACTGTCATGGACTGTGACAGAATTATGGTAGGTGATATTTGGGTCATGTTCAGAATCCATTCAGATAAAACATGCAGCTCAGGATATGACTCGGTTAAGGAGACCATGAAAATAATATTCTTGTAGATTCAAGAGTTGTTATAGTTTCTGAAAAAAATCATATATGACCAGTTTAACATTATAACAGTTTTCAAATCGACGTTAACACTGCACTATGTTCTACACAAGTTCATAATTTATTCTGTCTTGCAGTTAGTTACATGTCCCGTTCAGGCATTTGAAGTTGATGATAATGTTCTACTCACACATTCATGTCCTGCAGGTCCTTGATGAGGGAGAGCTAAAGGAATTTGACATCCCATATAACTTGCTCCTTCACAAAGATGGCTACTTCTGTAAACTGGTAGATCAGCTTGGCAAACAACAGGCAAGGCAATTACATGCCCTGGCTGAGCTGGCCTACCACCAGAGGGCTTCAGCAAGCATGCTGCTGGAGGAGGCAGTAAAATCAGCCACAGAAATCTTCAGAAATAGTCGTGAGGACCTTCGTAGAAGTAAAGATAGTTTAATGAGGAGCAAAAACAGTTTGGATACGAGTGAAACAACTCTAAACACCATTGAAAACTCAAAAACTCTCTATGGGAGGTACTCCACCCCAGTTAAATCAAGTCCAAAACCACATCGCAAAATCCGACATGTGAAAAGCAGTCCTGCAAAGGAAAGCCCAAAAATACATAGAAAGACTCCTTCAAAAAGTGATTTGGTTGATAGGAATGATAGAGAAGAAATAGTTCCTTTAGTAACACATAGTCCTGGCAGACACACATTAGAAGAATCTCCAGTTGTGAATGATGATCGAGGAGGGACAGTGTCCCCCATCAGGAAGCCTGTCAACCCTCTAGCCAAGGGAAGCCGGACTCTCAGCCCCAAGGGAAGCCCTCGCGTTATTACAGGGCTGTATCAGAAGCAGAAAGAAGGGGAGGATTCTGATGACCAGAAGATTATTTTTTGCTGAGGATATGTTATTGAAAATACTCTGATCATATTGAGAAGATTCCTACCTATGATATGTGCATCAAGAGAAAACACCTCAAGATATGTTCTGTCCAGTCGAACAGTGCCTTGCTTCTACCTTTAGTCCATTTCTGTTTGATCTCTGTTTGAAATATAATTTATTATCAAGGGTAAAAGTAGAACTATCTAGTCCAATGTGGCTGATTTGGTTAATGTCCTGATGGCTAGTAGAATTGCACAGGCTAGGATTGATGTCATCTTATTATGCATACAATCAAGGATAATTTCTGGGTGTGTTCCGAAGATCATAATGTTGTCATAATGAAAACTGTCTGTGTCTGTTTACAGGGGCAGAATCTGCTTGGTGTGAATTTTCATTTGGTCAACTGACTAATTTCCTCTAAAGGTTATTAGACATGTTTCAGAAGTGTATTTGAGTTTCCATGGATCCATATCCTAAGCTTCTGGCAGTCAAAGGCACTCAATAGGCTTTGTTCAGGCTGTCTGGAGTATGTTGGTTTATATATTCTCATTGAATTCTTAACTTTGTGCTTTAGAATAAGTAAACGGTTTAAGAACTGCCAAAATGTTACCTTTGTCACTGAGTTCAACAATATCTGTTGAATGTTTGAATTTGCCACACTATGTATTAGATGTTCTGTAGCTCTCCTTGTCAAAGGCAATGATGTTGTCTTGGGAATACATATGAATAGCATGGGATGCAAGTGGCAGAGTATTAATGCTGATAAATATTATGCTTGTTGAACCAAGCCATTTTAAGGATATATTTATTCTGTTATTAAAAAGACATCTTAATGCTAACAAGAAATGCAACAACTATTTCCTTAATATTTTCTTTACCCTTTGTATTCAGGAGGTGTAATCATTTTGGACTTGACAGGGGCAGACTGTGGTTAGTCTGTGCAAATACCGCTTGTATATTGCTCAATATTTATGGTAATTATAAACATTTTATACACCAGTTGTTATATTTCCTAGTGGGACAATCTACATATGGTAACTGTTACAAAATGAGTCTTCCAGGATTGTGTTTTGAAAGGAAATATCAGATTTATTAATTATATTCATGTCATTTGTTTAGTTGTATTATTTTTTGCTATAATGTTTTTCAATGGACAGATGTGTTGTGAGCTATATTTTATGCGAAATATCCTCATCGTATACTATTAGTAGTGGACATGACTGTTTTCAATAAGTAAGAAAGAAACCCAGAAAATAGTACTGTAAAAATGAATGTTTTGTTCTGTTACAGATGCTTAATTAGGAAAGACAAAACTGACATATTAGCACCAGTGTTTCATGACATTGCCAAAATCTGGACACAAGAGACATGTCCGTGCAATCATGATACAGAGATTATCAGCCATGTTTTCATTTTTTATTCAGAGAAATATGGAATTTGTTGCAATATTATTTAGGATACAAGAACTCTTGTTTTATATCTAAAGGTCGAATGTTTAAACTTTTGTATGTTTATAATATTTGGATATTGCATTGATAATTGTAACTACATTAAATGGAGGCTCAAGGTGTGTGATATGGAGACTCCAGATTCTAACAGTCAACCATGTGTGTCTTCCTCTTTATGGAATTATTGTGTCCATGTGCCCCATGTGATAATTTTGATAAGGAGTTCTTTTTCTGGATTTTTATCACATCAATGCCTGTAATTTTGATTTCTTTTACAATTGTTAACCACATTCCTTACCACGATTTATTATCTGTTTGTGATTATTGATCTCTCTTACACCTATGTACTATTACATTCCATAAATGAATTAATGTAGTTTAGCGAACACTGGCTGAAAGTCCAAGTGAGATTATATCCTATATGTCTTTTGTAAATTGCAATCCCCAGAAACTGGTTGGATGAGGTTTTCATTTCATGTAAATATGATTATTACACCAAATATTTGTACACCCTAAAATGAATTATTTTCTATACCAAATGTCTAAAAGACAAACTGACTTATGTTAGTTACTGCTCACATAAAAGTTTGTCAAATATGGCTACATGTAGAAATTGCTGTCATTGTTTTTCCATGAAAGCTTGCTGTTGTGATTTAACATTCTTTAAAGTCATGAAAAATAAATAGACGATGTAAGTATTTTCTTCCAACCACACCTAGACTAGACCTACATCTTCCCCTCATCCAGAGTTTATTTCCTGATATATGCATCAAATATGTGCCTTAAGTCAGTGTCTTATGTCTGTATTGTCATAGTGGACCTGTTTTACAAGATTCACTCCGACCACTAAAAACAGAAGGGCTGAAATGAAGCGCCCTATAGAAAACAGGACTGCTCCATTCATCATCTGTACTCTGCCTTTAGATACATGATCAATGAGAGATGGTAATTTTGATGCAACGAATGGCATGTTTGCATTATCAAGAATGCATGAACTGTCAGCCTGCTTCTTGATTGTATGTTATCGGCATATGAGACAATGATGGTCCTGAGCTTCAGATATGTTGGGAATTTGAACCTATACTGAGAGAAAAAAGAATAAGGGATCACATGAAAGCACAAGTGTTCCCTTATATTTTGCATGCATAGCTTGTGAAGAAATCTGGAACAAAATAAGGGAACACTTCTGCTTTCATGTGATCCCTTATTTTTTTTCCTCAGTATATTTACATTATAAATGTGTAGCTGGTCTTTGATACTGAATATCGAATTTCCTGGTCTGTGGTAAATTTGGAAGAGAATTACTGTGTGGCATGGCATTCCAACAAAGAATGAATTCCCGAAATTAACAGACATTTAGTACCAGTTAGTTGTTTTAATTAAAGCAAATTCATAGCTAGCTAGCTAGCTAGACAGATAGTAATCAGCAGTCACTGAACCAAGAAGGATGTGTTCTGAAACTGGTCATAATGGGAAGACACCAGTAACAAGTGTTGTACATGTATCTAGTAGCAATTGTATGTGAAGTTTTATGATGGAGTATTTGGTGGCATTTGAAGGAACTTACCTGCTTGTTCATGCAGCACCTATTTGGTAAGAGACATGACCATTTAGTGTTCCTCAGTCATCAGATTAGATAACTGTGTATATGAAACACTAAAGTATGTGTCATATATCATGTTTTCTATGGTGGATCATGTAGACACTAGCTAATTCATCTATGAATGAATGATCTATTTTTGAATGATGAAGATCTTTACTGGAAACTATTTTTTTAATGCTTATGGAGCTCTGTGCAGCTTGTGTCTACATTTACATGGTATTTTAACCAATTGTTGAAACAATATGGACCCATTTTGACTTTCTATGTATAAACGTGAAACCACACTTATTTTCAAAGAGTTTGGCCAACAGAAATGAATTATATTGTCTGTTATCATGCATGGTTAGCCAGAACATTTTTAGAGACTTTGATATTGTAAATGCTTTGAGCCCTCTGGTTGGTTCAAGGTAGCAAATGGTCTGTGCCTTTGATGAATTTACTGCGGTTAAAATGTTGTATGAAATAACTATGTAATAGTAAGTATTTTCTAAGCTTGAGCCAATAAGAGGTTCAGTTGCATAATGCTGGGGTTTTTTAAAAATAATATCAAACATTGCTCACTGAGCAAGGTGCCATGCTAGCATTTGGTTTTTGATGTGTTCAAATGATTTTTCTTGGCAACCCAAGTTAACGTAGGAATGGTAATTACAGTATAATGATGTGGCAATAAGTGAATATACCCAACCAGTGTCAGGAGATAGACTTTTTACTTTTCACAATAGTTTCTTTCGGTAAACACATTCAATTCATGCATGATGCACTATTGGCCAGTACCTGATGAAGTCAGCTGTTATGTACCAGTAATACGAATGTATACTTTGTGTGTCTTAGGTCAGTCTGAAAATGACACCTTTGAATCAAGACCTGTTTATTGTCATATTTTATGTTCACATATGAACTGTTTTCAGAAGTGAGATTAGCAACATACTAGTTTTGAATTTCACACATCTCTATGGCATGAATGTTTCAAAGTGTTCAATATTGGGCAATATTTATCATCAGTACAGCTCTTTATCTAACTTGTCATGTTTTTGTTATAGGAGCAGAACTCAAAACCACTCAGTATTTCATCTTGAGGCCTTACACATAGCAAATTGATGGCAAAGTAATTCTTTTTGATATTTAGGGATTTTCTTTGTTTTTGTCATTTTCCTTAAATCAAGCATGACATACACTCAAGTGATATGCAGTTTTGTTTCCATAGCATCTCATATTTCTTCGCAAAACTTTACATATATCAGTTTACAGTGGATTGGGGCCATGTGTTGACTGAACCATGTTTTGGTGTACCGGGGGTATGTACAACTGAGACTTAGAATCAGTTGATGGTTGTTGCCAAAACTGTTCCATCACAAGATGTGATGTTTCATTACATGAAAGAGCCTACAGCACAAGATCCTTTCATCTTGTAATGACTTGTGAAGGGAAATGATAAGGTTAATACTCTCATTCATGTGTAAATGTTACCCAAGAGATTACTCATTCCAGATGTATCATTCAACATTACTATCATGTTTTCAAAATGGAATCCACTTCCTGTGATTGTTCATTTTTGTCAGCTCAGTGCTACATGAAATCTAACAATCACATTTATGAGATGTGATAAAAATATGTGACAAAACTTACCTGTTATATAGACATGAAGGAGATTGATATATGAGATGTATTTTGTAATCAGTTGACTTGCCAAAAAAGCAGTAGATGAATATATTATACTACCCATCAAAAGTTTAGACTCACTAGAGTAAATATAGCTACTTTTTTCTGTCAACTGTTCCAAACCTGTTTTGCAAAATATTCCATACTGTTCAAAGGTATTGTTTACACATGAACTGATGTATTGTAAAACAAATTCGTAATGTTGAAAGGATTATTGTCATGAGTTCAATAAATGATGAAACTCGGTGAAAATTGGCTAATTCTTAACAAAACTTTACACCAAAACGCAGCTGTTCACATGCATGACATTTGCACATGCTTTTCAGCAATTTGATGCATGATCCTCGTGCATTTCATCTGTATAAGGTTTTGCAGTTGGTTCCCCTAAGTTAGTGGAGTAATTCATCTTTGATGTAACCACATATATATACATAACATATAGTGAATGCTTTAAGTGAGTCTAAACTTTTGCTGGGTAGTATTATCACACAGCTAAGTGTGACATGGGTAGCTCGATAGGGTAACTGTAGGTTGTGGAAGGTGATTCACACATTATGAGGAATCAAACGTCGTTCCTTGGTGGCACAAGTGAAGTCTTTAACCTTTGGGTCACCACTGTGCCAAACAATAGTGTCTTAGAGAGGTACATCAAGCCAATAGTTCAGAAATATTTTCCTGGAAGACTTTTGGATATAACTGAGATGTCCTCTTTCATTAAAATGCTTAAACAAAATAGTTTACTGAGTTCCCTTTTTTCTGCATATTTATGGCCTTCTGTAGCTTAGATCTTATGAAACATGTTTCTGAAGGGTGCTCAAGATATTTTTTAAAAGCTTCCTGTGGGCTATAAAATGGAGTGTACGCTGCTGATATAATATCATTTCATGAGAAACAACAAGGTCATGTTTGTGCTGTTATTTTTACATTTTATCTTCAACCAAAGTCTACATATCCAAGATGTTTCCACAGCTCTTGCTCAAATAACCACATTTACATATGTTGTGATGTTTATACTCCTAGTTCATGTTCTTCATGATCATGTCTGTTGTGTTGTTATTGTACAGGTGTATAATTGTACATGTGTCTGATTGTACAGGTGTATAACTGAAGAGGTATTTATGTGTGCTTCACAAGACGGTAATACAACATTTAGATATTTCAAACCGTTCACTTTGTGAAAAAGTACACTGTGTTCCCTCTAACTGATATGTGTATGTTACTATCACCAGAGTAAGGCTGTTCCATAGGTCAAATATCTAAATGTCTTTGCACTCAACAACTGTGTAAATTTCTTTTGAACTGTTTGTACAATTTTTATATTACAGTCATATATCATTGTTCATGGAACTTTAATATTATTATGGCCAGTGTTCAGATAGACCTATGGAGTTGATTGTAAGTACACATGTTAAGGCTTCTACTTAAATAGATTTAGCAAGACATGTGTTGTATTAGGCTGATCCTGAACCTATATGTATTTCCGGATCCGAATATACTTCTAACACAACAGGAAACTTAGAAACACAAGGCTTCACGCTACAGAGAAGCTTGTTCAAAGTGGAGAGCATTCTAGCTGCATTCTTAACTTTGTTTAATGAAAGTACTAAGCAAAACATTCCCACCGCTACTACTTTGTTGCTCTAGTCATGTGTAACCTGACTCAAAGGTGTTTGTGTGGATTATGATCCATTGCGTATGTTATGTCTAAAGATGAAAGCTGTAATATGTATAATGGTATAGCTTTATATGCATTCATAACAATGACATGTTTCTTGGAGAATAGTCCATCTGTATTAAGAGCCGCAGCCTCATTGTGCAACTCAGTTGTACTGTAGCTCCTGTACCTTAACGTACACTTTTGATAGTCCTTCTCGCTATATAAAACAAGACAAACATACAACCAAATCTGTCTGAATGAGTAATAATTACCCTCAAAGAAAGATAGTTCTTGTATTTGAACACACAAAACTAGAATCTTGTTCTTATAGGGTTTGTTTTTAGAACTGTTCGAAAATCTGAAAAAATCTTCTGTGCAGTTATAACTTATGGTGTTAACAATTTGGTTAGAAGAGTCTTACTATGTTGCATCAGGTTATATGTATCAAATGGAGCTTTTATCTTACAGGATGCCTTTTGATAGTTTTAACAAGAGGCTGAGTGTGTTGTTGTGGCCACACTATCCCTGTAACAAGAACACGTACCACCACCGAACTCAACCTTCCTGTTGAGTGTGTGATATTAAAAAGAGGTTTAAGATATTATATTTAGAGAATTAACATTCAGTAGTTGACATTTGGAGATATATTGTATTATCACCATCTTTAAGAATGGTTAGTGACTTTTATTCAAATATTTATTAATCAGTGTAAAGCAAAACCAGTGATTTTATTCAGAATTACAGACAACTTGGGAATAAATCTATACATAACTCTAAGACTTTTTCATTTTTAGTTGATGAAGATTAAAATACAGGATAAACTGGATCATTGCATACCAGTTTTGAACACTGATATGAAAAATCAAACTAACTGGATCATACCATGTTATCACTGATAACAAAAATGAAGGTAACTGCATGATCATTCGCATTATATCTTTCAGTCATAGATACGACCATATACTACTCACACTTTGATAAGGATCACAAAAATATCACAAAGGATCACAACGTAGATTCATAATTTGATATCGTATCAATTTAAAACTGGATAAATAATAATATGCTAACCCCTCTTTAGGCAAATAGTCACTTTAGTCTAACCTTATGCACTTGATACATGAGTAACCATAAGAAGAATGGTTTTCATGGCACCAATCAACCATTTTGCAAATCATGGAACAAGTCATTGACAAGTACACAACACCTGTCACTGCAGGTATGGGTTCCCAAGATGAAAGGACATACTGAAACCTAGGGTCCATGCTTACAATAAGCTTAGATATTTAAACCAAATTTGCCCCCACATCATAGTTTTCTGTTGAATCCATGATTTGATCCTTTAGCAAAGTGTGAATAGTATCTATCTCCAGTGTTGCAAGAACTCCATTTGCTTCCTGTCAAGCACAGGATCAACTTCAAAATCCTTTGCCTGGCTCATCAATGTTTGACCTACACAGCTCCTGTCTACCTCTCAGAACTGATACATCCCTATTGTCCATCTGGATCACTTCGATCAGAAAACCAGAACCTCTTGACTGTACCCAAAGTCAAGCTCACACGATTTGGACAACGTTCCTTCTCTTATGCTGCTGCTAAAGAGTGGAATGATCTGCCTCACCACATCCGTTCCTGCTGAAGCACTCATATTGCCTACACCACATATCGCCTACAATAATTATATTGGCCAGTTCTACCACCCCTATCATAATAATGGGCATTACCCAACTGGCTGTTAACATTAAACAAATAGATCTTGTACATGTCAACCATCTTTGATCAACCATACATGTTTTGATTGTATTTTGAGCTGTTTCTTTTTCTGTGTTAGCAAGACCTGCTCATCTCATCTTATTCTGCAAGTTTCACACTCAGCATCAAAATGGCAAATCGTCAGAGACTGAGTTTGTTACTTCAAAGAGAGGCGGTCAACAAGTGCTTCATACTGGATACCGATACATCACATCACATCCACTACTCCGCACACTCATCCTCCTGTTGAGAATGCAGATCATATCAGAATGATAGCTAGAATGAAGGAAATTGTCAAGACTGACATCACTCCTTTGCAGCAGATCTACAATGCTGAACTCGACCAAGCTGACGAAGACACATCAGCCACCATGCCGTCCTTTGCCAGTGTTCAAGCCTCCTTGTACATACATAGAGCCAAGCCATAGTTACCAATTCATAAATGAAATCAAGAAGACTGAGACAGCAGATAAACGATCTAGACGACAGACAGGTCTTGGTGGGGCTGTGAAACCCCGTGCACGTATTGACAGTGAAAGAGATGCGCGAATTGAGAGACTTAAGCTACACCTTGCAACTGGACGAAAAACTGTGATGCAGTTTCTAGATGCAGTTGGCCACTTACTGAAATTACATTCATTGTTCTGTGTCTGAAGTCTGTTTCACTGATGATGATGATGATGTATGTGATTGACTTGTTTGACTGATCATGGTGATGATATTGGTATTTTAACTTGTTGCATATAGGACCCTATTAAAGCATAAATCATCAGTGCAAGAGTTTATTTTCATTAGTGGAAGTATGCCTCATTAGTGGAAGAGTCTACTTTTCTAAAGGTATAACAGCCTTTACGTGATGTGCAGTCAACCCTAAATTTGTTTTGATAAGGGTGTAGGCGATATGAGGTCAGGCCTTCCTGCTCTGTTTATTCCAGATTCAGAACTCTCCTAAAAAACTCATGTCTTCCGTGAAGCTTTCTGTTGATTCTTTTGTCATTTTGTGCGCTTTGAGCAGAATATTTAGGGGGTTTGGGAACCCCTCTTTTACCCATGGATGTGACCTATCTTAATGTTGTGGAAAACTTTTAGGTATGGGTATAAGAATTGCCTAGCATATGCAGATGCCTAAAGTTCTTATCCTTTCTCTTCCTTGATACTTGCACTTTCATACTTAAGACATGACCATGCACATATACATATATTGCTAAACGAAGGCAGATGTTTTGTAAATCAACTACAATGTATGAGCATGTTTGTAACCTTACATGAAAGCAGCTTGGGTAAAAGATTTGCTCCGGTTCCATCGGAAAATTCTTGCTTAGAAAGACTATTCCTTTTTGACACATTTTATCTTAATCTTTGCATTACCAAGTCTTTAAAGTTTTAGGGTTGTTTTATCCGTTCTTAAATTATGCAGATTCCGTGGTCAAAAGGACCCTTATACGAGGAGTGATTAATAAATTCTAATCTTCACACAGAAGGCATTGTTTAGTCATGAAATCTTTTCTTGCAGATCTTTAATGTGTTATATGTGTAACCACACGAATTTGAAAGGGAATTGTTTGGATGTGACAATTCATTAAAGCAAGCAACAGCATGCATCGACCTTTTGAAAGTGGAGAAGTTCGTGCAGAGAAAAGGTTCAACACCAAAACGATGAGTACAACACCAGAGAGGAGGCCTCTTGAGTCTTTACTCAGGAAACATAATATCAAATATAACACTTGTTTTTCTTGACCTCTTTCAGAAAGTCATTGTGTTTTCATTCAGCTGGTAGTACACGTCAATAATAAATCAACCATGAGTTCTCTTGCATGGGCTCTGACCAACACAATGTTAAACCTTAGTTCCCCACCTTGACCTGCAATTCATCAATTGTCAGTTTTTCAAGGTACTATTAACCTCTAAACCATTAGTTTCCCGACATCAACCTTAAAAATTTCGTTTTGATAACCATCTCAACCATAACCTGAAACTTACACTATGAATGTCAACCTATTGGTAGTTCGGTGAGAACTCATCACACATAAGTCTCATAGTTAACGGCTGAAACAATCGTATAACCCTAACCTGATCGCTTTATGCTTCTGGGTGTGTTCTGTTCTAATGTTAAGTTTCCCAATAGTTTTCAACCATTAAATCCTAAATGTCCCTTAATATAGAGGCTATATTGTCTCACTAACGTTGTAAAGAGACAGGCCTCGCATTAATCTGTGTAATGCAATTACATCTTGACAAATATAACGCACATATCAGGATCAGACGCTGAACGTTTAAGGATTTCATGTAATTGTGCAACTGAAGGTAACCACTGTCTGACATGATATCGATCAAATTCTGCGTCAGTTTCTCGTCGCCCACCTGGGCCCTGTAATGAAGTTAATTGCATTCATCCTTATTACCAGGTGTATTGATTACATGTGTAAATGGTTTACGCCGAATGTTTTGGACCTAACAACACGAATCAACATTACGAAATTATGCCCTCTTAAATGATGAACAAGCATTATACAAAAGCCTGTATTCTTCAACATTGCAGAAAATATTGCCATCTTTGACAGCATTAGAACGTAATTTGATTTGATGACCCTAGGCAGGAAAGTAAACATAGAGTTGAAACTGAAGGAAGTTTATACCAACAGGTAGATCATAGAATAGTGAACATTTGTCTCTTGACATTTTCTTAAACAAAACAACGAAAATGGCTTGACTTGGCGGGTGGTTGATTTCGTACTCCAGTTATCTCTTCATATACAAGATATGACTTAGATTAACTGTTACCGTGTTTTTGAGGACTGGTGAGCTATGGTATCAAGTTGCCATCCAGGTAATGGTTGCTTATTACGCGCAAAATGTCGGAAATGCAGTATCGCGATACAGATCGTATCGAGACCTCAGTATCGAGTTACGTATCGTATCGTGAGGCACATGTATCATGACATCCCTAGTACAGCATACCATGAACGAAACTCATGAGTATCAGAATCAGTATCAGTCTACGTCTGGCGTCTGACGTCTTTGCGTCATCGGTGGGAAAACGTTCTCGTCAAAGCCAATACAACCTCCTAAAACTACCAGTCCTGAAAAAGGACATCTAAATTCAGTAGACGGAAACTAACATTCTACCTTTACCTATTCTGCTGAAAAAAACTGACTGAGTTCTGTAATTTTTACCAAGAATAAGTGGGCTTACATTTGGACGCCTAACTGCTTAACGCGTTGGTGCTTAGATATTTTAGGAGCGCTTCCAGCAGAACTCCCGTCTGACGGTATGTGTACATATCACTTTGGGCTCCTCGCATCGACAGACACGTTTGAAGATGACATGCGTTGAATCAGAGCTTCAAGTCATGGCGGTTGTTATTGTTGTTGTTACGCGAATGGCATTCGCCTGACAACTATTTCCAGTAATACATGCCGAATACGGCACTTCTTCCTGACACGCGAGTCCAGTATATTATGAGACATTGACATGTGAATGAAGAATACGACATATATTGTGTCTCATACACACGAGATAAATGGCATGTTTGTTTACGCATGAAACAACATCTGCGTTTCATTGGTGCCTTGACTTGTTGCTGCCCAATAGAAGGCAGTTGTGTTCCGTATTTAGCCTCGCGTAAATGGTGGCGGTGTGAATACAAGGAAGAGTTTCAAGATGGCGAGTGCTCTGTGTTGCTGTGGGGGCGATCGAGACCGATTTGACGATCATAAATACGGTAATACATATTTGTCATTTTGTTCATTTGCATAGAACTTATGACACTAGTATCAAAAGCAAATACATTAAAATATGTTTTTTTCTATTAAAACATTATCAACAGCAATAATATTTATGATGATAATAATAGTTAAAATAATTATCGTCTATAAAAAAACCAAAAACAAATCCATTCATCATGATTTATCTTAAGGCGATATTCGTGTGTAATCCCATCCTAGGGTAGTGGTACGCGAGTTACCCTACTTGATTACCAAAGCATGACGAAATGTCTTGAACATAATTCTACTTCAACAAATATATCTGTATTCATCATTAAGTTTGGAGGACAACATACTTAACCGTCAAACAATTTCTAGTTTTAGCCCCTTTTTAGTGGTGACCTGTATACCGATATGTGCCCAGCATGTTCCACAGATAAACATTGCTGTGTGTATTGACTAATTATAACACGTTCGTGCCAAGTGACCCGATACCTGAGAAGGACATAGGGCACGGAAAGGCCCTTGTGTTGCTCAGTGACTACAGCCCTTGGTAACACCAAGCACACACGACGGAGCTTGAAGGTTGTCATACTTCATGAGGATATGCACGGTTGACATTCTAAAAATAGAGAATATAGGTATTTGATCCCTATAGGAAGTGGCATCTGTTACAGGCGGAGACACAACAGCGGACAGAATACCTTACACGCTGAGACAGAGTGACACATGCATATTGCATAGGTGGATCCAGAGCCCCGTTTTGTCACGAAAGTTTATTAAATCATAGGCGGATCCATTTGGTCTCAGGTGAAAATGAACTAGTGCACCCCCACCTTTCTTAAAAAGCTGTATCCGCCCTTGTATTGTCTTACACACACCCCGCCATTAGAGAGCCTATCTTGTCATATGTGCACCCGTCGTTAGGGCCACCTTGTCATTTGCACCTTCTAAACGAGGCTATGTTGCGACATAGTATTGAGTACCGTCGTTATACCTGAGACTGAGCGAAAGGGTGTTTCTCCGTTGCTATGGACGTAAACATTATTGAATGAACCTGTGAAAATCGGTCAATAGTGACGTGTAGAAAAAGTCGTCTGCTACGCTGGCCGGCGGGTAGTGTGTAGTCTATGACCTCGTCGCTGTGTACGTCCTCCCCAGTTTGAAGGATATAGACGTATTCGGACTAGATGAGCTGACATGTTACAGCACTATACAACTTACTACTTGAAGAAAGGGCGCTGGGGTAGCCTAGTGGTTAAAGCGGCCGCTCGTCACGCCGAAGACCAGGGTTCGATTCCCCACATAGGTAAAATGTGTGAACCCAATTTCTGGTGTCTCCCGCCGTGATATTGCTTGGAAATTGCTAAACGCGGCGTAAAAGCTCAATCACTCACTACTTGAACAGTGTGTTCACGACGAGTACACAAGAAGGGCTTCGCATCTTGCATGCTCCTCCTTTGGTTAAACAGCTCTATCTGCTTGTGATCATGGGTTAGGATCGGAGTTTCGCTCTGATTGTTTACAATACTGGTGCTAGCGTGTTTCACCCAACTAGTAGCCGTCTCTTCTCGGCCTGTCCTCCCACAGCTAACCAGGGACATGGTTGGAAACAGCTTATAGCACAACACAATTTCTCACAACCGACTTGAAAGAGTCGACGCATCTTTGATATCTTTAGACCCATTTCTGCCCTATCATTGAGTGAGTGACCGTGACAGTCGACTCCACAGCCAGCAGTATTACGTGGTTGTTAGCCAAAGAGCACAAAGCAGCACGACTAGTCTGATGTCACACTCGACGTCACTGGAATCTGACGTCATGGGGAAGGGTCCACTTGTCGTTTTCTTTTGTTCATGAATGATGGAAGAGCTCATTCCTCAGCGCAGAATCACTGTATATGCACAGCGGAATATAGTGGAGTACCGTTTGGCGGAGGTTGATTAATGGTGTGGGGGTACTTCTCATATGACTGCAAACTGACCTTGTGACGATCAGACACAATGTGAATGGACAACGGTACATCACTGACATCCTAGACAGGGTTGTTGTACCACATGACCATTCTCTAAACACAAGGCCATTCTTCATGGACGACAATTCTAGGTCAGTCGTGCACGTGCCGTTGGTGATTTCTTATGTCAAGAGCAAGAATGGATTGCAATACCACAACGTCATATTTAACCTTTGATACAGTCTATGAGAAGGGCTGCCGGGGATATGGTTGGCGGAGGTTACACCAGATATTGACATTGTGCTATGCTATAAGAACCTTTGTTATTTCTGCAGGACTGTATGCCAGAATCTTGAAAATGGCCGCCCATGTTAACGTCATACGATCATAGTTATTAGCACTACAAAATGAGTAAATGTTTGTCATGTGTTCTTTTAGGAATAAACTACAGTTTTTCGTTCTCTTTGCGTTTAGAGTTGCCATTTTAGATATTCTCTGATGGTCAATTTATCCAAATAACAAGTTACATTGAGGTTTGGATAAGTTCCTTTGCTCTGGTTAATGGTCACATATTGATACTATGAAACATATGGGGGTGCTGTGATACTTTTTACAATTATAATCAAATAGTGATGATACCAGGAGCGCGCGAAAAATATCCTGCCCTACCTATGCCATCAGCACAAATACATGCAGAGGCAAGTCAGTTGTTCATCTAAAACACGGGAACGTCTTTTTTAGACAAATTAGGGTATTGTTTTGGCATTCATTGTACGACTGATGCGTCAAATGTGGAAATATCCACCATATTCTGACACAAACCTTTAGAAATCTTCAGTAACGCCTTGAATGTTGTAACCTTGGTGAAGCTACCTTTGAACTAGCGTGAGTGAGTGAGTTAAAATTTAAAGTCACATCGGCAGTATTTTAGGCATATCGTGACTATGAGAGTTCCATATTAAAATAAACTTAGTCAATATAAAAACCTGTCAACGAAAGACAGTAAATTGCTATACTATCACAGATGAACATTTAAAACTAGCATGTAATAAAAAAAAGAGAACAATATAAAAATGGGCAACAGATCGTCAGTCACTGAATGTAGATCACCATGATAGATTTCATGGGGACTTCAGTACTGTTGCTACCTGCATGGACCCTTGCTGGAGTTACACAATCCCCCCAGTCACCTTCAATAATTTGGTACGTTTAGCCAAAAACTAAAATCACATATATATGGCGTGCATAAAAATACTTCAGATTATGTGGAACCTACATACCCTCTAATTAGAGGGACAATTGTTTTACATTACTACAACACACACACACACACACACACACACACACACACACCTCCCCCGAGGGTATAGCCACTAACAATCAAAGTTATTTATTATAGCACTACCAATTTTAAAAATTTTACTATGTACATCAAAACTTGTGAATTGAATATATTCCTTTGAACTAGAGGTCTGTGTGAAGTTATTTAATTGAATTGTAGCTACTTGTTAAAACCTAGTACTTTTAATATTTTAACAGTTTCCCTGGAATTCCTGTTAGAAAGATACGACATGTTGACTATTAGCCACGATGAACGGCGAGAGTTAAACAGCGAGATGGAACGACACTCGAGAAGGTATGAGGCTGAGGCCGAAGAGGATGATGTGCTCGCGGCGTTCAGGATGCTGCGGAAGTGGGTATGTCGACCAGACTTCCCTAGACAGTACACAGCAGCGCACTTCGCCGTGGAGAATGTCCTGGAAAAACTAATGACCTTGTCCAAGTAAGTGAACAGTTCTACAAAGTATTCGAAGTAACGTTCGTATTCTTATCATTATACTGGTTGATATTAATGCAGCAATGAAGGTTCTAGGATCCTGGCACATTCGATCTGGTCAGGGTCATCATCTTAGGACCCCTGCCTTCTTCACACTCAGCCCAAACACCGCTGTCCTGTCCAACACACAATGCACTTTCTCGTGCATGTTCAGAGGACCCACGCTGCAGTCGTCTTCATTAAAGGCACAATGTCACAGTAACACTTCTCTAAAAATACATAATGCATTTCTCTCAATAATAGACCCGTGAAGATCCGGGGTAGAATAGGTCTTCAGCAACCCATGTCCTTGCCATAAAAGGTGACTATGCTTGTCGTAAGAGGCGACTAACGGGATCGGGTGGTCAGTTTCGCTGACTTGGTTGACACATGTCATCGGTTCCCAATTGCGCAGATCGATGTTCATGCTGTTGATCACTGAATTGTCTGGTCCAGATTCGATTATTTACAGACCGCCGCCATATTGTTGGGATATTGCTGAGTGCTGCGTAAAACTAAACTCACTCACTCACTCTGAATAATACTACAGTCTGTTTGCAGTGGAAACGTACCGATGAATTTCATTTTCAACACATATGTTAATCAAAAGAAGTGAAATTAAGATTGCGAATCCTCATACTTTTACCTTGCCATTTGAACATTTAAAATTCAGAATTTTTTTCAACTTAGGATAAAAGTTGATCATAGTTGTTCATAGTTTCAAATCGCTATTATTGGTCTGTATTACAAAGGGGTAAGCGCAGTAGTTGGAACAGTGAAACAAATGCACGTGCGGTACGTGATGAGCGTTAACTTAGACCAACTGTCTTGTTCTCGGTGTTTCGTTTAATGTGCATACCCCCGTGTAATACAAACCAATAATAACGATTTGAAGCTATGATCGTTTGTTAAACAACATTTATCCTAAGTTGAATGAAATTCTCAGATTAAAACGTCCTAATGGCAAGGTAAAATTATGAGGATTCGCAATCTTAATTTCACTTTATTTGATTTACATTTTTGTTTGAATTGAAATTCATCGGTACGTTTTCACTGCAAACAGACTATAACTATCAGCCCTCATGGAAGCTACCATATTATTTATTCCAAAAATAATTACGTATTTGGATTTCAATGTTAAATTAAAAAGTTCGACTGAATAAATGCAACGTTGCACTAGGTCGACTCTCGCGCCCTCTACCGGCTCCATAGAGTTATGACCCTTTGAGCGCTGTTTACGAATATCCGACGCGCACAACGCGTGATTGAAAACAGTTCGGCAAAGACCGATAACACGGCGACAGTCAGCAAGGAGGTTGTCGGTTTATCCTCGTTTTTCCACCACCCTGAAAAGGATTAACGGCTACTGTGTTTATACAACACAGGGGTCATGTCAAAATTACTCACAGCTGATATGTCGTAAGCGCCGCACCATAGCTTAACACAGACCAGACCATGCTGTCATATAGTTTTGAATAAGTACTAAAATGCATAAACCCAACACTTTTAAACTTAGAAATTAAGAGGCCTAAAGCCCTATTAGCTGATATAGTGGCTACCCGGGCTGTAGCAGTAAAATCAGCAAATTGAGTAAAAAGTAAACCAAGATAGTTATAACTGTTAACAATATCTAAAACATTATTCCCAAATGTAAATACATGCTGCGTCCTTGGAATGGACGGGGTTCTAAAATGTACAATCTTCGATTTTTCTAAGTTTATTTCTAATTTATTAGTACCACGCCAATCATTCAAAACATCTAAAAGGACATTAAGATCGGCTTCACGTTCCGTTAGCAGAGCAATATCGTCTACATATGCTAGAGCTGCTATACTGACATTGTCTATATTTACACCGAGGTTGAGGCTAAGAAGCTTATATAACAAATCATCAATGAACAATGGAGACTGGAGGCATCCTTGTTTTAGTCCACGGTTCACTGCAAACCAGGAGGTTCTGAATCCATTCACCCGCACACAGCACTGAACGTCTTTGTATAATGAATGTAGAGCAGTTAACATTTTACCTCCTACTCCACTTGTCGAGATTCTGGTCCATAAAATCTTTCTGTTTATACAGTCATATGTCTTCTAAAATCAATAAAACCAACAAACGTAGATTTTTTTTAAGTTTACGTTTTTCTAAAATGGATGAAAGAGTCTGTACATGATCTATGGTCGATCTCTTTTTTTCTGAAGCCATTCTGAGAGTCATGGAGCACATTGTTGGTTTCAGTCCATACTTGTAGTCTCCTGTTCAGAACACTACACTACAGCTTGTATATGGACATTGCGATTATGTCCAGCGTCCTTGGAGCGTTAAGAAAACTGTGGGAGGCTAGGCCTTGTTTTCCTCATGCGGCTCCACATGCTTCACGCGCCAATCATCACACGTGTAAGCTTGTGCTAATGTGCACAACAACATTCTGTCCACGTAAATAAAACCACACCCACGTGCACCCATTTAAAAAGCGAGAGAGGAGCGAGTATGACATGATTCTTCTTGTCAGGGTCAATACCCTGGTTTTCTTATGTCTACAAGTGTCGACTTCCCGTATACGATGGCAGATCGCCCGATCCCGACAGTTGGGTATTACGTCAGGCATGGGTTGTAGAAGATCAGTTGTTATCCTGACGGGGAGGGTTTTCTTGTCTTAATGGGGTACTAGCTGGATCTGGTGGTAAAGGTCAGACCTATGTGTCGCGTAACACTACATTCACTTATTCTCGCTCTGATGCTGCTTCAAAGGTAACGCCAAAGACTGTCAAGAGACAGGACATCCGTCAGTCCCCGTCATTACTGCTTGAATGATCCCCCAACCCTGGGGTACTTTGGTCCTAAGTCTGGCCTCGATTTTCAGACATTTGATCGAATCCGAGAAGATAACTTCCTTGTCCCGCATCCACGACTTCTGCTTCGACTTCGTCCACGACCTGATCCAGCAGGGGCCGGGGACGACGCACATGCGTCTGTGGGAGAAGATGCTTTGTGACAAACAATTCGGTTTCGAGATGTACTTCCACGTAAGTCTTAATTTTGTATGTTTATAAACCTTGAAATTTATGATTAAATGGTGTTCTTATACATGTATTTGTTACTAACCATGTGTTTCTGGTTTATGAAGAGTCATCTGTATCAAGTTAATGTTAACCTGCTGTTCATCACAACACACCATACATATAAACGTCTCCTAATTTGGCTATAGTTACTCCAATATACAGGAGAAAACATAACGGAGAGAACAAATACCAAGGGACGGGAGTGTATATATTTTCAACCCAAACCATGGAGGAATGTTTTCTCATACTTATAGCCCGCCTCATTCGAAGTGATAAACTGTGTTTTTCGTAAAGAAACTGGTAACTCAAATTTGCAACAGGTTCTGCCGATTGTCACGAAACCGGATTAACGTGAGGCGAGATTTTTGGCCTTTCTCATCTCGCGTGTCAGCATTTTTGTCAAGCCCTCACATTCCCTTTCAAATGGTAGTATGAATCTCAATAACACGTAACAACCCAGTTTCTTCTGAAATAATCCCCCTTTTGCGAGGTTTTACTGTTTTGGTTTTGCTTTGAAGTAAAACATAACCAACAGATGATTTACGTTGATGTTAAAGTTTTTAGAAGGGTCTCCTGTCCTTTAAAGATCCCATCTAACTATGACAAATATCCACTATATTTTTATGCTACTTCAGAGGCTCACCGGACACGAGCTGAAGAAACACATTCGGTTCTTGAAGAGGGAATACAGAAGTAAGGAACCGGAAACAGATGGGACAACCTTTAAATCCACTTTCGAGGCTTGCATGAAACGACTCCTTGAACGCCAGAATCAGAGGTTAGCCACATTTTCAGTTCCAATACGTTAAGCTATTTTATAATGACATCGGGTGTCTCTCAATCTAATCAATTTTGATGTAATGTATGTGTTTATAGAAATAGTAGCTTCCCACACGTGATGCCCATGTGTACTTTCAGCAGGAAGGCTTTCAAGGAGGCCCAGACTGTATTCATAGAACTGTACATTCACGCTCATCTCGGCTTCATTTCCCGGGAGAAGGACGTCAGGGACATCCATGATCAGCTGGCGTCGCTCATCCGCAACAACTACGACTACAGGAACGTTTTTGTGGTGAGTATCGTCTTTCAGAACACAGTGTGGCTGTGTGGGCATTTGTCAGGCTCATTGTTTTCCGACACGTCCAGAAGTCAAGATACTTACTCATTTATACAACAAACAGTATAGACACTTACTGTGTAGGCTGAATCTACTGAAGTAGTGTAACACGTACATTGTAGGCCGGATCCACTGTACATTTAACCAGTATGGACACTTGCTGTGTAGGCTGAACATACTGAAGTAGTGTAACACGTACATTGTAGGCCGGATCCACTGTACATTTAACCAGTATGGACACTTGCTGTGTAGGCTGAACATACTGAAGTAGTGTAACACGTACATTGTAGGCTTGATCCGTTGTACATTTAACCAGTATGGACACTTACTGTGTAGGCTGAATCCGTTCAGGCACATCACGCAGTATAAAGACTTACATTGTAGTTTAGTTAGTTATAACTTACAGTGTAGGCTGAGTTTGTTAACACACATCACACAGTAGAGAGTGTAGGCTTAGTCTGTTCAGACGTGAAGCAGTTTATACACTTACATTGTAGGCTGAATCTATTAAGACATGTCAAGCAGTTTAGACACTTAGATTGTTGGCTGAATCTATTAAGACACGTCAAGCAGTTTAGACACTCACATTGTAGTTTGAATTTATTAAGACACGCGAAGCAGTTTAGACACTTACAATGTAGGTTGAGTTTGTTCACACTCGTCAAGCAGATATTATACGGCAAGTAAGACACCCGTGACCCAAACACGCTGATATTAATGTAAGGTCGCCAAGTGTAAGGTATATGTCCTAAGTGAATTACCTTTGTCGGTTAGTATGATTCCCATTCACATCACTGTACAATGTACAGGGTTTGAAACACGCCGGACAGCTGAAACACTTCTTGAAACAGATTGAAGGCATCATTTGTGAAACAAATCTTACCGGCGAAGACTGTGAGGCCGTCGTGAAGATGCTGTGCGAGGATGTAGACAAGTTGCTGGCAGTTATAAAGTAAGTGACGCTCTGTAGCACTAGAACTTGTATCTTTGACCCGACAAGTCGTCTGTGGTGAGTGCCCCTGAAATCTCCATACAACAACTTAGTCGGGAAAACCTAAAAAATGGCAGTTAAGCTGATTGCTTCCCATTGATGACGTGGATCAGGCTTTGACTGTCTCCCATTGTACATGTGATTCCTTGTCTTTGTAGCTTGATGACGTGGATGAAAAGGTCTGCGGCGTTAAGCAATACGTATACCCAGTTCTACAGAAATTCTATGTGAAAGCTAAAACACAAGTGAACATATCTTTCACTATTTGATTTTGATCTTTTGAATTGCATGCATATTCCGCCCCTCACACCAAGAGTAATTACCATTGCTCGTAATCTATTCAACTGTTATGGTTTCAAGCGTCATCCTGATTCTCCAAAATGGTTTGAGTGAGTGAGTGAGCATGGGTTTACGCCCTTAGCAAAGTTTCAGAATGATTGATACAGGACATTTGCACAGAACAATTTAGCCATACCAGTAATCAATCCCGAGCGTAACGGACAAACGCCTTCACCACTAAGCTACCAAATCATATGATTCTGCTACAGGCATGGCAAATTATACCTCAGTGTGTACTCGGAGCTCCTTGATTTCGTGGCTGTGATCTGTGAGACGAAGGCAGGAAGTCCAATCCACCCGATCCTCGAGGCAGTGGGGAAATTCTACAGCAGATTGTACAACATTGTCTTATGGGTAAGGTACCCGCATCTACTGGGGGAATGTGTTTGCAGCCATCAATAACGTGATGTCCATTATGGTTATGTTATACACACAATAATGGAATAGCTGTCTTGGACGTGGTTTCGCTAATGGGTTGCAGTACACATCCAAGACTTTGTCATTGCCTGTTGTTGTTGGAGGAACGTCTTTTACGAACAAACAAACATACAACACGCCTACAATGTGCAGGGGACGGCACAGACGTAACCCTTGAGAAATGACATATATATGTCACACCAGATCACTGCATTATAACGTAAAATTTGACGAAAGTGTTTTACAGGTCCTATGTTTTGTGATGTGCCTTTTTAGGACCAATCTGAGGTGTTCACTGTGGTTGCGACGAAGCTGATGGACTTTCTGACGAACCTGGATGACCACACCCTGATGAGGACCAATTATGTGAACAATGTCATCAGTTCGGTTCTCAGCAGGGCCATGGGCGAGACACTGTAAGCCATCGCACTTTCTTCTAACGAACTGAATCTGAAGACAGGTTTTACACACAAAAAGTTCATGCAATCGTTTTCTGGGTTCATAAGAGCTTGTCGTTCAACAAAGGATATAAAAATAGGCTCATGTGACAACTATGTTAAACAGTGCAGAGCTCCAGATAAGATTTAGCTCATGTGGGTACTGTACCCAATGTATTTTTTTGGAGTGGGTATTATGAATGTTGAGTGGGTATTTCATTTTCCGTTACCCACTGCTTTCAAATATGTGCATATTTCAGTCACTTTACTCACCTGAGTATTGCGTCATTGAGTAAGTTTACTAAGCAGGTATGTTCTGCCTTATGTCATACCCAATCAAAACCAACTTAAATATAATGGAAATTATTTCATAAAAAATCACTCATCCTATACTGACAGTACAACACTTGTCCTATACTAACAGTACACCTTGATAGCAATCGATGTCTTTTTCATTACGCAAGCGATTTTTATAAATATATTCCGTACGCATTTGTTTAAACTTCTTGTGTATCTAACATTTTAAATGCGTAATTGGTACGCAACAATTATTTTTCAATGCGTAATTCTATGCGTATTTTACCCGGATACGCAGCTTATCTGGGCCTCTGCAGTGTACCAAAACAAATTGTATATAGTATCTACCTTTGCAGTGCAGGAGGGTTAGGTTTGAATCGGTGAAGTAACCAATTATCACGACATCTTGATGTAAAAGGAGAAATAGCTCTAAAAATGTAGGAGTGAAAAACATGTTCGCAAAATGGGTAAGCGTCTCCTGCGTCACCAGTGACACACATTCATAAAAAGAAGTTATTCTCTGTCAACAATTGACAGTCAATTGAAAGCTAATGGCTGCTGACATATTGTTGTTTCAGGACTCCTGCACAATGCCGGTTAACCATAGACCTGATCAAGGCATGTTTACGAATATACCAACCAAGAACAGTCGAGGCCGCTAAAACAATGATGATGGAATCACAAAAGAAAATGTGCTGGAAGGTAAAATGTTGTAGAAGCCAGGATGGCGTTCCAACCACATTCCAGTCCTTCATTGATTGATTTCATTAACTGGTTCAGGATAACCTTGTCAGACAGACTGCATGTATACATCTGAAGTCCCACCTGTCATCACTTCAGGTGTCATGTTGCAAGGGTAGTCATTATTGTGTAGATAGGGTTTACTTTCTGTTGTGAATACCAAGTCAGTACACCTGATAACTGTCATATTTGATATGTTAGTATCTCTAAATGATTCTCATTATCTGATAACCTCTGACCTCAGAAACAACCATGCACCGCATGACGTACAATTCTAGATTTAAACATTTCCCTGATCACAGTTATTGCATATCTATTAAATAACCGGCACCAGTCATCGCCCATTCCCCACCCTGAAGCGGTAGTGGCATCACACCTGATCGACCTCTACACGTCATTCCTGGCTGTTATGGATCGGCCATTGTCTCTGGCATACCAAGAGTGAGTAAGTGAGTTTAGTTTTACGCCGCACTCAGCAATATCCCAGCTATATCCCGGTCTGTAAATAATCGAGTCTGGACCAGACAATCCAGTGATCAACAGCATGAGCATCGATCTACGCAATTGGGAACCGATGACATGTGTCAACAAAGTCAGCAAGCCTGACCACCCAATCCCGTTAGGCGCCTCTTACTACAAGCATGGGTTACTGGACATCAATATTCTAACCGGGACCTTCACGGGTGGCATACCAAGAAGTCTACCTATGATCAATACGGTTGACAACGGTGCGAGGCTCAGACGAGGACAATGTGGTTGTCACCATATTATGCTCCCGAACCAGCGCGATGGGCCTGGGGATGGTCGGCAATGAAACATGTCGGGATGCTGCTGTGAGGAGAACTGATGCTGGAGATCTCGCTGGTACCTCTCCCCGGGGAGGTTCATCTTGTACACTCATTACATCCACCTTGCATCTGTGGGAAATATGTACGTCAATGTAAGAGAATGTCCAGTTTTGATTATCTACCGAAGCAAAGGTCAAAATAGTTTTGGAAATCTTATGAATATACCTCTGAAAACTAGTGATATCACCTAGACTGAACCGACGTTGTGCATGACGTGTAAGAGCAGGGCGCTGGTAAGTCCAGCATAGTGCGTTACTGACGGCCACTGGTGGTCATAAGGTGAGTACGTCCTGATGACACCAGGTACTGAGTGTAGGTAAGTCCTGCAATACAGCTAGCACCCGTTAGTCGAACAGTTTGCTCACAAAATACATAACGAGTCCCTGAGGCCACATAGCTGATATACGACATTATTGTTGTATTACACACAGCATGAGTTATTCTCCAGATACCAGACCTGCCGTCGGCAGCATGCAGTTAGACATCGAACCAGTGAATTCATCTTCAGGTTGAAGGATAATGACGGTGTTGTACCATACACCATGTCGCGCCGCTGCCCCTCGCCTGCAGGGGATGCCAGGTGTCCAGATGTCCAGCAGCCTGTGACCACTCACCTGTACACCGCTGATTTGTCGGGTTTTGATTACGGACGGGAGTAAAGACGCACGTCTCGTGCAAATTTGTATTTTTTAAGAAGATATCGCGTATTTCATGAAGCAATTTATAAAGGAATTTAACTCTTACCATCTCAGATATTTCCAATTATTTCAGGATCACTTGAATGATGCTTGTGAGCTGTTTGACCTTATGACACAAGTCCAACTGATTGGGGATGATAAACAGAAAACGGACTATTCGAAACACTTCATCGAACTCGCTGACCACTTTGGGTATTTGATGGAGTGAGTATATTATCATTGATAACTGAACATCAGGCCACGAACAGATGAACGCATGTCGACCTCGGAGTGTCTGAATCCAGTCTACCTCCTCTGTGCCGTGTGTTACTGCGACATGTTTATATATTCTGGACGACATAGAACGGTCTCTGTTCTAGGTTGCGTCTAATGGGCCTGCGAGGATTCCATGATTGGTAGTTCGAATCCCAGATTTGCCCTGATTTTGATTCTTAGTTTGTGAACACCATTTAGACTACTGACCACGTTTTGTCCATCACATGTTTACAAGACAAAGACTCAGATGTTTACAGACCACTGTGACGGACGGTCGGACGGACAGACAGACGGCCGTGTGTAGTTGTCCTGTGTACTTACTGACTATCAGTGAAGTATATCGAATCTGTTTCAGACGGGAAGAACTTCTGCCTCCAATGATACCAAAAATGGTGGACTGTTCATTGACACTTCTTGAGAAGAGGGAGCCAAAATTATTCAAAGCAGCCAGGGAAGTGTCACATCGAATCGCATTTAAAGGGCGGGTAGGTATACGAGATACAGATTATATCATATCTTATGCAGGTATGCACGTACCTCCAACAGCTGATACACGGTGGTCCTATGGTTTCGGGTTTCTACCATACGCTGTGCTAGTTAATGTTTAACCCGGTTTTGTACTGTTGGTGATGACGCTGTGTTGTCATATGTAGGTACACTTTATAGTCCTGTCATGGCCTCTAATACACCAGGTCAAGCACACATACAGTTCACCCTCGGACATAGTTCAGGATCAACCCTATAACGTCTCTAAGCAGGGCGATGGGTGTAGCCAAGTGGTTACAGCGTTCGCTCGCCACTCTGAATGTCGGGGTTCGATTCTCCACAAACTTCTTTACGTGGTTGCAATTTTGGTGTCTCCGCTGAGTTGGTGCAGGAGAATTACTAAAACATCTGAAAATAGATAACTAGTAAGTTAGACGGAAGCAATGTACGTACTATATACCGTACTGAATACGTCATGGAGCATGGTGACTCGTAACTATCAGGTGACATAAACACACCAGCACAGATCAACCCTGTCATACACATCGCAAGGACGCGAAGAACATTCCATTGGACCACTTTCACATCCAATGACTTCGTTGTTACCGGATGTCGGTTTGGCGATGTGTTTCAAAAACTCTACAAACAGATTTATGGTAGACATATGCAGGTCATTTCCAAATTTAATGCATCAGTGACAAAATGTATTAAAGGCAATTTCCTATTTTGACTTGTACCATACGTTCCCAATTGTGAGTGAGTGAGTTTGGTTTTACGCCGCTTTTAGCAATATTCCAGCAATATCACGGCGGGGGACACCAGAAATGAGCTTCACACAATGTACCCATGTGGGGATTCGAACCCGGTTTTCGGCGTGACGAGCGAACACTTTAACCACTAGGCTACCTCACCGCCCCTCCCAATTCAGATGAACTATTTACTAGCCTTAGTATATGATACAGGCTACACCTACCTTGTTCACCTGGTGTACATGGTGTCATCCCTGTTTGATAGTCAGTCATAAACACTAGCCCTGTCACCGTATTTCATAATGCCAATCTCTGCTGTAATGTTGTTCAATGCGGCCTTATACAAACAAACGAACGATCAAACAAACAAACAAACATACTCATGATATAGGCAAAATTGTACCATCGATTCTACTGTTAGCAGAGATGTGGAAAGAGTTTTATCGCGTCTATTCCATTGTCCAGTGATGCTGACTGTGGTCTTATACTCACACTCCACCTGTCTAGTAATATTAATAACCAATATGTTGGCGGTGTCAAGGGCTACGACCCAACCCGCTGTCTCAGACGTGTGTTGTTCCGAGTTACGCAATGTCACATTGTTTTCGGTGTTGTTTACAGTTTCACAAAGGCGTCATCATGTCCACCATGGCTCGCTTACTGCCGCTGGTCGAAGACCCCAAGTTCGACTGGACAAACAAACATAGCTCCGAAACTGTGGAACATCTAGTTGGGATTGGAATGCGAACATTGTGAGTGACGTTAAACGCGAGCGTTGCCGTCAGGTGATAGTATGCGCGGCGATTTTAGGCTTTAGTATTAGAACCTCCTTTCCGCGGCTTTTCGTTTCGATGACTTTCGTTACTTTTTCCATATAGACACATTAGGAGTCATTGTCCACTGTAAACAATTGCACACAAAAATCACAGTAGAATTAAAGTAGAAATACCAGTTATCCTGTTTAGAGTTTATGCTATTAACAACTGCTTATCCTATTTACGTCAAAGTAATGAGTAAACCTTTATTTACAGAACATCCAAGACGCCTAGCGAGAAAGACTTCAATGTCCTGACAAAGTTTTTCCAAGCAGTGGTGAAAGATGGTCTCGAGGACGCACAGCCTCCAAAGAAAGATTCAGTGCGCTATCAGATTTTCTACGACGAGGGATCCACGTTCACCGGGCTTGTACGTTACACATACAGTGGTGTGTGGGTGTGTGTGGGTGTGGGTTTTTCTTTTGGGGGTTGGTAATAAGCAGTAATTCCAGCTATATGGCGGCGGTTTGTAAATAATAGAGTCTGGAAAACACCTTGTTATGTAGACTTTCCTTCAAATTGGTGTCTCGCCGCCAATAGCTGCAACATTGCTGATGCGGCGTTGAGGAATATTCACTCATTCACTTACTCACTCACTCACTCACTCAAAATGGTGATCAGGTGTGATTGGACACAAAGTCTTATTCACCAGGCTTACAAAAGCAAATCATTGTTCAGAATCGTATTGTCTTCAAATAGCTTTCCTGCCACGAATGATTGTAATACTCACTGCCATGATGTGTCTCATACGACATTTGTATTCCGCTGTGTGTTCTCAAATGTCTGTCATTTCGAATAATCCCAAACGACGAAGTAGTGACTTTCAGAAGTCTTAAGTGTGATGACCTGTACCATCTACTAGTACCAGTTACAGATGTTGCATGATCTAACATGCATGTTCTATCGCCATTCATCAGCTGGACGACCCTGGGAAGATACAGAGAGCCATGCCTTTTGTCAGACAAGTGGTCAGTCTCATGTTTCACCGGAACAAATACGTCGCGGGAAATGCGCAATATCGGGTCCAGACTCTAGTGGGCCATGGGGCAAAGGTCATGGCAGAATTCTTCCCACAAATCCTGACTGCCTGTATTAACTCGGACGACTTTTCCCTAATCAGTAAGTGGAACTGTGTTATAGAATGTTAGAATGTAACTAACGGAGCCATGCTTCAACATGCTACATCGGGTGACGTGTAAATAGACAACGCCAAAGATCCTACTTGTGTCAAGTTGGAGCATAACTTAAAACTTCTTGTGTCAGCGTATTCATAGAGAACGCAATTGAACAATAGAAAGAGAAACGTTCTCAAAAGCGAGAAACAACTCATACATATTATCTTGTTCTTCACCATTGATCTGTGTTTCAGTGATCATAAACGTGTATTATATATGCTGATGATCCAGTTATTTCCCTAGATTCCCTAAGCCAGCTCTATACCCACAATCCCACCCTTGGAGAGGAGAAGTTTAAAGACGTGTTCGCACTGATTGACTCCATCAGGCGACACGAGGTCTTACTGTGGCTGCACAAGATCGCCGAGAAACAGTCATATGTAAGTATTATACATCTGTCCATGTAACTGTACAAGCAATATACAGCATTCTCTGGGTATTAAAAGACCCAGCCTGATCCAATAGATACCTTAAATCACTGATGATCAAAGTACATAGTTTGACCTCAAGTCTCACCTTGATCGAGTGCAAAAAAGTACTATATGTACAAGTCAACCTTCCCGTCATGTCGTTCAAAATATGGAATATTATATGGTGACATATTGAAGATATCTGTAACAAGATATTTCCGATGTTATTCCGTGTCTTATCTTGTACCATAACGTTCACGTGTTTTGCAGGGAAACTATTGAGTTTGATTGGTCAACGTGAACACCTGGTGTCATCGCTGTTTGATATTGATTCATAACACATACTCATTACAACTTCGTACAATGGACTCTGCTTTAACCAGAGATGGTTGTGCCTTGAAAGGGTCGTGTCGCTTGAATTGATATATCGAAACAGCATAGCCTATATCTAACTGAAAAATCCTTTGAAGCAGGTCTACGTTTTAATCAATCTGTTGGTGGAATAAAAGCTTTAACTTAAGAACATGTATGCACACTAAGCTTATATATGCTATATAGCACTATGCAAAATACGCCCAACGCAGATACATATACACTTGGCCTATTTCGATTTCAGCTCTTCAAGGAGGAGCACCTTACAAGACTGGTTGATGAGCTGTTACAAGCCGACGACAGCAATCAGAATATGTATCTGCATATCATGGGTCCTCTGGCCTCGGAGATGCCCCACAAATTCACTCCCCATTTAAAGGTCCTGATGGACGTGGAACTTAACAGAGAGTATGGCGCCGATTACTCACGCCTCACGGTACTAACGAATGTGGCCAAGAGCAGCAAGGATGAGGTACGTTCTTATTCATATCAGGAAGACTGGTATTCAGCTAAGGTGCCAACACTGCCCTGCTGATACACTGACTGAAGCTACAACAAGTAAACCTTCAGCTAAATCCACCAGGAACATGTCCACATATCACAAGTCTTCATCCGTGCTACTATCTAAGTGGTAGTGGAATAATGTTATTTATTCCACAATAGACAGTGTTATCGATATATACGACAAACCAATTCGATAAACTTACTATCATGATCCGATAGATATGCATACCATGTCCCTGAATGTCACTTTAAGGTGCGCGCATCGATGCAATGCCTGCTTCTCAATGCAATAATGACTAATATTCCATAAACTGTTTTGATAGGGGTTTTCTTGGGATATTTTGTATACAAACGTGACTGGAGATTATTTGGCACGATATTTTATATATTGCGGTTCATTCAAAGGTTTTCATGTGCGTTTTCTTTCTATAGTTAATTCATTCAGAGCGGCAATCAGGTAATAATCATTATTTACACATTGTAATTTACACACCTATCTCGGTAATTCCAGGGCCTGTGTGAGACAGTGATGGCATTTCTGGAGAAGGAGATACGGGGCCCGGAAGTACAAGGCTTCACGGTTTCTTATCTTAATGCGATGCAGAATGTAGGCCTTGTACATCGACATATCCTGGAGAGCCGCAAGCCTGCCTTAGAAGACCTGAGGGATAGATCTACCGTTGCCACGACAAAGGGTCACATTACCTACATAATTGATGTCCTAGAGGGTAACGTGTGAGTGTCATGCTAACCTACTGACATGTGGCACACACAAGGGCTAAAGTACCCTGGACGCTTCAAACGCTTCATTTTTCACGATTTGTTTGTGTAACATTCTATTCGTTCATCCTGATCTTCTTACCATTACGTTCTCTTATGTGCATGGTTAGAATAATCCCACGTGTATCTGTTCTGGCACTGATGGAGCGGTGGGGTAGCCTAGTGGTTAAAGCGTTGGCTCGTCACGCCTAAGACCGGGTTCGATTCCCCACATGGGTACAATGTGTGAAGCCCATTTCTGGTGTCCCCCGCCGTGATATTGCTGGAATATTGCTAAAAGCGGCGTAAAACCATACTCAATCACTCACTCTGGCACTGATTTTCTGCCACTTACTCTTTTGGCAATGATTAAGTCTGAATCTTGCCATGAAATGATAGCAGTGATTTCTTGTGGTTATGTAAAATATTCCTATTATTATTCATTGAAAACGGTGTCACTATTCCAAATGGTGTTTTTTAAATCCAACATTATTGCCAATGATATCCTGTGGCTTCATAAGGAACATGATTTATCTTCCCGTATTTTAACCTGTGATCAATTGTACTTCCAATTCTGGTGATGATACAGCTGCTGTGGTAGTACTAGTACAATGACTGGTTATACATTCCCTCAGTGTCAGTCTGGTCGAGGAGATCAAGGAGGTGAGGGACGATGTGGACAAACTGGACGTACGCGTGACGAAGACTGAAGAAGGTCTTGTTCAGGTCAACGAAGAACTGGGGCAACAGAGGGAGGAACTGAACGAGGTCAAACATGACGTGAAAGAGCAGGTAGAGAAGATTGACCAGCTAGAGGAGACGGTGGATGACACAAAGGCTCAAGTGGAGGAACTCGACGGAAAGGTCTGTTATGTTGTTTGTTTCGGGCAAAACTTAAAATGAATATCACCCTTGTTGTTGTTCTTCATCTTATTGTTATTTACATACTGAAACAGATGAATGCAGGAATAAGGGTTCGGACAATCCTGAACGCAATCAGTCTGGTGTAGCAAGCTTTATAAAAAGTTTTATAAATAAGAGGTTAATGTTTTATTGTTGGCTTCGATACATCTGCGGTTCTAGCTTCATGCGGGTCTATGATTTCATATGTCACCTCGGATGACTGCCACACGTTTCTGCACCCAATACAGAACCATCCAAAATTCAACATTGACACTGAGGCTTTGTTCAACATCTTGGCTCGTTTCACAACCACTTTGTGATGTCTGGTTTCATGAGCATTGGCATGCTTCACAATAGATTCATCAGACAAATAATATGCAGAAGTGCACAATGAAACTGTGTCTTGTTTTGTCCAATAAGCAACACCAAAAGAGTGTGTGAGGCTCTGACCTCATTTCGAACTTTCAGCTCCGAACACCAGGTTTTCTACATTTGTATTCTGTCCGAAGTGTGGCCTGGATATGGGCATTCTAGAGTTTTAATGTCATAACTAAGTAGTTACAGAAGTCGCTCTTAAGGAGATTCAAGTGACTTCAAAATCCATTCACGAGGAATAGAATCATTAGCTTTTCGGTACCCTACACAGCAGTAAAGATGTTACGGTAGGAAGGGTCTTTTCCTTGAACCAACCCAATCAGCTCTTTCTTTGTCCTCTGTGCTCAATGTAGATAATATCATTTGAGGTAAAGTAGGATTACACAAGAGACCTGTAAATATTTTGTACTAAGTATACACGTGTTATATGAAGAAAAGTTTAAGAATCGGCCATTTCTATTTCTCTCTATACGTAGGAAGATTAATGTCGATATTTGTCAGTTCCTATGCTAACTGGATTCATCAATGTGATGGAGGTCAAAGAAATGTTGTGAAGCTCGCACCTTATTGTAACTGAAGTACAGTTCATGGCGGCATTCTAACCCCACACACAACTTACAAAAACAATGACTGTGGATAAATCAAACCTTTTCAAAGAAAATGGGTGATTATCACATTGTGATCAATGTTATTGTTACTATTTAAGCCTGTATATTGTAAGTGTTGTAATTGATCTATCTCTCCATTTGAACTTTATCACCTTCCTCTGTTAAAACCACACACAGACCCTAAGTCATGCTCCCTTCTGGTCCAGAGACGTTGCCAGGCTACTCAATACTGACAGCTTCCTGGATTGGACACACCTGTCAAGTCAACTTGGCTACACAAGGGATGACATCCGGAGCTGGGCTCAGATGCACGACCCATGTATGGCCATGCTGAATGAATGGTACGCCACTCGGAAGACGAGGGAAGCCACATATGCTGTGCTGACAGCACTGCAAGAGATGGACAGATTGGACGCTGCTGTCATTGTGGAGAATGCAATGAAGATGACAGGTATGTGATTCATTCATATACAATATGAACATAATAACACCTATATGTATTGATATTTCTTTGTAACAGTGTGATAAATATTTACAATGATATCTAAAGGGTGCTTTATAGGCAACTCGTTCCATCATTTTTCATCATAAGCTCATTTTCATATAGAAACTGTAGTGGAGGACGAAGAGTTCGAGTACCCGGAGCCTCCAGAGGTGTTCATCAGCTACCAGTGGGGAATCCAGAACGAGGTGAAGCTTCTGAAGCAGCACCTGGAGAAGGCGGGCTTCACGTGCTGGATGGACATTGGTCAGATGGGAGGTGGGGACAAGCTATTCGAGAAAATCGACAAGGGAATCAGGGCAGCGAAGATCGTCATCTGTTGTGTTACTGAAAAATATACACAGTCTCCCAATGGCATTAGAGAGGCAAGGATGTGGTCGAAACCAGATAATAACATATGATGACAATCTGTCATACAATTCATCTTTGTTTAATAGATTTACATATATTGGCAGAGAAATTGTCATCAGTTTTGGTCATAGAAAGTTACATCCCAACTTGTTTTATAAGCTGAATGAGGCCGTTCAATCAAGTGTTCAGTTTATTCGATATAAGGCCCTGGGCTCATGTACCAAAGTGCTTTATGAATAAACAAGTATATCTTCTAATTTCAATTTAGACCTCAATTAATGGGTATATTTGGAGTATCATGTTAACGATAAACTACATGATGTTTATCAATATGGTATGAACGGTGTCCTTTACTGCATGAAAATACAGGTATTGGTATGTGGGTAGAGACTAAGGTTTGTGGTGGTTGCCGATTACAATCCATAGGTCAACGATAACACATTTTACAGAGGTAAGAGTAAATGGCTGTTACAACATGCCCTAATACAAAGTATGGTGAATATATTATGTCATTGATTCACAGTCGCTCTGGATATCAAACCAAATCAGTACAACTTCTAACATGTTATCTTTCCAAATGATCGGAAACACAAAACGTATTATTATATTCCATCACTGTATTGAGTGACACAGATTATTCACAGAAACGTGCTGTATGGTAGAATTGGAATTGATTGCCCACAATGGGTATAACGATGATACTTTTGTGTGACTTCTTCGTTTCAATACTGTTCAGGTGAACCTCTCCGTAAGCCTGGGTAAGCCAATCATTCCTCTGTTGATGGAGAAACTGTCATGGCCTCCACCAGGCTCAATGGGGCCAATCTTCAGTGAATATCTGTTCATCCGATTCTTCACCCGTCCTGGGGAGGAGACTGGTGACGTCAGGTTTGGTCGGCAGCCAAGTTCCAGGAACTCCTGATGCAGGTCAACTACAACAACGTCAAGCCGGATGAGCAGAAGGTGGAAAAGGGTAAGCAGGTGGAAGAGTGGAAGAAGGTAAGCAGAAGGTGGAAGAGGGTAAGCAGCTTTCCACCGACAATTCGAATGTGTACTCCCGATTATGTTATCATTTTGTTAGAATTTATATTCCAAGAAATACCACTTGAAATAGCGCTCCTTGTCTTGCAGGCCATGAATGCCATCTTCGGGAACACCTCCTGTCATCACAAATTTTTAGTGATCTAGTCATATATATTTTTCATCTAGTTTCACCAGTTTTACGCCCACTGAAATCAGCGTATTGTCAAGACTAGTTATTCGTTGGCGTTGACATCATACATTTCTGAACACTTCTTCTGCCTGAACTGTTGTTTTATGATTTCGTTGATGTCAAAACCCTAAACAATAGGTTTGTTTTTCACACTCTTTCATGTACACAGAATACAAGAACTGGTGGTGCCCTGTTGCTGAAGTCATCACGATAGAGAAGAAGGACGTGAAGACGATGACGGCTGCCAGTCAACAAAAACAGGAGGAGGTGGAGGTTGGTAGAGAAGGGGGATATGGAACCCAAATCTCTGTGGCGTATCTTCGTGGGTTTCTCGTTCAAATTCTATGTAAATACGGTATAAATGTATCTTGTTACATCGTTACACGGTAATATGTTTTCTTACAGCGTGGATCAGCGTCTCCTGATGTGTTCATCTCCTACCAGTGGGGAAAACAGAAGCAGGTTCAGCTCATGTACAAGCGCCTGACTGAGATGGGCTTCACCATCTGGATGGACATCTACCAAATGGGAGGTGGGGACTCCCTCTTTGACAAAATTGACAAGGGTGTGCGAGGGGCTAAGGTCGTTCTCTCATGTGTCACCTCGAAGTATTCTCTGTCGGCCAACTGCCGGAGGGAAGTCAGTCTTGCTGATGCTCTCAAGAAACCAATAGTTCCTCTGTTGCTGGAGAAGACGACATGGCCGCCATTTGGTCCGATGAGCATGGTCTTTAGTCAGCTGTTGTATATCAACTTTACGAAAGATAAATCTGTTCAGGACAGTTGGACTGGAAAGAAGTTTGATGAGTTATTGATTAAGTTAAATCAGTACTTGCCGGGTATTATAGATTTCGATAAGGAGGAAAAAGAGAATGAAGTCAGTGTTTCTGTAAATCCAGAGGAAACTCCAGAAATAGGAGATACTACTCGACCACCCAGCAATACCTCGACCTCGACTGAACAGATGCCAGATGTCAGTGACTGAACCTCCTCAAGAACAACCATCAACATCATCAAAATCTGCAGAATCCCAAGCACACAGCCCTCATGATGGCATTAGCTCAGCGAGACAGTAGCCCAATCGGTCGCCGTCATATGTTGTTTTGTACTGTACTATTAAGTTGTGCGATCCAGACCTGTGATATGTTCATTTTCATCATATGTCAATCCATTGTTTGTTGTCTTCATTCAATGGCGAGTCAGGGAGCAAGACTTCGTCATAAAATCCTCATCGACTCTCTTCTGTCTTCATTCCAGGTATGACCAGGCAATTAGTTTCCCAAGACATAATGGTGAAGATGTGTTGTATAGCGTATGAGGTCATCCTACCGATGCTGTTTCATTCATCCTCGTGGTATGGTCAGTCCAATGGCATACTTGTGGTTGGGTGGTCCAGGTGTTCACTCGTACCAAAATAACACGGTTCTATTCCTGATATAAATACATCCAATGGGCTTTCGTTACATTACTGGGATACGTTACTGATATTGCAAAGCACGTGATAGAGTTAACATATTTTGCCCTTTAAAACTGAAGATTTTGTAAATGTTAAGGTTTCAATAAATTGTTATTCGGAAGCAGGTAGTGTACAGGTATATCAGGGTAAATGACAATCAACACATTATTTATTCATGTGTCTGTGTTGCTGAAATACTGTAGTAACCGTGTATCATGAAACATTTCCTGTTCCCTAACTAGGGGTCGCTGTGTAAGATCATTGTAAGCTCATCTGTGATATTATTTAAACTGATGATTACATCGGTTTGGTTATTTTTAATATGTTATTGTTGGTTTCTTTGTTAATATGTTTTCTCCACCCTGTTTTCTCCACCTGTTTTCTCCACCCTGTTTTCAATTCATGCAGAATTTGGTAAACCACACAAGTGACTATCCAAACTTTTATACAAGTAGTACGCGTGTTTGTTTGATCTGAGCAGGTGTCAACTGCATTCATATTGAATAAACTCTCCGCTCCCACGTGCAAAATGATAGTCTTAGGAAAAATAGTCTGTAGCTTTCTAAAGGAACAAGCTATATATTTGTTGTCTGTACACTGCGACAACTAAATTTTCTTATCGCCAGAGGCGACTGCTGTGATCTTGTGTGATGCTAAAACACACTACCTCTATCTCTGCCACTGCTGGAACAAGTCCATGAAGATCCGGGTTAGAACTGATCTTCAGCAACCCATGGGGCAACTATGGGTGGTCAGACCCGCTGACACGTGTCATCGTATCCTAGTTTTAGACGAGACAGTCCTTGTCGAGACGTTAAACCTCTAACAAACTGCTAAATACTCGCGTGTTGCATAATATATCAGTGATTCATGATGACCGCATGTATGAATGAGACTATGACGTTTTTTAAGGTTTTGTTTATAAAATGGATACTACACCCATGTTACTACGGTAGCTATTTTTATACGATACTAGCAAGAAATAAAGGCATTCAGTCTAAGTCATCTTGTTCTTTGTGATCAGTTTTAGGGGCGATGGTGTAGCCTCATGGTTAAAGCAGCCCGTTGTCATGGCGAAGGCTCCTTTTTTTAAAATGAAGGGAGAGGATACCCCTCAATGTATTCCATGCAAAACCAATGACTTTTGTTGGAAAGTGTGGATGTTTTGCTTAATCGCCAACGTTTTTATACTATGAATACACGATGCCATTTACAAACTGTGTTCTATTGGAGATTACAATTTCTCAGTAAAGTACAGATTCTAGTACTTTTGTTGGGTTGGGTCCCATCCGGAATTCGAACCGACACCCTCAGAGTCAGGCACCTAATCGTCAGCACACAAAGTCAGCCATCTAACCCACTGAGCCACTAAAGTAGTGAGTCTTGAATCATGTTGTGTCTTAAGGTTCAAAGAGTCGGTCTTAAGATGAGTTCATCATGTAAACTGGGAATGCCACCTGCAGGACAGACATGCTTACCTTTTCCGCGAACACCTGGTGTCATCAGGATTTTCAGTGATTTTTATTCATAGAATTTTCACAGTATTTTTCCCTTTACATCAATCCGAATTTGTTTTGGAGGATGGTGAATATAAGTTGTATGCTTCTCTCGAGGTTCGCCTCTTTGTCTGATGTACCGGCTCGGGTGACACTGCTACAAAAGAGGCGTACATCAGACCGTATTACCCTCGAGAGAAGCATACAACTTATATTGTTAAAGCGTCATTGACCAATGAAAATAAAGTATTTCACATGAAGGTAAGATAGGACTGGGTATTCTTTTGCACAGACATTCCATATTTAATGAAATGGAACACTAGTGTCTTTCAAATCCTCTCTGTGCAACAAGCCACTTTGAACCATTTATCACCGCTATAAGATGACAAGTTTCCCATCTAGACGATAAATACTACTTGAGACCAAAACATCATGGCCTTGTCTCACGTCCAGGGAATGTTGTTGACAAAACAAGGTTCATAATGGGGGCGAATCGTGAAGTCGAATCTTCGATAAATAATTTAGTTCAATGTATTCCCTACGGTTTATTGTTCACTTGGAGCAATTGCTCCAGAACATAAGCGAATCTTGCTATTAAGAACATCAAAATACCACAATGAACAGTATTCATCCCATTATAAACGGGAATAATATGCAGCATGTTAAGTGCTACAGATACGGAAATAAATGTACATACACGTGCATGTTTTGTCAACTACCAGAGTAGTTGCATCAGCAAAGATACAAAGTGTTTGGTTTCAGGACATTATTGATCGATTTTGGCTCCATACCAAGACGACATGGCATGTATTGCCTTCCCAGTGCACCCACACATAATACGGTCCACCTGCACCAACCGATCATGTAATGTCTAACATGAGAGAAGAAATGAAATCGATAAAAAATCAGGTATTTGAAGAAGTTGTCATCAGCCTTTTCAAAGGCGCCGGTGTACAAAGTGATCGCAGCGCTGTGTCTGTGTTGAAGTATGGGAGACATGATCTCCTGTGTGCTGTAACGTGGAACTTAGTCTGTCTCACAGTCCCTGAACCACATTAATTTCCCTACTGCCAAGCCCTCTCTGCAGTGCTAAAGCCCTAAATAAAGCAAGTCTAGATTTCCTCAGGTTCCGAATCTCTGGTCTCCCTAGGGCTCCTTTTCAATATAAATGGGCTTGTTTGTTACCATCAAAATTATATATATATTCAGAGACTAAGCCTTAGTCTACGTGGAACTGGGCCAGGCTGGCGGACAGACAAGTAATCCAGAATATATAAATGAGAAGTCTCCTTCATCCGCCTTGTTTATCTAGTATGGTTGACATGGACTACGTACGGATTATAGAGGTTTCATTGTATACAGGGTTTGTATACAGACGGTACTGAGGGCATGGCACATCAACTGTAGATTGGTACTGACACGACAGAATAGGCAGATATGTTTATGCGTTGCTAGGGCAGTAAATATTGATGAATGGACCTTTGGAAATGGGTCAATAGTGACGACCGTCACTGTGTGTCGTGTGCCATGGCAAATATGGCCGCCCCCAGCGCGGAGTCGGTTGCAAGCGGGTGTAGTAAAACAACTTATATCGCTGGCAGGCGTTTAGCTGAGACGTGATGGGTTATAACTGCACAGCGTACACTTGGCACACCTGACACAGCTGGATCACTAGGTATCGGATATACTGTGGAATAAAGACTTGTGTTGTCTCACTGCAGTGAAACAGTTTGGCGACAGTAGAAGCCAATAAAGGTGAATATAATCAGTCTAGGTTATAGAATGGTTCTATGACACTAATCGGAGGACCGACTTACTCACATGTCGGCCATGGTAGTTCTGACAGAACCATACACAGATCAATATTATGTTTACAGTAGAGTATTAAGCTTCATCCCGTCTTCAGCTTAACATATCCTTAAGTTCCATTTCCCTTTGTTAACCTCCTCATATGACATTATGTCATTGTAAATCTCAGTATAATGACACTGGATGTTTCCCCATAGATCCATGTTTTAGTAGGTGATGCCAAGAAACAGATTAATCTCCAGAAAACATGTCAGATACCGTCACCATGGAACATCTGTAAAGCATGACATTTTATGAACGATTCAGTTTCTATATTTGTATCTGTGATTACTGACTCAGGGTACCATCTGAAAAATATTTACAATGTAAATATAGGAGTAAGTGGCGCTTTGTGTTGATGAGTCATTACAAATCTGGGATTCGAACTTATGATCATTACATAAACATATACAACTTAAAGAGACCACCTGCATCTGTCATATCACTATACTTATAATCTTCCACACCATGATATATATTCTATATCAACATATCTTCACCCGCGTCATCACTTACAGAATAAAGTTACATGAAAGAATCGGCTGGTCTTTAGTCCTATGCACATAATATAATAATACTAGAGGGTACCATAACTGAACAAGTGGATGGCCTTTGTTTGTTTGTTTGTTTGGGCTGTTAACACTTAAACACACTTTAGGCGATGTAGACTTGTCTACTCCGAGTCAGGGTGTGCCACACGTACCTGGCGTCGTGGTAAGGAGCTCACGTGGTTACTCCACGTCTCTGTCAGGTATGTCCATGCTTGTGCGGCAGGTATAGACACACACGGAATTATTGCCAGTGACTGTATAACGTACAATAGTTTAGCACTCTTAACTTATAACATACCGAGCTTCTTTAAGCACACTTTTACAATACATACATTGACATGAAAGTAAAAGCATTGAATACCTCAAGGTCACAGAAATCCTTGAAGTTCACATGTGCCTCTTATGAAGCAATCACAATACATGGCAGCAATGATGACAAGTGAGACATATTCCCTTCCTGGAGAGTTTGACGGGACAGCTGTATGAAGGCAGTGGACAATAACGTATACTAACTAGATGCCTTAATACTGGCATGCCTTCTCCTGCAAATAACTTAAAGAACGAGACATATTTCTTTCCATTTTCTATTTCCTTAACTCATGGAAGTCATAGCAATATTCTCCAACCGTCCGTTAGCGCACTATCACATTATGTTAGGTCAGTGAGGTGAGATAGCAGCACAGTTGGCAGCGTTATACCTATTGTCACTGAATTGTACTGAGAGTCAAAGAAGCATAGATGTGTAAAACATTTGTAGCTATAAAGAGCTGATCCTGGCACTGGTCAGGGAGGCAACTCTGCAGAGCGTCATTGCACTCATAATCTAACAGTATAATAGAAAACTAAAATTATATTTGGAAATTGTAAGAAAGACTTATGACCATCGGACGTTTTCTGTTATCTCCTATTGAACTTACTTGTACTGTTTCGCTTTTTCTTAAAACCGTCATAGATTCAGAAACACTACGCTTTGATGCAAAGAAGCAGCTGGTGGGTATGAAATAGTTTACAACGCACTGACGATGAAAGAATATCATAAGTTAGAATCGACAGCATTATAAACAATAACTATCAATCCAAAAGTGGAATATGTGTACATATATGTATTTTCTATTTTCTGGAAAATGCATTACAAAATGAAGTGAACAACTCTATATGTTCCAAAAACTTATGATCCACAGAAGCCATGGAATTCTTGGTGGGTAGATACGACTTGATGACAGTCAGCCAAGATAGACGAAGTGAGTTAGACACCGAGTTGAGGCGCAACTCAGACAAGTACGAGGCGGTGCTCAGCGAGGATGATATAGTCGGGGCGTTCAGGCTGCTGAGGAAGGGTGTGTGTCGGCCGGACTTCCCAGGGGAGAGTTCAGACCAGTGCTACTTCGTGAAGGACATCCTGGACAAGCTCATGGACATGTCTAAGTACGTATGTTGATGTCACATACACAATCCAACCATCAGAACTCATTCAGCACCTTAATGTATACAAACACGTCACAATACCCTGTGACGGCATTTTAATGAAGTGTTGCCAGGTATAATGGAGGAACTGTTCCTTGTGACGTCAGTTTTGGGTATTATGTGTATCCGTCCAGGGTAGCTATGTCTAAACCTCCTCCTATACTTTGATCCACGTAATCCTCTCCCACACTTTTAAGTCACAAATTACCCAGCGCATTATATAACGTATTACATGAACACACCATCTGACGTCTGTAGCCGTTTTCAGTTCTTGGCAGCCGGTGTTTTGTCGATTACGTAACCGGAAGTGTGTCCCAAATGACATCGAGGGTTATGTAAATGTCGGCAGATAGAAGTTATGAGTAGTGATTGCATGGTCAAAACATACCCTACATAAGCGTTCTTCACCCAACTGTCCTCTTCGCCTCTGCAAGTCAATGTGAACGTAGCTCAATCCGTTTGTTGGTCGGCATACCGCCGTATTTTCATAAAAACCTGAACGATGACAAACTCCGCCCTCAGGAGAAACTGCTATTCTGAGACACAAGTACCATCAGAGATACGTACAGAGTCATTCCATATCCACAAAGCACCATCTTCAAGCACCTTGGTATATTCCATTTGTATATTCACGATTCGTGAGTGAGTGAGTGAGTTAAGATTTAAAGTCACATCAGCAATATTTCAGCCGTGACTAAAACAAATTTATATTACATTTATAAATACACATAATTTATAAAACCCTGTCAACGAAGGAATGTAAAATGACTAGATTATTACAAAATGGGTTAAAACTAGCTAGCATATATCTTTAAATGAAGACAACTATTTTGGACAATGTACACAATGTAAAATGGGCTATTTATCGCCAACAACTGAAGGTAGGTCACCATACTAGGGTCCATGGGTCACGACTCGTGTAACTGATGTGTGACTATGTGAACCGTAACTGTTTCAGACAATTGGTGGAGTCAGGGAAGATAACTTCCTTGTCCCGCATCCACGACTTCTGCTTCGACTTCCTCCACGACCTGATCCAGCAGGGGCCGGGGACGACGCACATGCAGCTGTGGATAAATATGCTTCGCAACAAAGATTTCGCCTTCAACGACTACTACCAAGTAGGCTATGTGTTTATCAGCCGTCTAATTTGGCGAGGGACACCATTATCATATCTATCCACTGTCGTCGCTTTTCACTTTCTTACCCTAAACACATTTTGGTGAATGATGTCTTGATACATTCCCTATGTACCGGTGCAGGAGTTTACAACGCTGGGGAAATATACTGAGACTGAGACAAAGTCACCCTTGCCGCTCTTTCGCTATCTTCCTCAGAACCTCAGCGGGGACAAACTGAAGAACTACATCAGGTTCCTGACGAGGGAATACAGGAGCGAGGAACCAGAGCCAGGCAGAAGCAGGTTCAGAAGAACCCTCGACCCTGGAATCCGGGCTCTCCTTGACGGGAATGCTTTGAGGTAAAGCGACATTCAGCCTCACCTGGACACGATAGACATCGTGATTGGGGGGTAGCTATATTAGAGGCCAGGTAACAGTCGTTAACAATTGATCGTAAACCTAGCAAGCTATATAGTGGTAACATATCACCTGTCGGAAATCAATCATATGTGCATATTTATCCTGATTTATTCACTTTATCTTGTACGGTAATATGTATAGGTACAGTTTGAGACATGCATTGCCTTGATTTATCTTCCGGGTTAAGAAAGCAAATGTTTTAGACATGCCGTCAGGAGAGATGACAATGTATATCTTGCAGTCCGGAAGCGTTCATTGAGGCCAGACCGGAGTTTATAGAACTCTATCTCTACTCTGATCTGTTGTTTCTCAATCGGCCGACTGACGTGAAGGATGCACAGCATCGAATTGCAACACTAATCTATCACAAATACAAGAGGAACGTGTTTCAGGTAAATATATCCGTCCTACACTCCACCCAATAGAATATAGGTACAATGCAAGAATGGCCGTGTAATATCGCACTAATGCTCCTCAAGGAAAAGGACATATTTAATCTGGTCAGTGATTAACCCTGTCGGATGAGTACCTTTACCCACGGCCCCAACAACTTGTCCAGAGCAATCCATCTAGTGGACACTATGTAAACTGACCTTAAGGATTGTGTGAGTTAGTCTACATGCCCGTCTGAACAGTGTTGCACGCACGGCGGCAGCAAATATCACGGCATGCGACCACAGGCATGAAGTATGAAGAAGTTTACAAACAAGTTTGATGAAAGAGACGAGTATGGCTTTGATGCTGACAAACCAAGTATCATAATCCAGCGGAATCCGGGATCGAACTCACTATTAGTGGATCCTGTCATTGCTGAAATATGCATCCTTGAACACCGGGTATCGACGGCTGAGACTGCTGGACCACCGTGCCCTATATCCTGAAGGAGTGTGATTCTATGTGATGCTCTGAATCTGCTGATATAGGGTTTGGAGGACCCCGAAGTCTTTAAACACTTCCTGAAACGCCTTGAAGAGATCATCTGTCAAACACATCTGGGCGGTGATAACTGGGAGGCCGTCGTCAAGAAGTTGCTGGACGCTGTGCGGATGTTGCTGACAGCTGTCGAGTAAGTTATCATTGTAATCTACAATACAAGATCTGCTGTTACACATGCTGGCTATTTAGAATCCAGTTGCTGGCATTATGGTATTGTGTAAACTATCCTGGTATATAATGCCTGAATATTGTAAATGGTGGCCAAACCATACTCACTCACTCACTCAGTTTGGCTGTTGTGATTTGCGCATTGTTTATTTGTTGTTAACGTCAGCAATGACTGGTATTGTGAACACACAGGGTAGTCACCAGAGTTGACTGCTTGGACACAATCTGACCCGTTCTTCTCGCGGGTTGGGTGTACTGGGGGGACACCATACAGGTATCAATCAGTATTGGGGATGTGAGTATTTATTATTAATTCATTAGTGGTAGTACCGTCCTAAGGGCAATAAAGGATCCGCTGACTGACCGTTCAAATCCCGATTATAGCCTGTCGTCTATCACTCTTCAAAGCAGAGCCCCCGGATTTCATCAGTGGTAAACGTACTAAATATAGGGGGCGATTGAGACACCCTTCCCACATCAAGCTGGCGCACTCGTTCTCTGCAGTTACCTTTCGACTTCACCTGGTGTATCCCCTAACGATCAGTCCTGTCACCGTGACACTCTGTTGCACCTGTTTCTGCTTTCAGCAAGGCTTTCCTGTTCCATAAGGTGTACGCCGAGATCCTGGACTTCGTGGCTGCAATCTGTACAATGTTGGCAGAGACACCTATCCACTCCATTGTGGAAGGCGTCGGGTACTTCTACTACCACATCAAGGACCCTATAATCAAGGTAATCAACAGTAGAAGCATACTTGAACATAACGTGGTCACTGTTGGTCTAGTAGTCAAATACACGGGGTATCGTTATGCAGAGTTGTGTAATCCAGTGTGCCTTGATCATTCCCACATGTATATGTCTAGGGCAACTGGTCATTCATATATACTCATTTCTAGGGTAACTGGTCATTCATATATACTCATTTCTAGGGTAACTGGTCATTCATATATACTCATTTCTAGGGTAACTGGTCATTCATATATACTCATTTCTAGGGTAACTGGTCATTCATATCTACTCATTTCTAGGGTAACTGGTCATTCATATATACTCATTTCTAGGGTAACTGATCATTCATATATACTCATTTCTAGGGTAACTGGTCATTCATATATACTCATTTCTAGGGTAACTGGTCATTCATATATACTCATTTCTAGGGTAACTGGTCATTCATATATACTCATTTCTAGGGTAACTGGTCATTCATATATACTCATTTCTAGGGCAACTGATCATTCATATCTACTCATTTCTAGGGTTACTGGTCATTCATATATACTCATTTCTAGGGTAACTGGTCATTCATATGTACTCATTTCTAGGGCAACTGGTCATTCATATATACTCATTTCTAGGGTAACTGGTCATTCATATATATTCATTTCCAGGGCAACTCTGAGCTGTTCACTGTTATGACGAGGAAGATGATCGATTTTCTGACTAACCTAGAGGACCACAGCCTGATGAGGGTCAAGTTCGCAGACGCGGCTGTGACGGAGGTGTTGGTCAAGTCAATGGACAAGTAAGTCCAGGACACACAGTTTGGCGTTTCTGTCAGACATGCTGTGTTAGTATTGGATCAGATCAGTCATCAAAGGTTAGGCATAGCCATTTATGAGAACAAACCAATAAGACGCGGCACACCTACAGAATACCGGATACCTACCACCCTAACCCTAGGCCTAACTCTAACCCTAAATCTTACCCTAACCATAACCCTAAACCTTGTCCTAACCTAGAGTAAACTCGCATGCTTTCAAAGATGGCGGAAGCGTAAGGTGTCCGGTATTCTGTAGTCTTACACAAGACGCAAAGTTTTACATAAGAAATAATGATGAATTTGTGAAAAAAGCAGTGCCAACAGGGATGTAGTACAGAGAAGTATTACAACCGCCTTCTCGTCAACCAAACACGAAGTTTATTGAAGGAAATAATGTGTACAGTTGCGATAGTATTGACACAGGTCTGTTTGTAACACGGCGTTACTTTGTTTGCATAGAGTATGCGCCATTGTACACTTCCCAAAGGTACCATTTTGACTGCTTTGACTGTAGAACCCCTGAGCACCGTCGGTTAATGATTGACCTGATGAAGGCGTGTCTGAGAATCCAGCAACAAGGAACAGCACACGCAGCCTACCGCATCGTGCGGGAAGCGGAGAAGAACCTCAAGTGGAAGGTGAGATCTGATATTGGTCACGATTGTGTACCACTCAGTAAACGTTCTTCGTCCAGTATGCACGAGTTAGTGGTATATGATGTATGCAGATATGCGAAATTATGTCTACATTCATTTGTGAGTAAAGAGGAAAGCAAAGTTAGTTATATATTTGCCATAAACAAGTTGAACGTGTTATGCCGGACTCGCGAAGAAAAGTTTGGGTGTCCGATACTTAGTGCTGAACTTCTTCATTGTTTGTAACGAAGCTTCAAGGTTTCCTTCTTGCCCCTCCGGGTGAGCGAAGGTTATTATGTAACAGGGACACTCGTTCAGTTATCTGTATCAAATGTTTGACCTCACTCTGTAAAACCCCCTGTTTTAAGGAACACGTGGATGATGCTTGTGAAATTTTGGACCTCTTGTCGAAAGTCGAATTGTATGGGGATGATAAACGGAAAACTGAACTTGGGGGCTACTACAAGAATTGTGCCGCCTACCTCGCCAATCAGATCACGTAAGTCTACATCACTCATCCCGGTACATACAGTAAGTCGTAATTATACACACCTTCACAGCCTGTAAGTATAAGTTATTCATTGTCACCACCACATACAATAAGTTATACTAATTCACACCATCACAGACAGCAAGTTTTAATTATTCACAGACAGTACGTTTATGTAACATATGTTATATTTGGGACTATACTTTATTAGTAAAATACAGATTCTAGTACTTTTGTTGGGTTGAGTCCCATCCAGGATTCGAACCCACACCCTAAGAGTCAGGCACCTAATCGCCAGCACACAACCCGCTCAGCCACCGCTGCTTCCACATCACATCACATTACTAAGAAAATGTAATCCCAAATATAGCATATGTAACATTTGAGCACTTTCTAAATGACATTGTGCATTCAGTACGTTTATGTTATTCACATAGGGTTAGGGTTAGGGTATCACAGACAGTTAGTACAAATTATTCATCCCCTTCGATTAAGAGCAGTCTACAGAAAGTCTAACAATGGAACGCCAATGAACGATAGCCTATAATTTGATGGCTTATCTCGTTTTCCTAGGCGGGATCGTGTTGTTCCGAAAATGGTTGAAAAGATGGTTGAATTTATCTTGACAATCCTTGAGAAGCGGGAACCTAAATTATTCGAAGCCGGAAGTGAAATTGCGGACGAGGTGGAATTCAGTGGAAAGGTAAATTATGTTCTTCTCATGTGCTTCCCTTAGATATCTTTGTTTGATACGACCAACTAAAGAAAACTGAACACAAGGTATCATATCTCGAATAATATAATAGTGACAAAAAAAGTTTCCACTCTGCTAAAAGCAGAGTCAATTGTACTATTCTGACTGCATCACGATGGTATTGTTAGGGATGGATAACCAGAGAAAGGACACCCGGTGTTCGCCAAACGGTATCCTGCCTTAACGGTGACAACCGTTACTGTTTGCGAAGCAAGACAATAGTTCATCTTACAAAACACGGGAACAAATGGCAAAATTCAAAGTGTTCCTATTCACCGTTGACATCGTCGTTGGCTGCTCACTGATCTCAGAGGCAACTTCGTTGTTGTTGGCACAACTTCCTCCACACCCTTATATTTCCTAAACACCAACACACGGTGACATTATAGGAACTGATAACAGATACGTATAACACATACTCTGTGATGTAATCTATTCGTCCAACTACTTACATGATGCCTCGTATGTCGTATGTTCTATACCATAACCTGCAGGAATATCCCAGTTAGAAGCGTCACACATCTAGGTATTTACTGGACCCATTTTGTCTACTCTTTCCACCATTGTTATGTCACACTGATGTATGTACTCCTTCCAGAAACACAAGGAACTGATAGTGTCAACATTTACACGTTTAATCCCTATCATTGACGGTGCCAAGTTCCCCTTGAAGGGAGAAGGATCTCGATATGCCAGCAGAGCTGTGGTCTCCTTAGCCAAGTGTGGACTAGATGCCTTGTGAGTTGCTGCTTGCCGGGGTTCAGCCGTGATACCAGACAGCCACAGCCACTCACACGGTTTTAAGAACACAAACAGATATATACGTAGATTTCTACTCAGACTGGTTGTAACATGGTCATTTCATATGGTCGATGTATATACACAGGCACAGACAGATATAGCCGTGTCATTACATGTACAAGCAGCGTAATCTAGGCCGAGGAAAAGCAGTGTAGTTTCAGGCATAGACAAAACTGCAGATACCTTCAAGGGGGGTCACTGGAACGTACTGGACATGGGTGCAAACAGGAATAAATAAACGAACATAAATACAGGCAGATCTATGTTGATACTAGATTGGACATTTCGTCGTCCAAGAACACGAAAATGCGAGGGCGTTAGAATATTGCAAAAATGCACATGCTAACGGTATTGCAAGCGTGTCTGTTTTCAATAAAGGTGCCAGTAGCTGTGATAGCATTTAAATGGGATTTATCAAATAATGTTTTGTATTTTGGACAATTAATTATTTTTTTAGTTAACATAATGCCTATTGTCATTGTGCAATCCTGAAGAAGATTAATGATGGCATGCATGTGGTGTTGTTAGAGTAATGATTATATTGCAGAGATTCCAAAAGCCTCGATGAGAGGACGTTCAACGTTATCCTCGAGTTCTTGAAGATAGTGCTGACAGGGGAGTTCATAGACGAGGACCTGAACCGCCCCCTTACAGTCTACTACATCCTCTACTGCAGCGCAGTCACCAAGTTCCTCAGGCTTGTGAGCTTGTAAAAATATTTAACAGTCTGAGCTTCTTTAAAATTCATGAACGATTGTCTAAATTGCATTCAAGTAATGTTTGAACGTGTGACACGCCATGCTGTATTTCAGATCATGCACTATGACTTTAGTATTACTGATGTAACACATTGCTGCCTCGTACAACATATTACATCAAGTGTTTCACCCAGGGGGTTGGGTCATCGGAGGCATGATTCGGGCGTGCTCTAAGGCAAATATCAATAGCATTCAATTTCGAAGAAGTTATTCTCCAGACAATGTTGTTTCTCTGCGTAGATGTAACAAGGACAACCATGGCCGCTGTTCATAGAGACTCTTCTTTGATCAATAACATATGATTCATTTGACCTCTTTCAAAATGGCATCGTGTATTCATAGCTTCGATCAAGGAAGCCGTACCAAATTACACTTGCCAGAGGGGTACAAAGTACGTGATGTGGACTGCCAGTAAGCTGAGTGGTTTAGATCGCTGACTTGTGTGCTGGCCTGTAGGTGCTTCAGTCTGAGAGTCTGGGTTCGATTTCCAGATGGTACTCAACCCCCGGAAAAGTAGTAGAATCTGTACTTCACTAAGTGTTGTCCCACATATAACGTATGTTGCTTGATCTGGCTGGTCCCTGTGTCTAATGGCCATCTAAAGCCTACTAATGATCATTTGTCCACGGGTCCGTTCAACAACGTGACCCAAAGGGAGATTGTAACTCCTTACTTTAAAATAGGCCTAGGACAACAGTAGCCTTGTGAAACGAGGCTCAGGTCTAATAACGTCTCCCAGTATAAGCGTTTGATGATATGTGGGGACAAATGCTGAGTGTTTACATGTTCTGTCCAGCTTGATGACCAGGAGAAGATACAGAGAGCTATCCCAGTGGTGAGAGAAGTCATCAACATGTTGACTCATGACTATGAAGAAGTTGCAAAGATAGCCGTTGGTCAAGTAACCCTCCTGGTTTCAAATGGGTCGAAGGTTATGGCCCAGTTCTTTCCTCAAATGATGGACGTCTACTTGGATACTGAGAACTCTTCACTACTCTGTAGGTGTGACAGCATATAGTTAATGTCCACATAGGTGTGACAGCATATAGTTAATGTCCACATAGGTGTGACAGGATATAGTCAATGTCCACATAGGTGTGACAGCATATGGTTAATGTCCACATAGGTGTGACAGGATATAGTTAATGTCCACATAGGTGTGACAGGATATAGTTAATGTCCACATGGGTGTGACAGCATATAGTTAATGTCCACATAGGTGTGACAGGATATAGTTAATGTCCACATGGGTGTGACAGCATATAGTTAATGTCCACATAGGTGTGACAGGATATAGTTAATGTCCACATGGGTGTGACGGGATATAGTTAATGTCCACATGGGTGTGACAGGATATAGTTAATGTCCACATGGGTGTGACAGCATATAGTTAATGTCCACATGGATGTGACAGCATATAGTTAATGTCTACATAGATGTCACGGGATATAGTTAATGTCCACATTGGTGTGACAAGATATAGTTAATGTCCACATAGGTTTGACAGGATATAGTTAATGTCCACACGGGTGTGACAGGATGCAGTTAATGTCCACATGGGTGTCACGGGATATAGTTAATGTCCACATAGGTGTGACAGAATACAGTTAATGTCCACACGGGTGTGACAGGATGCAGTTAATGTCCACACGGGTATGGCAGGTAATATGTAATGTCCACATTGACACATAGAACATATTATTGTGTTGCCTTTCCTGGAGATACAATGTTTAAAGTTTGTAGTGGTGATTTGGTGAGTCTCTTTTGTGCCTTGTGGATCCGACATAATCATTGTAAACCTGTGTTTTAGATCCCCTGAGTACACTATATCCACACAATCCGAAACCCTTGGAGCCACACTTTCAAACTATCTTCGAGTTGATAGACACACAGCAACGACATTCGATCTTATCCTGGCTGAGCGAGATTGCCAAGAAACAGCCACATGTAAGTAACGATCTCAACACTGATAACAATAAATCAAACCGAAAGAAAAACACCAAATCACAATTACCCTTTCTAGTTTATCTATTTACACTTGACGTATTTTAGACTTTTTGCACAGGCATAGGAACATTTTGCAGGGATAAAGTGAAATCCTGTCCAAAACTCCAATCTTCTGGGATAAAATCTTTGACTCATTCACTTTTTCTCAACTTCCTGCAGAGTACGATAGAATAGCTTACGACAAAATATGTTTATATTTACAGATTTACTTTGTGAAAATATCTGGAAAGTTCTTTGTTTGCTAACAAGCAATCAAATGCAGTATATATTGTTTTCAGTTGTTTACTGATGAGAACATTGCCAAACTGATCGAGGAGATGTTTGAAGGAGACGACAAGCTCCAGTCAATGTACCTGATGATTATGGATCCGCTCTCCAAGACGGTGCCTAACAAAATGGTGCCCCACCTGAAAACTCTTATGGAAGGCGACATCAACACGCAGTGTGGCGCCATGTACTACCTGCTCCAGGTCCTCAAGAACGTGGCCATTTGGAGCAAGGACGAGGTAATATACAAACTGATATTTCTGAAACCCTCTGTATGTACGCTGGATCGTGTATAAACGCCGTGTATTATATTTATGGATGGGTATTTGGTTGACTGGCATTACCTTTAAACATAATGGTGACATCTGCGTCAGTAAAATTACTTTTTTTCAGGCCCAAGCTGAGATAGTGATGGCATTCTTGGAGCAGCAGATTCGAGGTCCCGAAGATCAGTTTTCGACACCCAGCTGTCTTAGCGAGATGCGTGCTATTGGTGGCGTGTATCGACATATCCTGGAGAGCCGTAAGCCAGCCCTACAGGACTTGAGGGAGAGATCTACTGTTCAAACAACAAAGGATCAGTGTACATTTATCTTGGATGTCCTGGAAGGCAGAAGGTGAGAATCTAATAAACCCCTCCAGGATTTATCAGTCTTTAATTATCTATTGCTTAATGGTAGTATGAATCTATCACACATTTGTTCTGGATATCCTTGATGGAAGAATCCTTCAATACACGACATGCACATATACCTGTGACATCTTGTTGTAAAGGGCCTTATCTTACAATGCTTCCAACATTATCAACATGGCGGTGTTCCACTTAAGTGTATGGACCTCACATGTACATTTCATGACATTTCCACTACTCCTTGTTTAATGTTGCATCTTTGTTACCACTATATGTTATACTCTAAATATTCTCAGCTTGGAGTCTTTGGTGGATGAAATCAAAGATGTGAAGGACGACGTTGAGGAACTTGACACACGAGTGACAACGACGGAGGTGGGCGTAGTGGTGGTCAGCCAAGAGGTCGGACAACAGAGAAAGGACCTGACAGAAGTCAAACACAAGGTGGAGGACCAAGGGGAGAAGATTGGTCAACTGGAGGAGACAGTGGATGACGCTAAGGCTAAAGTGGAGGAACTGGATGGCAAGGCAAGTAGTATAGGTGTGCAAGGCAAGTAGTATAGGTGTGCAAGGCAAGTAGTATAGGTGTGCAAGGCATTGCTTGTCAATGTTCACCAGATTTACATCAAATTTCTCAGTGCGGATTGGTTATCTTCCTCATTGTTGAAAGGAGTATATGAAATAATCTCTTGTCAGAAACTGATTGCAATATGTATCCAAAGAGCAATATATCAACTTTAGTTTCTCCGTTGAGTTAATATATCATATGTTCTCAAAGTTCCCTTTTAAAATGAAAATGGGTACATTTTATCATAACGTCCACCATCTGCCGCGTCGTGTCCGAATGCCTCGTGGTGGCACAGTGGCGCTGTCATGTTGTGGTTACTTGAACCTGCATGGTGTACATGTATATCTGTCGATGTATGATTGGTGTACATGTATATCTGTCGATGTATGATTGGTGTACCTGTAATTCTGTCGATGTATGATTGGTGTACATGTATATCTGTCGATGTATGATTGGTGTACATGTATATCTGTCGATGTATGATTGGTGTACCTGTAATTCTGTCGATGTATGATTGGTGTACATGTATATCTGTCGATGTATGCTTGGTGTACATGTATATCTGTCGATGTATGATTGGTGTACATGTATATCTGTCGATGTATGATTGGTGTACATGTATATCTGTCGATGTATGATTGGTGTACATGTATATCTGTCGATGTATGATTGGTGTACATGTATATCTGTCGATGTATGATTGGTGTACATGTATTCATGTGTCTACGAACGCATTAACGTGTATATACATATGTGAATGTGTGAATGATAATTCATCAATGTTGAGTTTATTTCAAGCAATTCTATAGGTATTTTGCTGGATTTTCTGCTAGTTGATGGGTGGCATCGATGTGCAGAGTCAACTACAAAACGAATGTTTTTCATTGAAACTACCCCTCTGCTGTTTTGCAGATTGGCCTTATTACAAAATAATATCTTTTTACACAGCAGGCGTAATCAAAACAAATTCTAAGTTTCCACATAAACAGCAAACGCGACATCGTGTGACTGGATAGCGTACCCATATCTTGACAGGAGAACGGCTGTGCGGCGTAAGACATCAAACATTGTCGTGCGAATTGTATGAGTGACGGATGCATGCGATGATATCCCTTCTCACGACCACCTGCTGCTAGGTTTTCCATATAGTTTTAGCCGCTGTTTTTCCTTTTGACGCCCGCTTCTCGTTTCATATGTTATGTAAATGGTTTCTTTAATATGTACATTGACTGATATTTCTCAGCAAACCTATTTTCAGACATTGAGTCATGCTCCCTTCTGGACACGAGACGTGGCCAAACTCCTCAACCCCGAAGGTGCCCAAGACTGGCGGCTTCTCTCCAGTCGACTTGGCTACACCAATGATGACATCAGGAGCTGGGCTCAGATGCACGACCCATGTATGGCCATGCTGAATGAATGGTACGCCACTCGGAAGACGAGGGAAGCCACATATGCTGTGCTGACAGCACTGCAAGAGATGGACAGATTGGATGCTGCTGTCATTGTGGAGAACGCAATGAAGATGGCAGGTATGTGATTCATTAATATACAATATGAACATAATAACACCTATATGTATTGATATTTCTTTGTAACAGTGTGATAAATATTTACAATACTATCCAAAGGATGCTTTATAGCCTACTTCCATTATTTTCATCATAAGCTCATTTTTATATAGAAACAGTAGTGGAGGACGAAGAGTTCGAGTACCCGGAGCCTCCAGAGGTGTTCATCAGCTACCAGTGGGGAATCCAGAACGAGGTGAAGCTTCTGAAGCAGCACCTGGAGAAGGCGGGCTTCACGTGCTGGATGGACATTGGTCAGATGGGAGGTGGGGACAAGCTGTTCGAGAAGATCGACAAGGGAATCAGGGCAGCCAAGCTCGTCATCTGTTGTGTCACTGGGAAGTATGCCAAGTCTCCAAACTGCAATAGAGAGGTATTTGTCGGATGAATTACCACACAATGTTAGAAACCATATTAATGTTTCAGATGTTCCGAAAATGATGATTATCAAATACTACATGGCCAGTTGTTGAGAAACTGTAACGAAATGGGCATTAATGGCAAATATGATCAATAAAGAAAATTGAGTATATATTGACACTGCGTTTTGTCTTCAGGTGAACCTCTCCGGTAAGCCTGGGTAAGCCCATCATCCCTCTGTTGATGGAGAAACTGTCATGGCCTCCACCAGGCTCAATGGGGCCAATCTTCAGTGAATATCTGTTCATCCGATTCTTCACCCGTCCTGGGGAGGAGACTGGTGATATCAGGTACTGGTCGGCAGCCAAGTTCCAGGAACTCCTGATGCAGGTCAACTACAACAACGTCAAGCCGGATGAGCAGAAAGTGGAAGAGGGTAAGCGGCGTTCATCTACAATTTCCATAAAACAGTAACGTACAAGGCAGTCAAAGTAAGCAGATAAGAGCCTGTTGGACTGAAGTTTGGGACCAGGTTGTGGTGAACATTACCGATATTTTGATGATCCATTGATATAATGTTCACCCTTTGTTAGACGTAAATAGGAATATATTTTGGCGAATAATCAAAACTCGTTCTTCTCTTGTTTTCACATTTACATTACCGACCATCGCATTTGTCCAGATATATTTTGTTCAGGTGGAGGCTCTATATGTGAACAGAATGTTGATCAGTTTTGCTTCTCATATAAGATTAATTTGATGCCATTGTGCTGCCAAACTGAAGTTTACCTTTCTTTTCCTAGAATACAAGAACTGGTGGTGCCCTGTGGCTGAAGTCATCAAGATAGACAAGAAGGACGTGAAGACGATGACGGCTGCCAGTCAACAGAAGCAGGAGGAGGTGGAGGTACTTGGTGCAAACAATCACGAACACTAAGGATTTGACACTGTAGACACTATGTATATACTGACACTGTAGACACTATGTATATACTGACACTGTAGACACTATGTATATACTGACACTGTAGACACTATGTTTATACTGACACTGTAGACACTATGTATATACTGACACTGTAGACACTATGTATATACTGACTGTCCAATGCGAAACCACGATGTCTATCTCGAGGAAGATAACACGATGTAAAATTGGCCCTATTAACATTTTTCGTCCTTGAAAAACAAGGAGAGGAGAGGATGTCAGGGATAGGTGACTTGGTTGACGTTAATTTAAGACTAGTTATGTATTTGCTCTAAAGTCGACTACGGACCTTGATTTTCAGTTAAATCAAGTAACGTATGCACAACCTGTGAAGAGAATCTAAAGGTTAGCTCATTTGCATGTAGGAATAATTACAGCTCATGGTATTATTTTTACATACATGTATTTGTAAAACCTTTCTGTCTCAGGCTGGATCAGCGTCTCCTGATGTGTTCATCTCCTACCAGTGGGGAAAACAGAAGCAGATTCAGCTCATGTACAAGCGCCTGACTGAGATGGGCTTCACCGTCTGGATGGACATCTACCAAATGGGAGGTGGGGACTCCCTCTTTGACAAAATTGACAAGGGTGTGCGAGGGGCAAAGGTCGTTCTCTCATGTGTCACCACGAAGTATTCTCTGTCGGCCAACTGCAGGAGGGAAGTCAGTCTTGCTGATGCTCTCAAGAAACCAATAGTTCCTTTGTTGCTGGAGAAGATGACATGGCCGCCATCTGGTCCGATGAGCATGGTGTTCACTCAGCTGTTGTATATCAACTTTGGGAAGGATGAAACTGTACAGGAAAGATGGGATGGAGAAAACTTTGATGAACTGTTGACTAAACTAGACTACCATGTGCCTGGTATTATTATTCTAGGCAATATGAGTAAACAAGCGGAGGTGACATCTTCTCCTGAAACCGAGAAGACGACTCCTGCTAATAGTGATAAACAGCCAAAACAACCGACATCAACCAAGCCAGGTACATCGGTTGATGAACCTACTGTACAGCTACCCTTGCAACAGCAACTACAACAAAAACCATCAACACCCCCACAACACCAAGAAACAAAGTATCAGCAACAGCCAGAACTTAAACCAACACAAAGACAAACCGTATCACCTCAAAGAAAACCAGCCACAAAACAATCCAAGTCATGCACCCTGTTATAATTGTCTGTGTTGACGTCATATTGCTGCAACAATCCAAGTCATGCACCCTGTTATAACTGTCTGTGTTGACATAATATTGCTGCAACAATCCAAGTCATGCACCCTGTTATAACTGTCTGTGTTGACATAATATTGCTGCAACAATCCGAGTTATGCACCCTGTTATAACTGTCTGTGTTGACGTCATATTGCTGCAACAATCCGAGTCATGCACCCTGTTATAACTGTCTGTGTTGACGTCATATTGCTGCAACAATCCAAGTCATGCACACTGTTGTAACTGTCTGTGATGCAAAAGTATAGCAGCTTAGTTATATCATTTGTAATGAAAATACGTGTCATGACATTGACTTTTGTACTGAGGAAAAGGAAATTACAGTTTGCTGTTGACGCATTGGATGACGAACAATATACTGTTATTGACTGGATATTTTTAACAGGCCACGTTAATCCAGTTGGCGTTTAGACATGTTTTTTCCGTGACGCAGTAGGATGAAAGTGTTGTTGATTCATTCCAATGTTTTCAAATGTTAAAGATTCATTATTAAAGATACCTCATGTGTTGATTATTATTTTACAGTTTTTGATTGTATTTAGTGATCGCTTTCTGCATGGGTGTAAACGCCTCAGATCCTACTAGGTTCTAATGACGTCGTCAGTGATGTAGGATCGGTCGCTGTGATGTTACTCGGCTGACTAGCGCGGAGAACGACGTTCATGTACTCACTCACCCAGAAAAAATGTTTGCCTCACGTAACAAAACACATCTTAAGAAACGTAACTGATGTACGTAGACAATAAATAAGTTATATGCTAAAGTACTGTCGGAAATAGATATAAACTGGTTTAGGCTGTTACTCTGTATCCCTAAAATTTACAAAACTGCAAATAGCATATGTGGAAATAACCTACTTCGGCCTAACTGGGCGTTCAATGGGATGCGTAATAGGATATCCAGAAAAGATGTTTACTCGTAAAATCGGACAAAACTTAGAAAAAAAATTACGAATAATTGCTGAAAACAATAGATCAGACTATAGATGGCAGTTAGGTCGCATTGTGAATGCTTCATGTAGGCCTGATATTCGTCCTCAATACAGCATTGTGATTGCTTCATCTAGACCTGATATCTGTCCTCAATACAGCATTCTGACTGTTTCATCTTCGTCTGACATCCGTCCTCAATACAGCATCGTGATTGCTTCATATAGACCTGATATTCGTCCTCAATACAGCATTGTGACTGCTTCATCTAGGCCTGACATCCGTCCTCAATACAGCATCGTGATTGCTTCATCTAGGCCTGATATCCGTCCTCCATACAGCATTGTGATTGTTTCATCTAGTTCTGATATACGTCCTCAATACAGCATTGTGATTGTTTCATCTAGGCCTGATATCCATCGTCAATATAGCATTGTGACTGCTTCATCTATGCCTGATATTCGTCCTCAATACAGCAGTGTGAATGTTTCATGTAGGTCTGGCATCCGTCCTCAATACAGTATTTTGATTGCTTCATCTAGACCTGATATCCGTCCTCAATACAGCATTGTGATTGCTTCATCTAGGTCTGATATCTGTCCTCAATACAGCATTGTGATTGTTTCATCTAGTTCTGTTATACGTCCTCAATACAGCATTGTGATTGTTTCATCTTGGTCTGATATCTGTTCTCAATACAGCATTGTCATTGCTTCATCTAGGTCTTATATTCTTTCTCCATACAGCATTGTGATTGTTTCATCTAGGTCTGATATACGTCCTCAATACAGCATCGTGATTGCTTCATCTAGGCCTGATATCCGTCCTCCATACAGCATTGTGATTGTTTCATCTAGTTCTGATATACGTCCTCAATACAGCATTGTGATTGTTTCATCTAGGCCTGATATCCATCGTCAATATAGCATTGTGACTGCTTCATCTATGCCTGATATTCGTCCTCAATACAGCAGTGTGAATGTTTCATGTAGGTCTGGCATCCGTCCTCAATACAGTATTTTGATTGCTTCATCTAGACCTGATATCCGTCCTCAATACAGCATTGTGATTGCTTCATCTAGGTCTGATATCTGTCCTCAATACAGCATTGTGATTGTTTCATCTAGTTCTGTTATACGTCCTCAATACAGCATTGTGATTGTTTCATCTAGGTCTGATATCTGTTCTCAATACAGCATTGTCATTGCTTCATCTAGGTCTGATATTCTTCCTCCATACAGCATTGTGATTGTTTCATCTAGTTCTGATATACGTCCTCAATACAGCATCGTGATTGCTTCATCTAGGCCTGATATCCGTCCTCCATACAGCATTGTGATTGTTTCATCTAGTTCTGATATACGTCCTCAATACAGCATTGTGATTGTTTCATCTAGGCCTGATATCCATCGTCAATATAGCATTGTGACTGCTTCATCTATGCCTGATATTCGTCCTCAATACAGCAGTGTGAATGTTTCATGTAGGTCTGGCATCCGTCCTCAATACAGTATTTTGATTGCTTCATCTAGACCTGATATCCGTCCTCAATACAGCATTGTGATTGCTTCATCTAGGTCTGATATCTGTCCTCAATACAGCATTGTCATTGCTTCATCTAGACCTGATATTCGTCCTCCATACAGCATTGTGATTGCTTCATCTAGGTCTGATATCTGTCCTCAATACAGCATTGTCATTGCTTCATCTAGGTCTGATATTCTTCCTCCATACAGCATTGTGATTGCTTCAGCTAGGCCTGATATTCAGACAGTTCCTTTCACAAATCGATCACATTTACTTATTTACTCATCGTCAACCCACAATACAGCATTGTGCATCGAAGTGACGTCCCATCAATACATTAGACGTCATTACGTCTGTACAAACTGAGTGGTGTAGACGTAATTCAAGATAAAAATAATCCATATGATGCACGATTATTTTAATATAGGAGAAAGTGTTTGGATTTTGAATAATCTCACCACGCACACAGCTTATATTGTTAACAAGGACAGTGGGTCCGCGAATTTGCGACAGAAGGCTTCCGTCGACTCTTCTATCCGACAGTATTCTGGCTATACGATAATGACATGTGACTGTCCTCATCGCGGTACAGGACAGTGAGTGGGTGCGTCTTTTTAAAGTCACAGTTCACTGTAAGAATCTTGATTGTCAACAAAATCAATATAGATTTTCACTTGGCAACAATCCACGACAGCTTGCTATACAGTAGAGCCGATGTTCGACACACATAAAGTGTGCATCTCTGACTACAGCCTCCTTCCTCACCAGGCCTTGTACTTGTCGCTGAAGTCTACTCGCTCCTCGTCATGAAGTTGTACCGCAGTAGCAGGTGGTCCATCATCACTGTAGAGTGAGTGAGTGGGTGGGTGAGTGGGATTTTATGTCATCCATATATAATTTATGAATAACATTTATATGGAAAACACAGCAGTCACTGTACAAATCATTCAAACCTGTCCACCAGTATATGTCCTTGTTCTGTCAAAGCGGCCTTCAACCAAACTCAGTCACACTCTCGTTTGTTAAAATTTAATGCATTTACCAGTTAACAGGACATTTCATTGTGGAGTGTGTGATTGGTCGGTGGGTCATGGTTGGGGATGTTGTACGATAGGTAGGAGATGGGTTGTGTTTGTGACTGGCCTGAGTATTGTGTCTGTTCTGAATAAACGTGCATTTGCACGCATACTTTGACTATCTGCTCACCCACACATCCCAAATAGTCATGTTTTATTTTAAAACAATTTGAAACTGATTGGAAGCCATATGTACACCCTTGTCAGTATACAGTACGAGGGACACAGCAGCATACGAGAATCACTTCACACACCAGATCGTGGAAACTTTAAGTTTTATAGCACCCTATAGAATTCCGTCAGATAGACAAAGTGCTATTGAACGTGGGGGTGTTAATTATGCATTCGAGAAGGGAATTTAGTGATTGCTTTGGTTGCCAGAGCATTTCAATTTAATTATCAGCGATGACATCTTCGAAATATGTTTGTTTTAGGTCATTTGTGTTTGTTTACCTGCCATGACAGCCCTGTATTAGCAAACCTAGAGGCCGTCTAGTACAAGAGCTAAACAGATTGCCTAGGTTAACAGATGGGGTGTGGGGCGGTGGTGTATTACTGCTGGTGGCAGCAGTTTATGTGGAGGTGTTAATACTAAAATCTACAATCTAGATTCCTATCAGCGTCAGAGTTGTGTCCATGAAGGACGGAGATGGGCCATATCATTAGAAGCCTTACATAACGGTAGTCTCAACAATCTCATCTGCAGAGGCTTTTTCGTCACCAGAGTGAAGTCGTTTGGTGATGATGGCAGTCATGACCGACCAATCAGTGATTAGATCAAGATGATTGACAGATGTCACCTATATCTACCTAGATATCCTGATATGGACCAACTATTGGATGATATGTCGAGTAACACGTAGTTTGAGACAAGCGGCGTGTCAGATTAGAACACAGTGACGGAACGGTCCCCAAACACCACACAAAATACATGCCTATATTGTACATTTTTCAAACAATTCTGTAACGTTGTAACATATCTTCGAAATTAGGACTGACATTTTTATTATTATGATTGCAGCTATGCCGTAGGTGTATGTCAGATACCGTCTTTGACCGGACAAACTAGAGGTATATACTTGATCAACAATCTATGAAGACAAGTAACGACCAAACACAGCAGCCACTGAGACAAACAGGTAGGGCAGTCGGCTCTGACGGGAACAGGTTTACTTAGTCAAAAAACACTGCCTCGACGCTGGTCACCCACCGTCATGAGTTAGTTAGTGAGTGAGTTACAAGGACTTATCATTATGTGCCGTGTAAGCTTATCAGTACACGTCTTGATGAACAAGGTCATGCTGTGCAGACGTCAAACTACAAGTTCCCTGATGCATATACACATTTCACGTTCAGTGGAAACGTATCATCTGTATTGACGTCTACTATTGCATTCGTTTACACTGAGTCGGTTTACACTACCGTTCATAACCCTCTCTCTCTCCTGATCGGGGCGGTGGGGTAGCCTTGTATGGTTAAAGCGTTGGCTCGTCACGCCAAAGACCCGGGTTCGAATCCCCACATGGGCACAATGTGTGAAACCCATTCCTGGTGTCCCCCGCCGTGATGTTGCTGGAATATTGCTAAAAGCGGCGTAAAACCAAACTCAGTCAGACAGTCTCTCCTGATCGGGCTACAGCGAACTTAATTAAAGGGCCGCCATTTTGCTAACTGCATGTACCGCACGGCAATCATCCCTTTAACTAACAATTGCAGGAAACCTGAAAAAACGTCACCCTTCGCACACTTCCTGTTGAGGATAGCTTGCCTGAATGCACAGCAAAGTGCCTAGACAGTAGCATTCGTCAAGTCTAGTTATATATAAAGTTTCTGTACATATTTCTCACCACTGAAACACCTACGTTGAATGAGTGCTGCGTGATAATCTTCACAAAATTGCAAAATGCTATCTCCCATACAGGACATGCTTTCAGAAACAGTAAAACATTAATTATTGGCAGAAGCATCAAGTAAACTACATACGTTCTTGCTTCTTTGTTCGTGACCTTCCACCCCCTGGTGATATCACCACAGCTTGGTTGTTGTCACTAGTAACCCATTGATTACACACGGGTAATGAGGGTTGAGTATGGATCAGCTTGGTTTGCTGTTAGGTTAGGCTGTGTGTTGTTAGTTAATCACCTTCCGTGCATGTTACCTGGTGGATCCCAGTTCTTGGCAGTCAGTAGAAACACAGTATAGAATAACGCATGGGTGTCAAACAATACAGATCTGCTTTATATCAGAACAGACAATCACACAAACTGATGTAAATATAAAAATATAAATTATCAATAAATATATACTCTGTGTATTCTTCGCAACAGTGAAAACATTTACATCTCAGTCATCCCCTCCATTATAGCCGATGACGTTGTTTACACAGCAATAACATTTATCAGCTGGTCCTGCCGTAGTGGTACAGGTATGATATATTTGTACGCTATATTTGTACATCCATGTTCACTCAGTCGGATCGCTGTAAGAAGAAAGATGAGACCCAGAAGGTGAGGTGAGGTGAGGTGAGGTGAAATTGGGTTTAACGTCGTGCTTGATAATATTTCGCTCATATGACGACGTGCATGCGTGTGTATGTGTATGTGCGGCTGCTTGTACTAGCCTAGACTGAAGCTGGTTTTGTAGTGCTAGCCCACTGAAATACCATGCCGCAGTGAAGCATGAATACCCCACTCAGACACATTATACTGACTCCGAGCCGACCAGTCCTTGTTGTACCCACTAATGCCGAGCGCAAGACAGGGACCAACAAGTACCATATTTTAACGTCTTTTGGTATGACGCGGTCGGGGATCGAACCCGCGACCTTCCGCTCTCCAGACGGACGCTCTTACCACTACACCACGGAGGCGGTCTCAGATCCAGAAGGAGGCAGACTGTGTGGCAGAGTCTATCTCACGTATCCATGTTATATATGATGTTTTACATCTTTGTCCTTGCAGTTTTACCACAATGCATGGGAACGTTACTTACTTGTGATTGTCATAACTCTATTGTTGCATATAGGACATCATATTGGCATTACTAGGATATTGCAACAAGCTATATACGCGACATAGTGCAGACATCAGGATGAGTATTTCAGTTATAACATGTACGTATTCCGACTGCATACTCTTGCATCCTTGGTCCGTCTTGGATCATGCCGCACACTAAAGCGGTAAATATCCAAGGACAGGGCCACTTCGGGTTTTCTCACAATAAACCAGCACGATGTGTAATAAATGTAAATCTCTCCAGAGCGTAATCATCTTCCATGTACATTTCTAAATTAGTTCAGCACAACAACATTGTTGTAAAATATCTTGTGTTATGTGTCATAATTATGGTGCTTTGAGCACAGATAAAAGCTGTTTCCTAACCGTTTTTGTAAATAAGAACACACGAAACAATCACCGACAAAAGAAATGACAAATACATCATATTGTCAAATATTATCACAGTTTGCTCTCCACTACAAAATTGAACACGACTTTGATGTGTTGCTGTGAGGTTGAGCAGTTGGGTGATGCCATTGTGGAGGTTGGTTATCCTGACGATGTTGGTGCGGTTGGTGTTGATAATGCTGTTGTTGCGTAGTTGGGGGCTGTTGATGTGGTTGCTGATGCCAGTTCGGCTGTTGTTGCAGAGGCTGTTGCTGTTGCGGAAGCTGTTGAAAAGAGGATTGATGATGATGTTGGAACTGTTCTATTTGCTCAGTATCTTTGTTTTGCTCCTCCTTGAGCAGGGGTGATGATGGTGGTGTGTCCTCTTTATCGTCAGCGACCTCTTCTGTAGATGCAAATGGTTCCTCCAGGGTCTCCCCTTTATATAGCGTTATGATATCCGGAACATACTGGTCCAGTTTAGTCAACAGTTCATCAAACTTGTCTCCGTCCCATCTTTCCTGTACAGTTTCATCCTTCCCAAAGTTGATGTACAACAGCTGAGTGAACACCATGCTCATTGGACCTGATGGTGGCCATGTCATCTTCTCCAGCAACAAAGGAACTATTGGTTTCTTGAGGGCATCAGCAAGACTGACTTCCCTCCGGCAGTTGGCCGACAGAGAATACTTCGTGGTGACACATGAGAGAACGACCTTTGCCCCTCGCACACCCTTGTCAATTTTGTCATAGAGGGAGTCCCCACCTCCCATTTGGTAGATGTCCATCCAGACGGTGAAGCCCATCTCAGTCAGGCGCTTGTACATGAGCTGAACCTGCTTCTGTTTTCCCCACTGGTAGGAGATGAACACATCAGGAGACGCTGATCCACGCTGTAAGAAAAGAACACAATGCAACTCACCAAGGAAAAAAAATCATCATTTGTGGGTTCGCCTTACAGACAGGAAGTCGTGGTTCAGAACCAAGTAGAGAAAGTATTGAAATGGTGAAACTAAGCGAGGTTCTCGTAATGCATACACGAAGAAAGAAAACATAGTCATATCATGTACAGTTGGAACCTCGACAATATTTCTTTGTGACGTAAACTATCAAACTCTACATCAGATGGCCAACCAATAACAGTGATGTAACTAGTACATGTACAACATACTAAATTGAACACTTTAGTCTATGCTCAACTCGCCGCAATACTCGTTTGTCATTCTTATCTCCCTAATAGTAACATCAACCAAACACAATAACCCATCAAGTATTTCACACACGACCCTGGTGTACCGGGATCACTGTGCAGTAGTGTCTGCAGTGTCAAATCCTTAGTGTTCGTGATTGTTTGCACCAAGTACCTCCACCTCCTCCTGCTTCTGTTGACTGGCAGCCGTCATCGTCTTCACGTCCTTCTTGTCTATCGTGATGACTTCAGCAACAGGGCACCACCAGTTCTTGTATTCTGTGTGCAAGATATTATGCAAAAGGCATTTTATTTGGGATTGCGATATAAAATACCCTTTATACCATATCAGATGACGAATTGTTCAGACATGTAGCAACGATTTTGATGTAGAACATAAACGGCAGATGGTTTGTTGTTCAACGCCACACCCAGCAATATTCCAGCTATATGGCGGCGGTTTGTAAATACTAGTGTGGATCAAACAGCACCAGCGAGCCTGAACACCCGATCCCACCAGTCGCCTTTTACGACAGGGATGGGTAGTTGAAGACCAACCCTAACCCGAATCCTCTCTGGTGCCAGTTTGATAAGTTGCTATTTTAGCTGTTACTTGCTTTTTACACCCTTACACAACATTTTGTGAAAATTATATGATTGGATAACGTAAACCTGGAGTACGTGATAACTGCCCTGCCCTGCCCTGCCCTGCCCTGCCCTGCCCTGCCCTGCCCTGCCCTGCCCTGCCCTGCCCTGCCCTGCCCTGCCCTGCCCTGCCCTGCCCTGCCCTGCCCTGCCCTGCCCTGCCCTGCCCTGCCCTGCCCTGCCCTGCCCTGCCCTGCCCTGCCCTGATTCATTGGCAAGTGTCACATTACTCATACTTTCATATCTAACGAACTGTCAACACTACATCCTTAAACTCCCTTAAACGTCTCGGGATGTGCATGTTGTTGTATGATCATCTTACCCCTTTCCACCTTCTGCTTACCCTCTTCCACCTTCTGCTTACCCCCTTCCACCTTCTGCTTACCCCCTTCCACCTTCTGCTTACCCCCTTCCACCTTCTGCTTACCCCCTTCCACCGTCTGCTTACACCTTTCCATCTTCTGCTTACCCTCTTCCACCTTCTGCTTACCCTTTTCCACCTTCTGCTCATCCGGCTTGACGTTGTTGTAGTTGACCTGCATCAGGAGTTCCTGGAACTTGGCTGCCGACCAGTACCTGATATCACCAGTCTCCTCCCCAGGACGGGTGAAGAATCGGATGAACAGATATTCACTGAAGATTGGCCCCATTGAGCCTGGTGGAGGCCATGACAGTTTCTCCATCAACAGAGGGATGATGGGCTTACCCAGGCTTACCGAGAGGTTCACCTTCATACAAGAAATCAAAAACGCAATGTACATCATTGTTTTCAAGAAAGTAATTGAAATATTCCCCGATAATCCGATAATTGAAGCCAATGATATCTATGATTAATCTTTGGAACATTTCAAACTTAAATATGGTTAGAAAATACACTTTGCTTTGTACTGAAATTAACCGGAAAAATACCTCTCGATTGCAGTTTGGAGACTTGGCATACTTCCCAGTGACACAACAGATGACGAGCTTGGCTGCCCTGATTCCCTTGTCAATCTTCTCGAACAGCTTGTCTCCACCTCCCATCTGACCAATGTCCATCCAGCACGTGAAGCCCGCCTTCCCCAGGTGCTGCTTCAGAAGCTTCACCTCGTTCTGGATTCCCCACTGGTAGCTGATGAACACCTCTGGAGGCTCCGGGTACTCGAACTCTTCGTCCTCCACTACAGCCTCTACGGAACATTGACCAATCTATAATCTGAATACTATGTTGACAAGAGCTCGGTACCTGATGTTAAAACACTATAAGGATGAACAATGCCATACTCTTCGATATTTACTATGCAGCAACAGCAGGATAAATGTATCTCAGTATATACAAAGAAAACGAGGTAGTGCCACTTTTCTATCAGTTCAAATCTGGGTATTGTGATAACAGAAAATGGTGCAACATGTACGAAATGGTAGTTAAATGTATTATTACCTGTCATCTTCATTGCGTTCTCCACAATGACAGCAGCGTCCAATCTGTCCATCTCTTGCAGTGCTGTCAGCACAGCATATGTGGCTTCCCTCGTCTTCCGAGTGGCGTACCATTCATTCAGCATGGCCATACATGGGTCGTGCATCTGAGCCCAGCTCCTGATGTCATCATTGGTGTAGCCTAGACGCATAGAGAGAAGCGTCCAGTCCAGAAGGTCTTCGGGGTTGAGGAGTTTGGCCACGTCTCTTGCCCAGAAGGGAGCGTGACTTAGCGTCTGTAGGAATGATGAGAAGGATACTGTCGATGCATTTATGGAACTCAATAGCGTCAACGGTTTTACTGTAAAGTGAGCATTAAATTAAAGGCAACAGTGCAAGCTTTTTTAGTGATTCTCACTGAGCATTAACGTGTTTTCGTCCTGCGGACTGGCTGGTTCCCACCACTTGCTGAATTGTCGTTATTGTTTGCTAAAACCTTTACGTCATGTCAACGTATTGTCGCCAATAATAGAAGGTTATGTCAAACATTCTCCATGACGGTTATATATTGAGTTGTCCAAACAACATACTTACATAGTTTATGTCTGCCACTTTTACCAGGAATCCGAATTTCAGATTAAAATACTATTGATATGTCAACCTGATACAGTGGTATAATATATGTCCTGTACATCTTTGTGTAAGTAAGCTATGAACCAACCTTTCCGTCGAGCTCTTCCACTTTAGCCTTGGTGTCATCCACTGTCTTCTCCAGTCTGACCACCTTTTTCCCCTGTTTCTTCACATCAACCTTGACCCCTTTCAGCTCCTCTCTCTGCTCACCCACCTCTTTGCTCAGCAGCACCAGGCCCACCTCAGTCCTGGTCACTCGTGTATCCAGTTCCTCCACATCTTCCTTAACATCCCTAATCTCTTCAGCCAGGGACTCGAGGCTGCAGGTATAAAAGCAAATATACTTTTCATCATTCATCATCAAAGATGCTGTGGCTATGGTCTTTAATGTTGTCCTAAAAGGGGATATAGTCAAAGTACACTATTTTACTGTAAAATATTTATAGATATTTTAGGAACCACTGGTAACAATATGTTTATAAATCCAAATACCAATTACAACGTCACACTAATCTGGACCGAAAACCAAAAAATATTAGTAGTAAAGTATAAAAATATTTTAAAAGACACCTGTAAATTAAATGGTCTTCAAGAATATGAAGACTATGCTCACATGAGACAATACACGTTTTGTCCAACGATCAGGTCACTGAGTCATTGCTGTGAACTTAGTTAGATTGCATCGATTAGATACTGCAAGTTTATCGAATAACACCCCTCCAGGTTCTACCAGGCACAATAGATTCAGGCCTTTATAAAGCCTCAGATGATGTCAAACAGTGTCAAACTATTCTCACCTTCTGCCTTCCAGGACATCCAAGATAGAGTTACACTGGTCCTTTGTTGCCTGTGTGGTAGATCTCTTCCTCAAGTCCTCTATGGCTGGTTTACGACGCTCCAACAATGGTCTGTATACACCGCCTATAGCCCGCATCTCATTGAGGCAACTCAGGGTAGCAAACTGATCTTCAGGACCTCGAATGTGCTTCTCAAGGTATGCCATCACTTCCTCTGCCAGAGCCTGTGTATATCATTATCTCTGTGTACAATGTCCAACAATGCACCAACATCCATACGGTTCTAATCAGTCGCTTTTATCCCTTTGTTGAATTTGCCACACAACACGGTGCAGCTTAATAGTTGAAGTACAAAACAATAATGAAATATAATCCAAACCTTTGGTGGATGACAGTCAGACTTGCATGCAACTAAATGATAATCCATATACAGTGACAGTTTAAGAAACAACACTGCTAATTTGAATAGGATATTTCAGTTATAACGTTTATCTCGGCAACACATTAGTGCTGTACCTCATCTTTCCTCCAAATGGCCACGTTCTTGAGGATCTCAACCAGCTGGATTATAGCACCGTACTGTGTGTTGACGTCATTGGTCACCAGGGTTTTCAGGTGGGGGAGGAATATCTGGGGCTTCTTCTTGGAGAGTGGGTTCATGATCATCAGATACGTAATGTGGATTTTCTCATCGCCATGGAACATCTCCTCAATCAACTTCCCAATCATGTCATCAGTGAACAACTGAAAACGATAAGTATTTCTTCCTAAAGAGGAATGATAGTGAGATATGCATCGTTTGCTACGATGTAGTCTCACCATTTTGTATTGTTTAAATAACCTCGCTATGATATTTTTCGCTAACCCAAGGTATTATCAATATTTGATGGTGATAAACACATGCCTACGATAGTTGGTATCGAATAATAGCTCGGGATTTTTTGTTTTCAACACTAACCAAATGTCAGTAGTTCATTTGTAATATGTATGTGTTCCTGTTCCGGCAAGCTGGCAAGGTAAGGATGTCATCTGTGGGATGATACCACGTCCTGCTCCATGCAGGAGGCCCGTCCCAAGCCGCCTAGCCGGGTACCTATTTTGCTAAAATTTAATATGACCATGCTCAACTCCCAATAGGTCGCCAAAGTAACGTCCATAACATAAGTACTGCAAATTAAGTCAAATTCCGTGATTCTATTTATAATGCCAGTGGGACGTTGTCACCTTTACGGTGATATTTACACCTGATGTCAGGACATTATTCCGTAGTAATGTGACGCATGTACAGTAGAATTAATACATAGTCAAAAGGTCTGTATTCGATACATATCAGCGGACGTCACTGATGTTTTATCTAACACAGATGGGGGATGTACCATCCTATAATTATTGACCAACGAGCGAGTTAGCGTTGTTTCAGACGAACTTACATTCGGTTGCTTTTTGGCAATCTCCGGGAACCAGTGTATCACATTATTTCGGTGTGTGGTGTCTATCAGCTCAAAAAGGGTCTGGAACTGTGGTTCCGTCAGCCTGGGGTAGTAGGGGTAGATTGTACCCAGAGAATCTGCAACACACGATTGGGAGGATCACGCAAAGATATCTTTACTTTACACATAACTAAACTACCTGACAGTCCGCCATTATTCTGAAGCTGTCCAGATCAGTTTGTCCTGATGTATGTGTGTCTGACGTCCTGTTTTGTACATGTGCATACCACACAACTATATTTAGTCCTCCATAACGCATACTGGCTCTTTACCGTTCGGATATTGTTTCTTTTCAATTATGGTTATAGTAATCTTTCAAAACATACACAGTAGAGGTAGGTTTTCTGTGTGAAGGTACGCCTCCATGATTTGCGGAAAGAACGTTGCCATGACCCTTGCCCCATTTGAGGTGAGTGTGCTTATTTGACTCGTGGCGATGTATATGACCTCTTCGAACTCGTGCAACAGCAAGTTGACAATCTCCCTCACTACCAGGATGGCTCGCTGCACCTTCTCCTGGTCGTCCAGCTGTTGAAGGGAGAAGAAAGACAGCAAATGTGAGACCAAGTGTTCAGTTCTAACCAGGTTAAAGTCGCTGACATTGGGACAGTGTATCAACTTCATATCGAGCTTGTCTTCAATGACTGTCGTAAATGATTAATTGATTCAATACACTGAATGTGAAGACAATATTGTTGGTAACTGACAGGGTTCGAAATACCTACCTGCCTGCCTGCCCGACCGCCCGGAACGGGTTATTTTCAACACAGACTGACAGATTCTCAAATTCACCTGCCCGACGGTCGGGTTAAAATTTAGACATGTATATGAAGATATTTTGTGGGAAGGTAAGTTTTTGTCCGGGCTGGCAAGTTTTACATCTAACCAGCCCTGTGGTCTGGCTGAATTTTTTGGGAGTTTCATTCCCTGTAATTGACACTGCACAAATTTGGACAAAGGATCATTCGTGCATATCTGCATAAACACATACCACAATAAATTTAGTTCTCCATACATCAAAATAACTCTCGGGCAGGCAGGCCATTTCTCCGGGAAAGAGTGTTCAAGATACGAGCTTCATAGATACTCTGTTCATATCGTACTCTAGTGTTGGACACGGACGGTGGCAATATTGTTGACAAATACTTACCAGCGTGAGAAAAGTTGAACCCACGGAATAGTACAAATTATAGAAGACTGTGCACGGGCTATTGGATTCCTCCTCAATAAAGTTTCCCTTCATAGCAGTCTTTAGGAAGTAGGTAAGTGCATTAAAATCGGTTTCGTTCATGGATTTGGACTCTCTGCAAGACAATCGAACCAGTCATTTTGAAGTGAATATTGCTGCTATGACAGTTTGCGACATTTGTTATGGTATTTGGACTATCAGTAAGATTACCATAATATATTAGTAGATTAAGCTCCCTCGCGTCAATTAATCCTTCTGTTAAGGTATTCTGTCGGCGCAAGGCTGACATGGGTTTATCTATATTATTCGGTGAGTATCGGTATGTCTGCCTCTAGGTCTGTCTGTCTGTCTGTCTGTCAGTGCTAGATTGACGTGTAAGCGGATTGTTAGGTGAATATGTCTGCCTCTGACAGTATACTTAAATGCATCGATAGCGCATATAAAGGAAGACTTATTATGTGAAACTGGTTTCAACAATAGTGCACGGTTTGCCAGGCATTAGCAACACCTCTCTGTGACCGGCCATCTTGCAACATTCATATCACTTGGTTCCTATGTATAAGGACGTATGTCCACCGTGACATTATGAGTTGTTTTAACCTGGGCTTTCAATTACTAGTCATATTCAGTAGGTCATCTATGTTAACAGTATCCCCAAGGAATATATAGCGTCAAGTAATATTGATAATTGTGAAAGTATGTTTACAGAAATTACTTAGTACATGACAATGATAAAGTAGATGTACTGTTTCAGCACTTCACGATTTGTGTCAACATATACTTGTAAACCAGTACATTGCCTGGATGCCACTGCATGAGTGAATTTACTTACAAGGCTTCCATTCCTCTACTTGCCAGCTTGACGACCACCTTGCCAGGGTAGCGGGCGCCGCTGTCGTCCCAGGGGTAGTTGGGGTCAGTGAGGAACAGCCGCAGGTTGGCGAACGTCGACATGATCAGATCCTTGTCTTTCTGAAAACATCCACGTTATCGTGAAATATGTTTTATAAGTCACATGACAGAACAAGAACGTTTCTATTTATTGCCTGCATGATTAATACAGTCTATGGAGAAACGAAATATAGTTGAATAACCTTTTACAAATACAATATAACCAGTAGTGTCTATTTAGTGTTATAAGGAACAGTTGAATACTTTTATTCCCGTGTGACCTACCTTCCCACTGAAAGTCACCGAGCTAGCTACTTCATCTGCAGTCTCAAATAGCCTTGCCTCTCTCCTTTCGAGTATCTTCAGACAAAATTCCACCATTTTCCCAACCACCTTATGAATAACGCGATCCCGCCTGGAATGGAAGGATCGGCATATGTGTACATGTCATATTGTGTATGTTCCGTCAATAGCTAAATGTTTGTCGGAGAATGTTAACAAAGGGCTCGGATAGTGTGGATCCCTATGGACACTGTTAAGCACTGGGGTTCAGACTTCGCCGTAGTTGTTTTCTCCCTAAGCTTGCCTTCACTTATCAACATTTTGGTGATGTTTTACTACTACAGAGAACACTGAAGTATAGGCCCTCAGGATTTCGTTTCAAGAATCTGGGAGCATACTACTTGTCTATAAACGTTTCTAAATCCATGCGTTTACTTTTCTGGTTAAAATCTGAAAAAATTAAAATAACCTGAATAAAATTTGGAATGTACGAATAATAATCTCACTTTATTTGTTCAACGGATTTTCTGGCAAATGCATTGTAGAACCCCGCGAACTCCTCGCTTTCTGACTTCCCACCAAACACCCGGACTTTCATCAACAGATCCAGAATCTCAGTGGCGTCCTCAATATGATCCTGAAAGTTTGATACGGATGGTGAATGGTCAAGCTGCTCCATTCCTGACTTATGTGGCTCTGCTCCTTTGTTATGTTATATTCAGACTCGTCGACTGACGTCTCAGTCGTCAAAGGAACATGGATAGCCCTGGCGCAACAGAGTTGTTGAGGAATCGATCTTCCTGAATTGCCAGTGAATACCAGGTTCACTCTAATATAATCATTGGTTACTTAACACCCTACATCTATGTGATGTTAGTAATACTAAAACACTTATCAAAGTCCCACCCCACAAACTCACTAGCCCTTTTCTATTTAAAGATTGCACCATTTTTCTGTGTTGATACGTTCATAGCACAGGACGAAAGAGATCTTCTAGCGGATGTCAGGATCATGTTACCTTCCATTTCAAGAACTTCTCATTTTCCTGTACGGCATATTTGGCCGCCTTGGCCGTCATCGGTTGATGGATCCTCAGACAAGCCTTGATCAAGTCAAACATCAGTTGGCAGTGTTCTGGGCTCCTGCAACAAAATAAGGTAAATATTTGTCGTTATTTCGCGGTCTTACAAAACGCCCACATAACGACTCGTCAGTGTAACAGGTCATTGGTTCAAGTACATGCTTCTTGTAGGTCCATCAGGTCAATAACTGTCTTTAATAATAAACGCGATTACCTCTCCGATTAGCTGCTATGACACGTTTCACAAAGTGTTCGTACAGCTACGAGTGTCTTTACGTACTATCATGCTGTAACGTAAATCTACGATAGTCGTAGCACGGCGATCGCTTTGTGAGGGGTCTCGGAATGATTTCTAATCGGAACACCATACACAGACGACCTAGTCCCCCTGCACCACAACAAGAGTAAGTGAGTATGGTTTTATGCCGAAACGTTATGCTTCAGACATTACCCATATAGGAATGGAACATGTTCGGCAATCGGAGGGGACGCTCTCCCCACATGGATATACCAACCCTACCAGAACGTGTGCCGTGAGACATTCCGACAGCACACGATACGGTGCAGTAATGCAGCTATACTAATACAGCAACGCTTCGAACACTTGGTGTGTCGGGAACTATGCTGATAACGTACTTGTTCATAGCTTTCTTCAGAACATGATACACAGCTTCATCAGCAAACGCCATCCTCATCAGGGTGTGGTCCTCCAGGTCGGTGAGAAACACCGTCAGTTTCGTCGTCATCACAGTGAACAGCTCAGAGTTGCCCTAATACAGAAGACAAGGGATTGTTAACCTTCCACCGAACTATTTCAAATAAAATGTGTCATAAGAAAGCTCTTGTATATTTTAGGTATTCGTACTCGTATAAAACATTATCATGACGCCCATTTCGAATTTTTATATGTCCTGTGATAAGTATTATTCTGTGGTTTTTCGTCTGTACCTATTGTATACTCTTAACAAAAGTAGGAGAACCTGAACTTTCAACTTGGAAAGGAAGTAAAAGACTTAACAAACTTTTCAAAGACAGACCTCTTATTAACGCACCACCATTTCTCTTTATCTCCACCCCTAAACACGCATAGCATGCACGTGCACAACGCAGTAGCCCCATACACATGCATTGGTAGTTGTTCTTGATTTTGACGGTTTTCAAAAAGGTCGATAAATCACTGTAGACCATTGATTTTGACAATCATCTTGCAATACACAGTTGTTAGAGTTTGTTTCTAGCCGGTTTTTTTTGTTTAAAAATGAAAATCGTACACATGCAAATTTCATGTCATACACCAATCATCTTTCAAGAGTGACTATGTTCGTAAAGAAATGCAAGTGGTGATGCACCCTCAAAACAATTATTATAATCATATCAACGTTGATTGACTCCGATTTGCTTTCCAATTTTTATCGTATATTAAAAATGAAGTTCCCCTACTTCTTTATGTGACACTGCTCACATTTTACAGTTACCGCTATATAATCAGTACCTTAATGGTAGGGTTATCACTGGCACTGCAGAACAAAGACCCCACAGCCGTTACTATCGGATGGATAGGACTGCCTGCCTTCTTGTCGCAGATTACAGTCAGGAAGTCCAGAACCTCCACGTACACCTTGTGAAACAGGGCCGCTTGTCTGAAACATGGGAGAGCAGGCAGTAAGGCACATACATCAGTTTGACGAACAAGGACAGGTGAGGCTGGTGAGAACGTCGCAGTGATATGTTTTGATAAATATACGTTTATTATTTGTTTTGTTATTGTCCGAACCATGTGTATTGTCTAAAATGTTTTCAGATATTTCACTTATAATAACGGTCAATGCTTCGACACATTGCCGGATAGAGCACACTATTGGTGAAACTGAATTCAAGATTCTGGTAGCAATTTTGTTGGTCTACTGTAAAGCCAGCACAGACACATGTACGTCATACTTACTTTATGGCCGTAAACAGCTTCTTGACAACATCAGTGACAGTCTTCACGTCCTTCTGCGAGGTCTCGGTGCTGAGGTTCAGGCTGCAGATGACTTCCTCCAGACGCTTCAGGAAATGTTTAATCAGCCTGGGATCATCCAGGTTCTGTAGAAATGATTGTAGATATTCCTATGAGCTTGGTGACCTTTCCTTCTTTGTCCGTACCATATATAAGGAAGATTTAAGTGGTACTAAGACACTCTAAGAAAATTATTTATCGAACAAAATGTCCCACCTCAAAAACGTTTCTGTTGAGATGTAGAACCCTTATTTCCCTGGGCCGCGACAGTTTGGATAACTCCGTGTAAATGTACAGCTCTATGAATTCGGATTGAGCTTCCTTGAAAGATTCCTTTCTGAAATTAGAAACAAGGGCTTCAGTAATAATTGAAGATGAACGTGGCATTGAATCTCAACGTTGGAAATATGAACTAGAAATAAAGGCCAAACTCTAAGAGTTGCTTCGTAATCTTTAATTAGTGTTTTTTGAGAGAAATGAATTAGAATTCTTGCTCCAAAATTATAAGTTTTCCTATAGTGTCTATCATGATAGCCATTAATAGAGTAGGAGTATGGATATATAACTGTACAACAACCAACAATATTGTGGATACTTGCCTGAATCTGTCATCGCCAACAAGGCATCTTTCTGCTGAATCAAAGGTGATGTCGAACCTCTCTCTGTCAGGCCCAGGCTCTCGGCTCCGGTACTCTCTCATCAGGAACCGTAAATGACTCTTAAGTCTGTCTCCGCTGAGATCCTGAAACAATGGCAAGTACAAAAACGCATTTTCCACTGACATGCCTACATAGACTACTCACTCACTTGGCACCCATGACGACCAGTCCTAACTGAAGATTTATCAATCCTTGTAGGATGTAATGACAGGACATTCTACCATGGCTATGTGAAATGCTCGAATTTGATAGGTCAAGCCATAAAATCAGACGGTATCAATTTGGATTGAAAATGCGTCTGATTACAAGGCGCTTCACTGCGCACGTATACAACACTGCCGCACTACTTCAGCTTGGCCACCAACATGACTAATATCAACACAACAGACGTAATGGAAATGCTGGTGAAACATATATTAAAACTCGAAAAATACAATTATACGATTTCCCCTACACAATTATTAGGGAACCTCCTTATCATAATTATTACCTTCTATTATAAAAATATTCAGACTCAATTACAATACACAGCCCCAAACATAAACAAACAATATCTAACATATAAATGAGAAAACCTTGTAAAAATACATCCCTATCTATCCCTATTTGTGCGGCAAAACGCTCGTAAACATTTACCTACCTGGTAAATGGTATATTTGTTTAGAATGGGAAATTCGCAAGATAACGGTCAGGCGAAACACAAAATTTGCCACTCATACTCCATCATGTCCCGTTGCATCGTTCAAAATGTCAAAAACTGAACCATGAGAATTCAGTTCTCTGCCACCTTCCTCGAAGGCTGTCACTGCTATGTTCGTACACTTTGAAACGTTTGACCACAATCCAGTCCAAAATGATGAAAACAATGTTCCAAGGAATCCCAAGTTAGTCACATGTACACAAAGCTGAACTGTCACTCTTCCTCGCATGCCGGGGTGGAGGCACGTACGTGAAATCATGATCGACACTCGCCGGTCATAAAAATCAACAGTCTTTGGTGAGTTACAGGTTATAGGTCGATCAGAAAAGGATCTATTCTTCGATTCTGCAGGGTTCAGGTTCGACAGTCAGTCAAGTATTTCCACTGTCACTTCGAATTTCAACCTTTCGCAAAATGTAAACACTGGCTCGTGCGCCATTTCAAACTGTTGCGTAACTGTCTACTTCCAAGAAAATAGTAGGTCAGACGATTCCATTATACTGTGGCCAGGGGGGTACAGTAATACGGCACACAAAACAATAGGCTGGTTTCGGTCTTGTGGTGTTATGGTTATAGAAACCAAGCTCTTAGGTGTTACATATGTATTGAATAAACAGTAGTTTGTTTTCTTTGGACAGAATATATTTTATGTTGCAATGTTAAAAGAAATACGAACTCCCTTCACAGACGTGTTCAATTCGCCTCTCATCCCATGCCGGATTGGCAGTGTCTTCCGCAGGACAAGGAAGTTCGATGTTAAATCGGTTGTGGTAGAATGGAGATAAACATACTGTGTTTGGAAATTAGATGAATGTTAGACCGAATTGATAGTCTCTAAATTAATCATTTGAAACCTCACGCAACGCGTTCGGCTTCAAATGAAATTAAGAGACTATCAATTCGGTCTAACATTCATCTAATTTCCAAACAAAGTACGTTTATCTCCTAATTAGAATCTTGAAATACTTGTTATCTTGTGCAGTGTGACTCCAGATTGGCGATAGGAGACGTTAACGATAGTACACATGTAAGAACTGACCTTGGTCCACCCATGTCGCCCGGCATCAAAATTAATATTTATATACAGATTCGAACCTGAGAACTTCTGTAAAACTTTTCGGAATATTAGTTTACCCTGACAGACTACCCATGTAACAATGACCTGCAGTTAACGTACATGATAATATTTACGAAATTCGAAGTCTCTCCCAGAAAACATCTCCATCCACAGCTGCATATGCGTCGTCCCCGGCCCCTGCTGGATCAGGTCGTGGAGGAAGTCGAAGCAGAAGTCGTGGATGCGGGACAAGGATGTTATTTTCCCCGACTCCTGCAACTTTCTGAAAATGAATTTTCGGTTTGAGCTGCAGGTAATTTTTTCGCGGTAGTTCATGTGAAAAAACATGAGTTCTAAGTCGAGATGTATGTGACAAAGCCCAGATGAACGTTGTTCTGTCGAATTGATGTTTCGAGGAAATGAGAGACAAAAAGGTATAAAAACATACATTCAGACAGACAGACAGACATACAGACAGACAGACAGACATGCATGCATGCATGCATGCATACACACACACACACACACACACACACACACACACACACACACACACACACACACACACACACACACACACACACACACATACATACATACATACATACATACATACATACATACATAGCGCCGATATCCAGCTCAGCTGCTCAAAGGCGCTTTGTTTTTTCCCTCGATCACTGGATGTCAATCTCAACGGCACGTCGTATTATCAATCTCCACTCCCCGGGGACTGTACAACTCTTGCAGCCACTAAGCACACCGAGTTATTGTGGTTTTCCCATCCTTACGAGTTCCCCATTCACAGCTGGGTGGACTGGGACACATAGTCACAGTACTTTGTCCAAGTTTACTGCACGTTGCTGTACCCACAACTAGGTGTTTGCACGTATTCATGTGGCCACCATCTGGTCATTTACCAACGGATTCGGGGGTTCTTTTAAGTGTACAGGGTTATGTACTGTACACTAGGGGTTGTGACAACACTGAAAGAGTCTGCACACAAAGTTGACTCCATGGTTTTTACACCCGGCCACAGGTGGGCTCGATCCCGGCACCTCAAACCCGCTGGATCACTAGCGTGGCACCTTAGCCAGCTCGCCCACCGCGCCCCAAAAACATAACATAGAGAAGTTTCCTTCGATTCACAGTAGTTTACGCGAATCACCTGCCATGCTTATATGCAGGAATATGTCAACGGTTCGATGATCGTTTGAGGATAGGAGAAGAAGGGTTATGGTAAGATCATTGAATGTAACCCTTGAGATAACGTTCATTCAGATTGTCTGAATTATAAATAACCATTTGACTGCATTCCGTGTATGTGAGCTAGTGTGGTATTCACTTCACCATTGCATGGAAGCTTTCGACAAACAATAATGGTGTTGCGTTACACTCGTGTGTGTATTATATAACATGAAGGGTGCTTAAAGTAGTCGTATCGACAATGTTCTGGGCTCTGTTTACCTCCAACTGGTCGTATTCAATCACATGTACGAGGAAGATCTGTACAACCCAGACAATACTTTGATAGAGTTCAGTGTGTCTGAAGCTGGTCTGCGGTAATATGAGAGAAAACGTGCAATCTACGTAGTTTCAGAATGTTGTGAAATGGTACTAGCTGATGGGAATAGGATCGACACTCACACTGCCCAGCTTATCAGACTTTCCAGGACATCATTGGCAAAATAGTACTGGTCAGAACTCTCCCCGGGAAAGTCCGGTCGACACACCCCCTTCCTCAGCAGCTTGAACGCCCCGAGTATATCATCCTCGTTGACCACCGCCTCGTACTTGTCACGGTTGAACCTCTGATCTTTGCTGAAGTCTTCTCGCTGGTCATGACCCGCCGTCATGAAGTTGTACCTTCCTACCAGGTGTTCCATGGTCACTGTAAAGAGTGAGTGAGTGACCCGGAATATCCCACACTGAAGGTACTCAGAAGGTACTCAGATATATTACACGTTCATATTACCGAGGTGCCGCTGTATAGAGAGTGTATATTACACGTACATATTATAGAGGTGCTGCTGTATAAAGAGAGTATATTACACGTTCATATTATCGAGGTGCTGCGGTACAAAGAGTGTATATTACATTTTCATATTGCCGAGGTACTACTGTACAAAGAGTGTATATTACACGTATATATTACCGAGGTACTGCTGTACAAAGAGTGTATATTACACGTTCATATTATCGAGGTGCTGCTGTACAAAGAGCGTATATTACACGTTCATATTACCGAGGTGCTGCTGTACAAAGAGCGTATATTACACGTTCATATAACCGAGGTACTGCTGTACAAAGAGTGTATATCACACGTTCATATTATCAAGGTACTAGTGTACAAAGAGTGTATATTACACGTACATATTACCGAGGTACTACTGCTGTACAAAGAATGTATATTACACGTACATATTACCGAGGTACTGCTGTACAAAGAATGTATATTACACGTACATATTACCGAGGTACTACTGCTGTACAAAGAATTATATTACACGTACATATTACCGAGGTACTGCTGTACAAAGAATGTATATTACACGTACATATTACCGAGACAAAGAGCGTATGTTACACGCACATATTACCGAGGTACTGCTGTACAAAGAGTGTATATTACACGTACATATTACCGAGGTACTGCTGTACAAAGAATGTATATTACACGAACATATTACCGAGGTGCTACTGTACAAAGAGCGTATGTTACACGTACATATTACCGAGGTGCTACTGTACAAAGAGTGTATATTACACGTACATATTACCGAGGTACTACTGTACAAAGAGCGTATGTTACACGTACATATTACCGAAGTACTGCTGTACAAAGAGTGTATATTACACGTACACATCACCGAGGTACTACTGTACAAAGAGTGTATATTACACGTACATATTACCGAGGTACTGCTGTACAAAGAATGTATATTACACGTACATATTACCTAGGTACTACTGCTGTACAAAGAATGTATATTACACGTACATATTACCGAGGTACTGCTGTACAAAGAGTGTATATTACACGTACATATTACCTAGGTACTACTGCTGTACAAAGAATGTATATTACACGTACATATTACCGAGGTACTGCTGTACAAGGAATGTATATTACACGTACATCTTACCTAGGTACTACTGCTGTACAAAGAATGTATATTACACGTATATATTACCGAGGTACTGCTGTACAAAGAGTGTATATTACACGTACATATTACCGAGGTGCTACTGTACAAAGAGCGTATGTTACACGTACATATTACCGAGGTACTGCTGTACAAAGAGTGTATATTACACGTACATATTACCGAGGTGCTGCTGTACAAAGAGTGTATATTACACGTACATATTACCGAGGTACTACTGTACAAAGAGTGTATATTACACGTACATATTACCGAGGTGCTAATGTACAAAGAATGTATATTACACGTACATATTACCGAGGTACTGATATACAAAGAGTGTATATTACACGTACATATTACCGAGGTGCTAATGTACAAAGAGTGTATATTACACGTACATATTACCGAGGTACTGATATACAAAGAGTGTATATTACACGTACATATTACCGAGGTACTACTGTACAAAGAGTGTATATTACACGTACATATTACCGAGGTGCTAATGTACAAAGAATGTATATTACACGTTCATATTACCGAGGTGATGCTGTATAGACATTGTACTGCGGTATTGCATGCTCTGTTTGACAACATAATGCTGTAGAGATAATGTCTTATATATTCTGTTTAAGAGATAGGAGTATTACGTGTACGGTTTCAGAAGGTTCTGTTGTACAGTAATACAGAGTATTACTTGTTTCTACTAACATCTTGTACTGACGCTGCATTGTACGAGGCTTCCCACTCGGTGAAATGTGTGAGAATTCCACGTGACTGATCAAGCGTTTTATCTGGCCCCGTGTCCATTGTACAGCTTTCGTTCAGAACCGTATCGTAGAAATATTATGCACAAAGGTGACCACAGCAGTAAACCCTTGTTTCCTGGCGGTGAGTACAATTCGCAAGTATCCCCATCATGACCAGAGAATTTACTTGATAAAAATGTCACCCAGGACCTAGTATAAGCAGCCTGAACACCATGCAATGTTTCTATATGTAGACACGGTGTAAATTAAATTTTACATGACATGAATACGTTTACCTGTGATTTCACGACATTCCAGCGTCCAGCAATCAGAAGATTGGAACACGCATCGTACATAGAAGACCAGTACTCCACAGGTGTGTCGGGACTTCAGGCGTGTCTGCTACCTGTACATTGTGCTACCTCAATCCCTTATCTCAACACCTGGATCAATTCTATGTACATGTGATACATGCCGGGCTCCCATACAGACACACGGCCGCCAAACTGGGCTGAAGACAGACACATGATTACTATCCGTAACATGCAACTGAAGACTGCTGCCATACGCGTAAACACATTCTTCCACGCCCGACTGGGTCTGACTGATCAATGCGTGCACCCAACGCTATTGCCTTGTAACTTATACCGAGGATTCTTAACGAAGGCGGATTGAGGGAGGGCGAATAGTGTGTTTGCCCACACAGTGCAACTAACTATATCATGACATGACCTCGGCCTATTCTGAAACATGTAACACAGTTCTGAACAATGTCTGGAGATATTCGACTCTATCCAAGCCCTTTGTTAACTTACTTCCATAAACACTTGACGGTACACCCACTTGTACAGCGTGTTCACTCATACCGATCTTTTCCATTCCACGCGGGATTCCTGAGAATGTTTCGAAATGGTGGAATTGTACCTTTTCATTTCTGGGGCCAATGTCGGTTAATTCTCGCTAAGTCTGCGCGTGACAGCAACATAACTACGCCACTGTTGTACGGGCATGGGGACCGTGTCAAGCATAGAGTGATGTGAAACTATAGATACGTTGGCAAAACTTTGACTGTGAACTTATTTAAAAATCACAACCCTGTCCGGGATTCGAACCCCCACCCTCAGAGTTGGATAATGAATAAAATATCACACCCATATCTTTTGATATCACATAGACAAACACTCGATGAAAGTGAAATAGACAACTGTTTTATGCCGCCACTGAAATCAATACCCAGTCCTATCCAGGCACTGGACCCCACAAATCATATATTGTACCCTTGGGTAGTCGAACCTAGAACCTCTGCATGACAAGCAAACCATCAGGCTACACACCCGCCTGCTCCATAACGCACTTTCTGTATGTGACTGTTCAAATCATTACACGCTCCTGTTGAATATGCATGCATGTACTCAGGCGTACTCGGGATGAACAAAAACATGCCATGGCCCCGTTTTAACATCGGACAATGCAGCAGCTATATCTGTTAACAAACGTAAGCGAGAATAAACGTACTTAGTTGTTTACACGTTGCCATGGTTCCAATCATTGGCTGAATGAATGACTGCCATCAGAGGTAGAGCCAGCAATCGCGTGGCTTGTCATTCCGACGACAGTGACCAGGACACGGTATTGCGACACACCGGCCGGTACACCGTCTCTGTGAGACGCGAACACATAACGAGGATATGTGTAGAGGTGGACTATACAGTTGCTGTACCCTTTAACTGGATAGTGGACGCTCTAATGACGGGATTGTAATGTGTGCTGTTTTGCAGTAGCAGTGAAAACAAGTAAAGTTGACGAGGGTATCCGGAAATCATTGGTAAATATGAATATAGGCATTTGAAATAGTTTGTCATTTACATACAATTATACTGTAGTCATCAGGATTTGATTTTAATTGTTGCCTAAGTACATTAATTACCGTTACACAACAAGCAATGTGATGTATTTCTATGTATTGTGGTGTGTATCGTGGGGCAACACGTGGAGACGGAAAATCAATCGGTAGTTGGAGGTTAGTGGGAAACAGATATTGCACTTAAAGAACAAATAAACTTTTTTTTTTATATATTCTTTTAACTATTACATATGAAAGATTTGTTGTTAGACTTATGCGGAACACCAAATTCATTCTTAAAAAACTTGTGGTTAATTAATACCGAGCGATTAAAAGTTGCCAAAAAGTCGCCTGCATCACTCTCGCCCGCCAACGAAACCACAGACAGGTTACGTAACTCTGTTGCCAGACCACTGCAGTGACGTCATATGAGGAACGATTTTCAGTTAGTTGTATAGAAAGTGTGTAGCACGCTCATCATTTTGATGATTTCTCGACATCAACGACGACATGCCGAATCGTTGTTTTGTCGTCAATTGCTCCTAGGGGTCGGGCGATGTTGTCACCATGCACAGATTTCCACAGGACCCCGCAGTTCGTGCTAAATGGGTTATGTTTGTGAGTGCGAAGCGAGCGTTGTGGAAGCCTGAAACTATATCTTACTTCTGTTCAGATCGCTTCACGGAAGTTAAAGAATCAAAACTACTTACTAGCTGTAGTAAAATATGTATATGATTGATGACTATAAAGATTTTCCATCACACAACTTGTAACATAACGATTTCTTCCTCGGAAGTGAGGTTGTGGTCGAAGTAACAATAATATTGTAAGTAGTTTCATATTGACACCCACCTCCCTGACAGGAGAGAAATTGTTATGTTATACGCTATGCCATGCAAAATCCTATTGGCCATCAATCAAATACATATTATACTACCAGTAGAAAGTAGTTTTGATTTTGTAACTCGCTGAAAATAAACCTAAATAGCATTTATATTCAGACTGGCGGATGTTACCGACAGGGCGCCGCCATTTTTGAAAATCGTAAAGTGACGGGCTAAAGTCTGTTAGAATTAATGAGATTATGATTTGTTTTCATCAAGTTAGAAAATCAAAACTACTTTCTACACGTAGTTAAATATGTATTGGAATCATAACCAAAAGGATTTTGCATGACACAACGTATAACATAACGATTTCTTCCACGGAAGCGAGGTGGGGGTCGAAGTCACAATACTGCGCGATAAATTTCTTGCTACATTCACATGGTTAATGTCCACTCACCAATATGTAGATACTAGTCAATGTGCGTCTTTATATTTGGTCTCATAATCCTAATTAGTTTATTATCAAACTTGTATGCATTTTGAAACTAAATAAAAAGCAGACGATCTGCTGATACTTATAGTGAATTTATAACAGAAGTGTAATATCTAGACATTTTATAGTTTGCCAATATGAATCAAAATTCGCACACACACCCTAGTGTATGTTGTCCGTCTCATTACACTTCACGGCGAAAACAATGATTCTGTTGAATGCTACGACAAATGAATAAAAACAAAATGCAAATATTAAAATTAAAACAGATTTAAGTTATAGGAACAATGTCAGGCTGTTACCTTGTTCGAGGAATGTATCCATCAATATCAACAAAAACGAGTGATATGCCATTCATCTGCAGCTGTTCCAAGTGATGTGTCTTTTAACAGTTTAATGTACGAAAAAGTGATACATCTTTTCAGGTACTTCACATTGGTGTATAGTCTCATTGGTCACCCAAAATAGCACACCTGGCAACTAATTGCATAATGTCCGCCTTTCTTTAAAAACAGTAATTTAGTTAGCCAATAATGGGCAATCAATCAATGTATTGCCGGTTAATCCTTTGAAAGAAGGACGTTGTTTTTACGCAGACACCGACACGACAGAGTGTATTCAGTATAGATTAGTAAATCTACATACATAAACACTACCTTTTGACAAATTCGCTGTGTAAGATAAAAGTAATTAATCAATCAGCGTGTTATCGGTTAATCCTTTGATCGATGTTTATAATGTTGAATATTTACTCCAGACACAAGAAATGCCAAATGGGAACCTTTGTCGGGTAATCTAAGTGTGTTACCACTAATTATACCTGTTATAAATTCATTAACTGACCATCAAGTGAATGATGACAAATAACATGTGTAGGTTTATACCACCTAACAAGGGTTACAACAAGGGAGTATTAATTGCCGTATATGCATGTGAAAACTTATGGGCCGACACTGTTTCGAGAATACAAACAGACTTTTGCATGACATGATTAAATATCGAGGTAAAAAAACACAGAAATGATATCAATTTGGATCAGTCATTATACAAATAATGCCTAACGACACCAAGCAATTTTGACAGAATCGTCTATGAAAACAAGTTGTAACTCGGAAACTAGGCAAAGCAAGAGACAAAATTAAAGGACAGTAGATTGTGAAAACATATGGTTTTATGCCCGGACTGTCGACAACGAGAAATAATCCGTCCAAATTACTTGTCGACAGTCCGGGAAAAGGGAGGTGATGTTTTACATGAGTGACTTCACTCCCAGTGTTCTCGAAATTAACAAACCAATTAAAACAGAGTGTAATATATATAGTAGACTATATATTTATTCAGTCAATATAACAACATGCAGGTATCATGCATATATCATATGTCACACAATATAACATATTGTATATATATATTTCATAAAGCTCACACAATTTATTTGTGTGTGTGTTTTATATAAATAAGTGATTCCTTCAGGTGTATAAGTAATAAATATATATTTCTTCTTGCCAAAACTCCTTTATATGTGCACGAAAGTAATCTGAATGTTCAGCCAAGATGAAGCAACTCTGACACATGGTCTGTGTAGTTCAAGTCAGTAAGTCTGTCGGCAAGAAGGTCGGCCTTCAAGGATCGAATCCTAGCGTCGATGATTCGGTAGCGACGTCTACGGACGGGATCTCTCTGCTGTCCTTGGATCTGCTGAATTTTGACTTCAGTAGATGACTGTTCTTTTTGTAGCATTCGCACAACCTCAAATACACTCGGATGTGTCTTCATGGCATACTTGTTGATTTTGTTGTGCCAACCTTCCAAATTATTGTTAGTTCTGTGTCCATCATTTTCAAGTTGGCAGTGTCCATGGACCTTCTACCCAGGTGTTTGTAACGTAATCCATCAGCTGTGTCGCCTTTTCACCTAGTGGTGCGTCTGCAGATATGATGGACAGGTTGCATCTGTACATCTCCAGTATGTTTTCTGAGCTCTGCGTCTGTTGACTCTGTACATGAATCCATTGTTGTAAAGATTCTGACCTCTATGAATGTTGTCAATCAATGTAGCCCGCACCATAGCATTTGCCATTTTGACAGTGGTAATAAAATATTCATGATCTATTATATATACCCAAATGCTAAATGTTTACAACAGCATTTCGATAATCCTTCTACTCCAATATCACAAAATAATTTGTAAGCTCTCTGTTTCTTTCTGGATGTTGTTGCATGTTAAACTTCAAAATGGTAATCCTTCTACTCGCATAACGTAAACTAATAGTCTGTTTTTGCAACCTAAATTCTCTTGCAAATTGTTAAAAAGACATTCTCTTTAATAAACTTAATTCATTTACTCGTGGTACGAGCATAGCTGTAACCTCCATAGCCACTTGCAAACCACTAAGCAAACATTCTCTTTAATTAATTAACACCATCACGGTGTGTTGACCACGCGATGTCGACACTACGGGTTTTTTGTTTTGTCGACGGTTAGCAACATCCTATTTTTCATTTGTCGACAGGTCGGGCTGACACCAAACATATAGCTATTAACTCTGCTTACACCTTCTGAAGGCTGTAGAACATTTTATGACAAATTGATCAAATCAGATAGATTGCCTGATGTTTGCAGAAAATGGGAAGTTTTGATAAACATTGCTATGCCCTTGGGACGCTATTTTCTTAAATTATAGAAAGTGTACAAATGATATTAAACTCTTAGATTTTCAGTACAGATTCATTCACAAAGTTATTCATACAAGAAAAGAATTAATAAAGATGAAAATAATAGATAATGATCGCTGTACATTCTGTAAAAATGAATCTGAAGACATTGTACATGTGTATGTTTTATGTGATATTGTTCAGACTTTCTGGAATGACTTAAGTATATATGTTAAAAATACTGTTAATATTAATATCCTATTTACGAAATTTACAATATTATTGGGGATTAACACTGGCTACCTTTTTACTGATATCACTCTCGTATTGTGTCTGTAGCATGTTCTACCTCATCATTCAGCCGAATCATCATCACGCTCACTGTTGACACTTGGGTACACAATCACTGTTGACACTTGGGTACACAACCACTGTTGACACTTTGGTACACCAACCACTGTTGACACTTTGGTACACCAACCACTGTTGACACTTGGGTACACAACCACTGTTGACACTTTGGTACACCAACCACTGTTGACACTTTTGTATACCAACCACTGTTGACACTTGGGTACACAACCACTGTTGACACTTTGGTACACAACCACTGTTGACACTTTGGTACACCAACCACTGTTGACACTTTGGTACACCAACCACTGTTGACACTTTTGTATACCAACCACTGTTGACACTTGGGTACACAACCACTGTTGACACTTTGGTACACAACCACTGTTGACACTTTGGTACACCAACCACTGTTGACACTTTGGTACACCAACCACTGTTCACACTTTGGTACACCAACCACTGTTCACACTTTGGTACACCAACCACTGTTCACACTTGGGTACACCTACCACTGTTGACACTTTGGTACATCAACCACTGTTGACACTTTGGTACACCAACCACTGTTGACACTTTGGTACACCAACCACTGTTGACACTTTTGTATACCAACCACTGTTGACACTTGGGTACACAACCACTGTTGACACT